TTTACGCAAACAAGATAGGGCACGGCTGTGCCTTGCCCGAAATATTTCCGCCTCTGTTACAATCTATTACTATCTGTTTCTTTTCCCCCCTCAAGCAAGCGAGCTTTTTTGATTCAATTGTCTTCAATTTAAACGATGTGCCTTTTTTTCATACTCCCTTTTCTCAAATCTATGAAAAGTCGAACTCGTGGCTACAGTTCGCCGCAGCAGCCGGCTTTGCTGTCTAGCATGAAGGAGGTGGGCAGATGTAATGTTGAACCAGTGGAGAATAGTTTCATACATTTCGAACTTCTATTTTCTTTTGATCTTTGTCTTGCCTTTCAGTTCAAGTTAATTACAAGATGGATGGGTTGGGTTGGTAGAATGAAGCCGATCAATTCGAACTCGTTTACGTTTATGTTGGTGTGTCCAAGTAGATCACATGGCAGCGATGGCCAAAACGTAGTTGTAGAGTGGCAGTAGTCGGAGACAATAGAGTAGATAAAGTAAATGTCTATTGAAGTGAATCCCATTCATTGGTCTATTGACAATCTATGACTCAACCCATGAATAGCACCGCCCATCATTGGCAATCATTCACGCCGACCTGAGGACAATGACGCGGCGCATTGACAACTCAACAGACTTAGCTGCAGTAGTCGAACCCGTTCAATTGTGTAAGTAGCCTTTGTAAAAGTATAACTAGTACTAGTACTAGTATAGGGCTATAGGGCTGGCGCTTCCCACGATCGACTTCGCCAATAGAATGCAATGCCAATGCCAGTGCCACCCAACCCTCAACGTATCTCCACTCGACAAACCTGGTGGAGAAGACATTTGATTTGCTAGTAGGCTTGAAAATGGTTTTCAGCACACCCTTGGCGCATGCCAATATAGGCAACAGTGTGAAGGTCCTCAGCCTTGTTCTTGGGAGACGAGGCTGATGATCTCGGTGGCGGTGCCAATGGGTTGCCAAGGTGGAGTGGAATAGGAAGATGGAAAGGTAGGACGAGGAGGTTGTGGTCCTGGGTTGTGTGACTGTGATGAGAATGGAATAAAATAGAAATAGCACTAAGCCTGCCAGGGTGCTGTCGGTGTCAAGTGTCAAGTTGAGTTACTCCGACGTTTCGTAGTTTCGGGTGACGACATCAGCTGTTCTTCTCCCCCCCCCCCCCCGGCCTTCCTTTAATTCCTTCTCTTCTCTCTTTTCTCTTTTCCTCAACCTCTCTTCTTAACACCCCCCCATTGTCATTGTCTATTTTACTGTCACTCTCTGTTATTGCTATTCTGGATTCTTTCTTTTCCACTCCACTTGGTCTCCCCACCAGGGCTGAGTCGCATCTCCGCAGGCAGACGGATTCCGCCCCGCAGCCTTAAGTTTACCAGCTCTCCACTAGCTGCTCCTTTTCTTCCTTTCTGTCAACTTCCACGCCTGCACTTACACCTACTTCTACATCTAAATTTGTGATCGCCTCCAGCACCTCAACATGCAGTCCGATCCCGCGATCCCAAGCGGCGACCGCGACGAGAAACAGCGCGAGTCCGGCCCGGCTCCGGGTCAGATCCTGACTGGCAAGCAAGAACACTGTGAGATTTGCCCCGCGATCCAGTTCACCCCTTCAATCAACCTGTGCGACTACTGTACGATGTGTTCAGCGCTCTCTTGACACTCGCTAACTTCGCCCATCTGTGCAATGCAGACCTCAAGCGCGAACTCATCGCTCTCCAGGTGCGGAGCGAAATCAACGAACTCAACTCCCCCACCGCATTGCAACGATTTGGCGCCCCATTTCGATCGGAACTTGGCGAGGTCGCCCCCATCGACTCGGAACTGCCTATCCTTCGCTATATCTTCGTTCACCATGTTCGAAACTTCCCCTTTCTCGACCAAGCCAAGGAGAAGGAGTTCTGGCAAGATAAGCTCCAAGTGGTATGTTCTCCCCTCCCACCGGGCGCAGACGAGCTAGTTGAATGATTGGCTGACTGACTGATGATTGTGATAGTTCCTGGAATCCTTTGCCAATAAACATGTTTCATCCTCGGAGGATCGTTTGGAGGAGACAAAACGCCGGAAACTGGCACGCAAGTGCGAGAAGCTCGTCGAGCTGATGATGGTCTCTGGTGTACCGACCGCATCGGGATATGAGGAACGTATTCAGTTCTCAGAGATGGAGGTGGTTGAGCGCGGAGCCAATGACAATGGGCTGCTGGTGAACATGCCTGAAGGTCATGCCATCCATGGCTGGGACGTAAATGTGGCTGCGGTTCGAGTGACATCTGTCAAGCGGACCGTCCGGTACCACCAACATGCAGTGAGTTTCATGCCTACACTTTGAAGACCATATGACCCGGGAGTATCTAACCCAGCGGTTTAGGAATTTATCCTTCGAGTACGTCGCGGCAGTCAAGACGAGATCCACATCGGCAGAAGATATGGCGAATTCGTGAAGTTGCACCGAAGACTGCGCACCGAGTTCCCCGGCAAACATCTCCCTCCTCTACCCCGCAAGAATAAGACCTCGACAAGCTCCAGCTGGTTCGGCAGTAATGGAGAAGACGACGCTTCTTCCGTATCATCCCTATCCACCCAGGATGCCAGTGTCGCCGATGAGCCCGCCTCCTCAGGCCGAACATTGGCCCCCGGCAGTCATCGGCGATCAGTCTCGCGGGGCTCGACGCGATCCACCAAGTCCCCACGGGGTTCATCAACGGATGTATCACGGGAGACCGTCCTGTATCGCGAGGAGCAGCGTGTCTCCTTGCGTGCATTCATCCGCACTCTATTGCAGAACAAGCGCATTGCCGAGTCCAAGTCTATGGAGGAGTTCTTGACTTCCAAACCAGTGACGCTGAATGAGGAAGAACTGCTCGATGTGGACAGGCGCAAGGCGATGGATGCAGTCAGAATCGAAGAAGGAAGGCGATTCTACGAAATCGCGCGGCAGCGCGCCGCGGAGTTAGATGTGTATATGGAGAAGTTCCGCCGGGATATTGTTGAGAGCAGTAAGTTTTTCTCCTGCGACAGATGCAAATTGCGCCCCGAATAGAAACACCCACCTAACCTTTCACAGATGGATTGACGAAGCTTTTCTCCGAAATTCGTGAAAAGTCATGCATTGCTGAACTCAGCCCGCAGTACCAGAAATTCGCCGAATGGCTTCGGATTGAGGTCGCCGCAACTGTCTATCACCTGTTCCTCGCTGAGGATAATTCTCCAGAACTCTTTGCCCAGGCGAAGCGGATCCACGGTCTTGTTCCGTACACCCTCATGAAGAATGTCATTCGCATCGCTAACCCCGCGGCTGTCATGTCTGGCGTTCTGGACCTCTTCTGCGCTCAGCCCTTTGGCTCGCGGTCACTACTGCAACGGATCTTCTCCCTGACTCTCAACGAAAGTATTAAGGATTTCCAAAAGTCGATAACATCGCTGTCTGGCAAGGTCGATGACACCGTTCTTGCGCAGAAGCTGAAGAACTTTGTGGATGCGGACGAGAGCATCAAGAACGAGATTCGAGAGGAGGCGGAATTAGAGGATGCTGATATCATCGTTGCTATTCTCCGCTCCGAGCTGATCTCTCCTGAGCTCAACGCTGAGCAAATCGGCAAGGTCTTCAACGGGTGGGTCGCCTGGAACAATGCGGTAGACAATGTCGACGTGGAGATGCAGCAAGGAGCCCAATGGTTCGCCAATATGAAGCAGCTTCTCAAGCTGTACACCCGCCAGCGCGATAAGGCGATGATGCTCAGCATCGTCGAGGAACCTACCACGCTGCAACTATTCCGCGACCTATTCACTATCTTCTACGAGCCGCTGGTCCGGGTATACAAATCCGCCAACGTGTACAGCAGTATTACCGATTTCGCCGTATTTGCCGACGACGCCATATCCGTGATCGAGAGTGCGCAGCGCCAGGATGCATCAGCAGATCCGAACCAGACCGTCCAGGCCTTTATCGATCTATGCGCTCGCCATGAGGACAATTTCTACAAGTTCATCCACGAAGTTCACATCCACGACAACGGCCTGTTCCAGTCGCTGATGACCTGGATTGAGGAGATCCTGGAATTCCTACGTAAGGGCCCGAAGGCTGGCGAGGCTGGCCGACTCGATATGAACGCTTTGTTCCAGGGTGCCGCTGGCGTCGGCCAGATCGACAGGGACATTGCGCTTGTAGAAATCAACGCGCTTATCAAGTGGCAAGAAGATCGCAAGAGGTGGCACCTGAACAAGACGCGCCAAAAGATGGCTGCTGAGGGAACTGGCAGTGACTCGATCCCGGGTAGTGCCACGTTCAAGGGCAGCGACTTTGGTCTGGACGAGGTATGTGCTGCAATGCTAGCTTTGAAAATATGTATATCTAACCCAAACCAGGCCGACCTCGAGGATCTCACCATCTCTGACGAAGCATCCGACTCTGAAGATGAAGCTGCAGACGAGGAGGAATTGGACGATCCAATTACCGTTGAGCGCCGCCGTCGTTCAAAGAAACAAGATCAACTCCGCCGCACCGCTGGCGAACCCGTCAAGCCTGAGATAACGGAGATTCTCAAGTTGACCGATCCGTTCGTGGTGATGCTACGCTACGTTTTGGCGGATTAAGTCAGGCAAGATTAACAGCCTGTCTCTACTTTTGCCTCTGCTCTGTTATTCCCCATTTGCGTCTCGCTGTGTTGCTATAGCCTCTTCATTTGCACTCGACATTCATAGCTCCGTGCTGAATACACATTTGATACATCGCATGTCTGAATTGATTCCCCGTTGTGTTATTCGCTATTTTGCTACTAGTATTTGCTCTTTGATATTCTCTTCGCTGTGCATGCTTTACCGTCCCGCTCTATCGCCGGGTTCGGACTTGTGAAATAAATAGGAAAGACTAGACAGTGACAAACCACCCGAAAGCCCCAGATCATTATACCAGATAGAAGGAGAGGGCGCAAGGGTAATCGAATCAAAATCTAAATCTGAAAATGAAAATGAAAATGCAAATGACCCGAAAAAGAACCAGCCAAATCAGATCAGATCATAATGTCTTCATATACTCCCGTAATGCCGTCGTCGCCCTCCCATCGCGACGCCACTGATCCCCCTGATCCAACGCAGTCAATCCGTCAGCACAAGTAAGTCTCGGATCAGCGCCCGATTCAAGAAGCAGCATAACGAGATCAACATGGTCCTGCAAAACGGCAATATGAAGCGGCGTCTGGCCGGAGCTATTCCTCGCATTAACATCTGCGATCCGGGTACCACCCGGCCCTGGCCCTGTCCCTGGATTTAGACCCGACCTGGACCGCGAAGCCTGGAGTAAAAGGTTCACAACATCCACATGATTCCGCTCAACAGCCGCATGTAAAGGCGTGGTACCGGAGACATCGGGATTCAACAAATCCACCCTTTCACACTCCACAAGCGTAGAGACCATGCTCTCGTCACCGGTAATCGCAGCCACAAGAAGTGGACATTGGTGTTTCCATGAATCACTCAGATTCGGATCCGTCTTGTCCCATCCAAGTAGGTACTTCACGACGGAGATATGTCCGCGCTCGACGGCGATGGAGAAAGCGCCTCGACCGTGGTGTCCGGCTCCGCTATTACTGTGACTACGACTATGACTATGGCCATGACCATTGCCAGTGCCATTGCCATTGGTGAGTCCGTTGGTGTTCCCATTAATATGTCCGGTCCCGTTGACGGTTCCGTTCCCGTTCCCGTTCCCATTCCCATCCCCATTCCCCACCGCCGCCATAGCCATCGCCATCCCAGTCCCCCCACTCGCCCCATTCGGATCAAGCCTATCACCAAAATACTCAACCAGATACTCGACAATCTCAACATGCCCCGAAATAGCCGCATAAAAGAAAACATGCTGACAATGGGCCCCACTCTCATCTCCATCAAGAATAAACCTCAAATGCGTCGCAAGGATAAGATCAACCTCAATACCGCGCTGACTAGCCCTCGACAAAGCCGTCGCGCCCTGGGTATTCGAGACGCGCGGATCAACGCGCGATCCGCCACTTAATCAGACGGGGATCATATCGGGTTGTAGCGTTACGGCGGTCATGAGCGCTGTATCGCCGAATTTATCTTGTAGATTGGGGTCTGTGCGGTCGTCTTTTAAGAGGGCGCGGACGATGGCGGCGTGGCGGTGCTTGGTTGCCCATGTTATGGGTGGTCTGATGTATTTTCTGTCTCGGGAGTTGGGGTTTGTTTCTGGGTATGTGAGGAGGAGGGATAGGACGGGTAGACTGCCGTGGTAGGCTGCTAGCATGAGAGGTGTGCAGCCTTTTATTAGGGTGTCTTGGTCGGAGACGGTTATTGGGTTTGCGCCGGCGGCGAGGGAGGATTGGGCGACGGGTTTGTTGTTGTGGATTGCGGCCCAGCAGAGAGCTTGTGAGGATTGGCGGGCGTCGAGTTTGTAGAGGGAGGGTAGGAGGAGGAGAGTTGTTGAGCGGTTTAGTTGGGTTAGGGCGTTTAGGGCGGGGAGGTCGAGGTAGCTGGAGATTTGGAGGAGAATTTCGGAGGGGAGGTGTGAGAGGCTGCAGGGCCCTAGTGTTTCTGGGTCATCCATGGTGGATGGGGGGATGTGGGAGCATTGGATGGTGTCGGAGGGTTGGTTATGAAGGATTGCGCAAGGGCGATGCTATGAGGTGAAGCTGAAAATTAGGGCCGAGGGGTGTGTGCGTGGACGGTGGGTTCAGGCGTGGAGATGCGATGGCGATGAGGGAGTCGGTGTTGGTGTCAGTGATGGTAGTGATCGAGCTGGTGGTGGTGCCAGGGCCAGGGCCAGGGCAGATGCATCCACGGACTCGGGTGTATCCGATCGGGCCATGGTGAAAAAAGGATAAGGTGTGCGAAGGGACGAGTTGTGGAGTTGTGCTGTTGGAGAGATCGGCGCATGTGGATGTGGGGACGGCGATCCACCAGAATTGCGGCAAAACGAGAAACGAGAAACGAGAAACGAGACACTGGCGAGTTTCAGGGCTGTCGGAGTGGTAGGCAGCTGCAAGGCGGCTGCAAGGCAGCTGCGTAGAATGAGGCTGTGCAGAGTATTCAATTATGGAGTTATGCGTAGTTATAATTATAACGTAGTGTAGTAGTATAACTGTGGTATAACTAATTGTGTTGAAGTATAACTAGATGTATCATAAATTACCAAGTGAGAGTATAATGATAGTGTAATGCTGTATGGTATAGTCACCGATAAGATACGCCCCGGTTTCTCCGGCGATAAAGAAACTCTTGGCGGGCACCTGAACTCCCATTGTCCATTGTCCATCCATTGGTATACTCCCTTCTGGTAGTTACTGGTGGTTATTAGGAACCACTGGTTGCTACCATCACTATACAACATGCACTCCCCAAATAAACCCCCAAAGTCACCCTCCTCGGTGCGCTTGAAAGGCCTCTTCAAAGAGGGATCCTGGCGCTGCGACTGCCCGGAACGGGCTCCCGCCATCAAGCTTCAAGTCAAGAAGGAAGGCAGAAACCACGGGCGCTACTGTATGTGACACCCTTTCACCTTATCTCACCCAGCTAACCCATCAGTCTATACCTGCCAGAAACCCCGCGCACAACAATGTGGCTTCTTCCTGTGGACAGACGAGGCCGAGCCCCGCGAAGAAGCCGTCGTCCTTTCCAACTCGCGATCCGAAGACGACCTGCGCTATCCCACCCTCCCATCTACCCCCACAACACCCCGGCGTAGTGGTCTTCTCACTCCGCAAACCGAGCGCCGCTTTATTGACATCCCACCCCGCCATGCGCATGCCCATTCACCCCCAAAGAGCGCAAAGGCACGGATGATGGCCGAGGATACTGACGAATTCGGCTGGGACGACAATACAGACGACAATAACGAACTGAGTGAACTGACGGAGCTCTCCACAAGCCAGTCAACGGAACCCTTCCTCTCCCAACCAAATTGGAACCCAGACCAGCCATCAAACAAAGCGGCTCGCACTCCAACGAGCTCATCGCCGGGAAAGCGCAAGCTCTTCGAATCCAGCTACCACGACCATAACTCATCGACCAGTAACTCTTCCATACTTGCCACTCCATCCTCTACCCGATCAAACCGTTCCATCGGCTCAAGTCGCATCCCACCGTCTTCAGCAGAGCTATGCATGACCCCGACACCAACAAAGTACCGAGACGTCATTAGCTCCGCAAATATGCCCGACATGTCCGATTTAGCCGCCGAGGCAAATGCAATAATGGAACAATACGCTGTGGTGCTGCCGACCAAGGCGCAAGACGCGTTGGTCGAGCTGCTCAACCGGCATCAGTTGAAGCTACAAGGAGTGAATAAAGGGCGCGAGGTTACTCGGCAGGCCTTGAAGAGGAAGGAAGATGAACTTGCGAAGAAGGATGGAGAGATCAGGCGGTTGCAGGACACCATTACCAGTCTGCAAGCGCAGAAGGAGATGGATCAAAGTATTATTGATTCTATGAGCATGTAGTGTCAGTGGGGAGGATAGCCTGAGGTTGATATCCGCGAGTTCTTCAAATGGTGGTGGATGTTATTAATGATGTTACGATACAATTACGAGTTTTTGACATGAATGATTACTGCTACCAGTATTAGTACTACAGTACTACTTTTCGTGATGGCACGCCTTGGTCAATAGGTACTATTACATACTGCAGCCATTCCGATCTATACTCCAGATCAAATATAAATACAATTTGACTTCTTTGGGAGCTATGATAAAATCAAATTCTTCACATAAGTACAGACCCAAGTCACACCGAGTGAGCTTCAAGTTCACTCAGCGCATTAAACCCAAAAATAAGACCATCGGCATCCATGGCTATAGACCACCCAATCAGGAAATGCCCTGCATGATCACTTCACGATAACATCACGTGTCGATAAGAAGAGCAATTTGTTGGAGAGATCGACCCACCAGGCGCTCATTTAACACAGGCACAGTTCACAACCAGGCCCGTGGCCCGCGCAATCCTCTCTCCCATCGGACACCAATCCTCCTCTCGATGTCGAAACCGTCGAAGAACGACGACCCGCGCACCCAGGTCCCTCGCGAACTGCCCGCCATGTTCCGCCCACCCGTGAACCGGGCAATGCGGACCCTCGACCGATCATTCTTCTGCAAGACAGTGCCCCTCACCTCAGCCCGGATCTTCCAGAATTCGGAGATCTCGCGCGTGCGCAAGGAATTGGCCAAGACCAAAGATCTTCTTGTTTTGCCGCGACTGTCGAGTGTGCAGGAGATTCCAGACCAGGATGGGACGGTACGGAAGGCGCTTTTGTTAAGGGAGACTGTCAAACATGATGGTAGGTTTGTTCGTGAATGGAGTGGCATGGATTCTGTTACTTCTAGCGAATGGATATAAACTGACAATTGCTGTGCGCAGACAAGTCAACGTGGTCGCCCAAGATTACCGAACTCGTTGAGAAGGGAACTGTGGCAGTGGGACCGTTCGAGTTGGCATTGGACTATGATTATTGGAGCTATGGTATGATCAATTGCGCATGGCTCCAGGAGAGTCACATTCAATGCGATCTGGCTAACGCATTCCAGCTGAAATCATGAGCGCTATTCTCCCCGAGCAGGAAAACGCAGAGGTCCCTCAGGGCTTCACACAAGTGGGGCATGTTTGTATGTTTCTGCCCAACATCAACCAGTGGTCTGGTTTCCCCGCGGTTGTAAATGAATGCTAATCAGAGAGAAAAACAGTACATCTGAACCTCCGCGAACACTGGCTCCCATTCAAGACCCTCATTGCCGAAGTCCTCAAAGACAAAAACCCCACCGTCCGAACAGTCATCAACAAGACCGAAGATGTCGGTTCGCACAGCCAATTCCGCACATTCCCCTTCGAACTCCTCGCCGGCGAGAACGATCTGAATGTCGTCCAACACGAGCAAGACTGCGAGTTTCACTTCGACTACGCTCGCGTATACTGGAACAGCCGTCTGGAGACCGAGCACCGCCGACTCGTGGAGAAGTTCCGCCCGGGACAGATGGTCTGCGATGTCATGGCTGGTGTTGGACCCTTTGCCGTGCCAGCCGGCAAGAAGAGAATCTTCGTGTGGGCGAATGACCTCAACCCGCACGGGTATGAGGTTATGACAGACGCTGTCCAGCGCAACAAGGTCAAGGACTTTGTCACCCCACACAACCAGGACGGACGGCAATTCATCCGCGATTCAGCGAAACAACTTCTCGAGGCCGAGCCTGTGACTGTCACGATTCAGCCCAAGGGCGGACGGAGAGACAAGAAGAGAAAGGCAGACGACAGCCAAGACCTTCAACCTCAGGCTCCACCTCAACCCCCAGCCCAGGTCTACAAGCGTCCCTCAGTCGTGGACCACTACGTAATGAACCTCCCCGCGACGGCAATCGAATTCCTCGACGCTTTCCAGGGGGTGTATGCGGGACAGGAATCCCACTTTGCGCCTCACACGGAACAAAAACTACCCATGGTGCACGTTTATTGTTTTTCTGGACACTCGGAGAACGAGGTCGATGACCATGTCGATATCTGCGAGCGCATCTCCGAGCGCATTGGGTATACGATTACGCCAGAGGACCGTGTTGATGGTAGCGGTAATGCGGCGATTGAGCTTGCTATCTTTAATGTGCGACTGGTCAGTCCGAAAAAGCAGATGTTCTGTGCTAGTTTCCGGATTCCGCCTGAGGTTGCTTTTCGGAAGTAGGTGAGGCGTATGGTTTGGGTATATATATGGCGGAGAAGGGATAGATAAAATAAACTGATACCCTGATATAATTATCTGAAGTGTAGTACCAGTACTAGTACTAGTAGTAGTGGTGGTGGTGGTGGTGGAATACTAAGAGTAACTCGAGTATAGAGCTAGGAAGGAACGACCCAGGCTCCCACCGAGCTCTTTCTGTTCTTCCCTTCACTTCAGTTTTCTCCAGCTTCCAAGGTTCACTTTCACTCTCTCCATTTCTACATCACTCTCTCCTCTATCGATTACCCCAAATTCAATCAATACCCAAGCTTTGTGCTTGCTCTTGCTCCTGCTCCTGCTCACCCGTCCTCATCAACCAACCAAAATGACGCCCCGCAAAGCGGTGCGCTCACCGCCCCAATCTGCCCAACGAACAAGCAGATTCAACCTCGAAATCATACCTTTGATCCCCCATCCAGCAACAGATCAATTCATCGACGCGACAACCCCGATCCCCCGCCTCTCCATCCGCCACAACATGGACCGCATCGTGCTTCCCCCACCGACGAACCGCAAACGCGCGCTGCCGCAGGGCGAGCTGGAGGCGGCCTCCACGCTGAAGCTTGGCGCGGATCAGAATACACATACCCTTTCGCTGTCCGAGGCGCGACTGGTTATTCACAAGGTTTTGGAGAATAAGCGTCGTGGTGGGAATAAATATGAAGAGCCTGAGTATGTGACCTGTTACCCGTGCTTGATATAGCTAGAGGTATACCTATAGCTATAGCTACATGGTGGTTTTGTTTTATGTCTGCTCTAGAGCGAACAAAGAAACGAGATTCGAGGGAGAGGAGTTTAATGAATGAATCATTGATACTAATGGGTTGATTTGCTTTGCTGTGCAGGACCCTGGATAAAACGCTCGTTTACCTGGATGTGTTTGCGCGGTTCAAGGACGAGGAGAATATCAAGGCGGTGGAGCGACTATTGAACTCGCACACGGAATTGGAGATGTTTGAGCGGTCGCAGTTGGGTAAGTCAAGTGCCGTCCTTTCTTCCTTCCCTTGCCCCGAACCAGGAACCAAAATTCAGAAACCAGAAACCAAAAACCAAAGTTTGGGTTGGGGTTTGGGTTCGGGGCAAGGTTACCAATGCCAAGGGGGTTTCCGTTTTCCCATATCCGATGTTCCCTTCCTCTCCCATTCCCCATTCCATTTCTCTCCACTTTGGCGGACTGCGGCGGTGGCGTGGCGTCGGAAAGGCGCGTGTCGGACTTCCCCCTGGCCCTGGCCCTGGCCGTTTACCCCCAAATAACCCCAACTATCCCTGGATGACCCCAAACGGTAACGACCTCGGCTGATTGAAATTGGAATCTAGGTAGTTTGTGCTGCGATAATGCGGAGGAGGCCAAGTCTCTGATCCCCAGTCTGCAGAATAAGATTGGTGATGGAGATCTGCAGGAATTGCTGGACGAGTTGACCAAGCTGCGCAACTTTACAGAGTGATAGAGCAGAGCAGAGCAGAGCAGCAGGTATTACTTTAGCATATTGGAACTGCACTAAAACTGCACTGCAACTGGAATTTGGGAGCATGGAGTTTGGGCGTCTTTCTGCTTACGTTAGGACTGGATAAGTTAGGTTAGGAGGAATTCCGAGGGAACCTTAGGACCTCAAGCTGGAAAGGATGAACCAATGGGGGTGGATCGATTCCAACGGTTGCTTTAGCCGGGTCTTGCTTTGCATCCTTACATGTACATAATGCACTTAACATGAGTCAAGAGTTATTACGAGTACTCGCATGGAGGTCTCCGTGTAGTCAGACCATTCAAGTGATTACTATTAGTCAATGGACAGTGCCGATCCGAGATTCTCCTTTGCCACCGGGTCAGCGTTTTATTCAGGTAGGCGAGCACATGCCGGGGATGAGGTTGAGGAACTCCGGACTCCACCGTGGGGCCGGATAAACTCGTTCAAACTCGTTAAACTTGCAGGGAGTGGGGAGGGTGATTGGCTCTGTTAAGCGTTATCATGGGCAACCGATTGGCTGAGGTGGTGGGTAGCGGTGAATCTGGAGTGATAGTATGTAGTGTAGTATATGTAGTACAGTATAGTACTACACCCTATATAGTGTAGGGATAGGTATAGCTGTACACCTATATCCAGAGTATACTATACTATATTATATCTACAGTATAGGTAGTATGCTATAGAGTACAGAGTATAATCTACAGCATATCGCCCGAGAAGTATCCTCTATATGTAGTATACTACAGTATCTATCTATCTATCTACTGTCGACGGGCGGGTCTCCTCCGAGCCGCTCGATTACCTACAACGAATGACATAAGCCGGCCTCTCATAGGCGCAGCCAAGTTCAAAGTACGTAACAAACACTCTCCACCAATCATGTTGGCGCTTCTTATCTGGCTTGACAATTTCACCGTGCTAATTGGGGCCATTCTGTTACGAGAGCAAAAAGAAAGATCGTCTGCTTCCGGTCGAGTTATATCGTCATCATCCTCCAATTTCGAATTTCATGCCAGGTTCGAATTCGTTTACCCTTGACCTTCGTATATTCGTACACTCCTTTCATTCTTCCTTTAACAGGAATGACCGAGCAGACGATTCGACATCTCATCCTGCTGCAGTCATTAGCTGGCGCGGATTAAGCAGAGCATACATTACCTAGTATATGCGAGAGCTTTATACAGATCTACAATCTACAAGTACCCTACCCGGGGCAGGGCAAGGCATATCGAGATAACCTTACATTTTCGTGATAAGCTTGATCTTACATACTACCTCGTCCTCGGAGTACTCTGGGATCCTATACTATTCGATTATTCGACTACTCTTATCATTGCCCTCCACACTCTCCTACTTCCCCCGGGGAGATCCAGATCCAGATCCCCCAGGATCTCCAATCTCCAATCTACAATCTACGGAGTAACTCCCCCAGATATAACCATAACCACCCATGGCTACCGTCATCACCATTCAGCCTTCCTCAACGGCTGTCCCAACCTCCCACTCTCCTTCTCTCCACCGTCGACATCCCTCCAACTCCAACTCCACCCCCAACATTCTTTCGCCCTCCCCTATCTCCATTCACTCTTCACTACCCCGGCTGGGTAGTAGGGATGCAGCCAGTTGTGACGCCTGCCTTCGTCGAAAGAGCCGCTGTGCTATGAATGACCTCGTCAATAAGTGTTACTCCTGTGACTTTCACCGCCAGGAATGCACATTTACCCTCTCGACCGAGGCCCCAATCAAGAAGCGCAAGCTGGAGGATTCCCCAAGAGAGCTTGAGTCTGTAAAACGGTATGTCCAGAGTGAGAAGAGGGAGGATGCCATGGAATCCGAGCTAAACATCTTCATTCAAGACCCTCTATACAATCCAACACACATACCCCGGCCCAACCTCCAGCCCCCGAGGCCGTACGCCTCCATCAAGGCGCCATGATTCGCCCAGGCTTCTTCAATCAATCGACCCAACATATTGGCATGACCACCGAATTGGAGCCGGCCCTCCTCGAATATCTGCCATTAGACGAATACGACGAATGCAACGTCTCCAACTCCCGCATCCGAAGATGTGCCGATGACTGCACCTTTATGCGTGTCGTCGACACCCTCCCTATCGGTGACTCGCAGGCCGTGTCACTCGACGCCATCGAGAGCCTGGTTGCTCCCTACGGCGCCACTTTGATTGAGAAGTTCTTCGACCATGTGCACCCTTCCTTTCCCATTCTCATGGAGGATGCTTTCCGCCAATCATACCGGGAACGCCGCCAATTATCCCCGCTACTCCTCGCCGCAGTCTATGTGCTTACTCTGAAGTTCGTCGATGTGGGCGCCTCCTCTCAAACAGCCCGCCGCCCGGACGCAGCGCGGTTAGAGAGCACAGCGTTGAAACTGCTGATTGAGTCTCTGCCGTTCCCCAGTATTTCAACGATCCAGGCCGGTCTGCTGTTAACGCAGAAGTCGACCTTGGCGACGGCCTCGCTGAATGGCCAGTTGGTGACTGCGTGCTTCGAGCTGGGTCTGCACCAGGACTGCTCGAACTGGCGCATGAAGACGTGGGAGAAGGGTCTGCGGAAACGTCTTGCCTGGGCTCTGTATATGCAGGATAAATGGTCTTCCTTAGTACACGGTCGTCCATCGCAGATCTTCGCCTTCAATTGGACTGTCAAGGATCTCGTGGAAGACGATTTCTCCGACGCTTTCCTCTCCGGTACCGACTCGGCGCACGACTCAGCAGCTGTTGGACACGGCCCTCTTCTATTCTGCCATATGGTGGCCCTCACAACCATTCTCTCCGATATTCTGGACCGCTTTTATACCCTCAAATCCATCGAGGATTTCACAGCCGCAGGCAACCAAAGAACCCGCATCATCCTCGAAAAGGCCAAGCCAGCACAGATCCGATTGAAGGAGTGGTTCTCCTCCCTACCCCCCTCATTGAAGATGGAATCATCAACCGGCGAGCTCGTCGAGACAATCACCGACGAACACGCCCGCAACGGCGCCCTCCACCTCGCCTATTTCGCCACGGAAATCACCCTTCACCGTTGTATCGTGCGCTCCCTCGCCACAGATGGCTCAGACTCCTACCTCGCACACATCTGCCGCGGCGCCGCAAAAACCCGCCTGATCTCCGCCATGGATTTCGTCAACCGCCTTCGTCCCGCTCATCTACGCTCATTCTGGCCCGCTTCCGCACGCACCAACTTCTCTCTAATCGGCTCCTTTGGTATGCTCCTTCGCATTACCGCGCCGACAAATGAGGAAGCAGATTTCTACCGCGTGCGTTTATGCGAATACCGCTGGACTTTGAGCGTTAGTCACAAGAATGCCGAGTTCATGAGCTTCGCTCTGGAGAGTCTTGACAATGCGACGGCCTTTGACAAGCATGTCCCCGAGAAGCCGAATATCGACGAACTCATGGCTTCGCAGAAACAGATTCCCCGTGTTTCTTTCGAGGGCACGTATGATGATGCTATGGCTGAAGCTGAGGCTACGCACGGCGCGGGCTCTTCTTCTGTTATCTCCGGTCTTGCATCTCCTGCTACTTCTGTTAGCGACATGGAAGATAATGATGGTTCGATGCTTTGAGCGCACCTTTTACCCTTCTTATACCCACCCCTCTATATATTCTCCTCGCCCTCCTCTCTCACCATCTCGCCACCTCCCCCTCCACCTTCTTCTCTCCTCTACCTCCTTCTCCCCCACCACCGCCTCACGCATACCGGCGTTTGGAACACAATGAAGCGCATGATTTTTTTTTGGATAGCCCTGTGATCTCATGGAACGGGATCACTCAAAAGGTTCGGGCAATGGTTTTTTTTTTCTGGAATGATGGATTTCGGAATGGTCGTTATGGTCCGGTTTTACTTTGCTTTGCTTTCGTTCGACTACCCCCTGGAACGCGCTGGATTTCGATATGTATATAGAACCGTGACGACATAGATGGTCATGAATTACGATAACTGATTCAATATTTTCTTCCTTGTACATTGACATGTAGAGTATAGTCGGGCCATTCTTGTGTAGGGATGTTTAGCTGGTGCTGGCTTCTTGGCTTAAAATGTCCTTTGAGTAAGAGGTTGGAGCTATTCACCGAATCGTCCAACATAATGCTATCTATATAGGAAATACACATAGCGAGCCCTGGAGGACTCGGAATAATCTACTTACTCCCGAGATCCACCTCCAAGCCAACGTCGTATCATCACCTACTCTTTCAGCGACCCTTCCAATAATATCAACGAGCAGAATGGCCAAATCGGCGATTGTCGGCGATAGGCATGGAGATCGGTTTCCCACGGACCTGCATCCTATTGGCCTTCTACTAAGCTCGAGATCCACAGACACCAACTCGATCGTGATGTCTGCGGTCATACTTTAGATTTTCAAGGTTTCAATTTGTAATGTAAATCATCTTAGCCTTACATTTCCCCGCATGAGCTCTTTTTCACTGAGGGGGAATGGGGTTTGGGGAGTCGGGCCTCCGAATTATCAGCCACTTACTTTGGGTTTTTGGGATCCTATAGCTTTTTCTATCGATAGCTCATATTACTGATAACGTATCAGGCGTAGCCGTTGAACCTTCAGGTCCGACGGATGATATCCGATAGCGGATAAACACGGTGAAAGGGATGGGATGCAAATGAGGCACGGGGCCACGGTTGATACGAGTACTTAAGAAGAAAAGATCCATCGATCTGAGGGAAGATACTAAATCGCCCAAATTCATTCAAATTTCCACAAAGGCGATTTAGACTAGTTTCGAGTGTACGACTGTCCTGAGTACTTCCACTTGGACAACTGAACTATACAAAACTCCACCAAACCCATCCCACTGGCACATCATACTACTGTCCAAAATGGCTTCCGATTGGAACCAAAATGACCTCCGTGCACGCTTCTGCCACGCCCTATCAGAAATGTACAAAACAGAAGTCCCCCTATACGGCGACCTAGTCGACGTCGTCCTAGAAGCAGACACAAAAGCGCTACAAGCAAGCACGAAATCCGGAGAAGCAGTCCCCATAAACCCAGACGATGTCCTCCCATCACGACACCGAGTCGAAAGACACGGCGCAATCCGACTAGGAACACCACACGAGCTCAGCACAATTCGACGCATGTTCGCCGTCATGGGAATGTACCCGGTAGGCTATTATGATCTCAGTCTCGCTGGATTCCCCATGCATGCTACAGCCTTCAGACCGACGACCCAAGATGCGCTCGCGGCGCATCCATTCCGAGTCTTCACGACGGTGTTGAGAATGGACCTTCTTACTGCGAAGACGCGGGAATTAGCGACGAAAGCGCTGGACCAAAGAAATATTTTCACGCCCAGACTTCTTACTTTGTTGGACATTGTTGAGTTAAAGGGGACCTTAACGCCGGATGAGTGTGTTGAGTTTATCAATGATGGATTGGAGACGTTCAGGTGGCATCCGAAGACTACTGTTACCCTTGACGAGTACACGATACTAAAGGCCGAACACCCATTAATTGCTGATATTGTTTCATTTCCCAATGCGCATATCAATCATCTCACGCCGCGAACGATCGATATCGACCTCGTTCAAAGGCTCATGGTTGAGCATGGAATGCCTGCGAAAGAGCGAATTGAAGGACCGCCCAAGCGGCAATGCCCGATATTATTACGACAGACTAGTTTCAAGGCTTTGCAAGAAACTGTCTATTTTGGCGATGTCTCTGGCTCGGGTGCAGCAATTAAAGGATCTCACACGGCGCGTTTCGGAGAAGTCGAGCAACGTGGTTACGCATTAACGCGAAAGGGCCGGCAATTTTACGATCAAATTTTGAATCAGGTTAATGATCTCGCGGCTGGGAATCGACGAAAACTAAACTATACTACCGAATACGAATCTCTGCTGGCGAAATCGTTCGAAATATTCCCGGATACGCTCCCGCTCTTCGAGAAGAGGGCCTTGCATATTTTTGCTATAGGCTGACTCTAGCCGGCGAGAAGTATGCAGAGCACCGTGATGACGACTTCAGTAGATGCGTGCCACCACTTGGTACAGCGACAGAATCAGTCCAAGACCTTCTAGACAGAGGAATTCTAAGCTACGATCCGATAACGTATGAGGATTTCCTTCCACTATCTGCGGGTGGCATTTTCAATTCCAATCTTGGCGACGTCTCCCAGTCTAAGCAGCTCATTATGAGTGCCGAGTCGGATTTGGATGGGTTCCAGCGTGCTCTGGGAACTTATGTTGCGGATGAATTTCACCTCTATGCAGAAATGCAACGGGGATCTCTTGAGGTTTGCAGGCAGAAACTTGGCTTGAGGGAGATTTCTAAGGTATAGTTGGTTGATAATATGCTCAAGGCTTGGCTTTGGGGTCAATTTCGTCATTCACTTTTACTGGGGGATGAGGTTACTGGAATTCTGTTGCATGACTACCTTCCTAAAGTAGGTAAGTACTCGCCAGCTTGCTACGTTCAAGTTTTTAATTTTCTCTTGGTTATAGATTTAGCCGTTCCTGCCTTTCATACTTTTCTTGACCTTGCATTGCGGAAATTTATTTTCCTGAAATTTATCAACTCGTGCAGTATAGTCTTCTCTAGATTCACAGTCATTTACTCAGTATTATCTCAGATCCATCCATGGATGGATGTAAATTTTCATGAGAAACCACCTGTGGCATGATGTACACTGGAGAACTGGGAGTCGGGTCTACCTGTCATCGTTTCAGATGTAATCACGCCTGTTCTAGAATTGGAACATCTCCAAATGATATTCTACCATTCAGTTGGGTATTTTCTTCAGATTTTAACTTATTTTTGTTAACCTTGGATAATCTAGATCTTTTTTAGTGTAAGCGGTGTCAGACACATCCATATGTAAGCATCATGCCGAATGTCTAGCCAACTCAATCCACACAAATCAACCTTGGCCAAGTATACCTAGATTACCATTGCACTATTTTAGGTTTTAGCAATGCAGAGCACAATTCTGCCCATCGCGCCTAAGAATACCCTTTGCGGAGGCAAAACACCCCAGAATTCCCTGACAGCGAGATTCGGCCGGAGCGGGGATGTGGGAGCCGATGCTGTGCCTACCCCAAACTCAAACCCAGAGGCGCCCGACTAGCGACAAGCGGCAATTCGGCAAGCCGAACCACCAAATTCCCGCCACCGAGACTCATTTCGACGGGATCTCCCGCCCCGGCCGAATCGATCCCAAATGAAAGCAATAACAGTGAGGCTTGGCCAGGGTGCACGGGCTGTGCTGTAAATTTCTATTTGAATTCTTGGCGATGATTTGGCTAGACTGTAGGAAATGGTTTCCGGTGGAAGTTTATACTAGTACACTGGTAGTAGTAGTAGGATATATAATGCCGATTTCCAATTATGAACTTACTTCAAGTTGAAGTCGGGATTTACCTGTATGCCCGTTATCTCACCCAATAACTAGCACCTGGGCACCTTGAGATAGAAGAACTTCAAACCTCGATCTGCATGTCATCAGTTCAAGATCTTTCCCACGATGATATTTCTTGGCATGTCTGGGTCGGAACCCTGAGTACAATCATACCTGCTACTTTAGTGGTGGTCCTGCGGTTCGCTGCCCGGTATGTTTCACGAGCTGGATTCTGGTGGGATGACTACACTATTGTCATATCTTTGGTACGTGCGTTGAACGAACTCCCCGCATAGCGGAGAACAACAAAGTTAGCTAACAACCTGATTGTACAGTTCCTAAACTGGATTATGGATGCTCTGAGATGGGCCCAGGTCCTCCATTTCGGACTGGGAAAACACAACTATATGATAACAAATCAGACATTCCAAAGCTTTGGAAAGGTACGTAGCCTTCAATTCCTGTCAAACAAAGCATTCATCTTATACATGAATAGACTTTCATCGGTACCCAAGTCATTTATTTCACAACGGCCGTTTTTACAAAGCTTTCTCTCCTCCTCCTTTATTATCGAATCTTCGGCGTCGTTCGCGGCTTTCGCTGGGCTCTATACGCCTCTTTCTTCCTCGTGATCGCCTATTTTATATCATGCACGATCGTATCGATCGTATCGTGTGCCCCAGTCTCCAAATTTTGGGACCCCAGTCTCCCTGGATACTGCATCGACGAGGTCGCCTTCTTTCGTTGGAACGGTTTTGCGAATTTGGCTCTAGACATTCTTGTCCTTTGTCTCCCATACCCCATGGCTTGGCGATTGCAGACATCTGTACGACAAAAGCTCATTCTGACCGGAATATTCCTTCTCGGAAGCTTGTAAGTTCTCCCTTGGCTTAGGAGGTGGACTTGACTAAGGCCCCGGGGCTAACATATCATGATACTATAGTGTCTGCATTGCCTCTGTTCTCCGTATCGTTAGCTTCGACTTCTTGAGCCTTGAGGATGTGACCTATGTTAGTGCCAACCCGTCGACTTTCTCTTCTATTGAGCAATCGGTTGGTATCATTTGTGCATGCCTTCCAACCCTTCGCCCGCTTGTTCGTTGGCTATATGGGGGCTCGAAAAATACATCGGAGGAAAGAGAGATTTCTACCGGCGTGTCATCGAACAGATCCTCCTTTCCTCTCCGCGATTCATCGCGGGATGAGGAGAACAATGCGGGAATTTCAGGGCCATCTTGTGTACAACAAGCACTCGAGCACGAATCGCTGTCTCCAGAATCTGCGCCATATAGTCCCGAAGGCCGGGAGTCTTGGATGCAGGGAGAAAACCAAGATGGTGAGGTCGGGACAAATGTTCCACGTCCTATATCATTTGCTTGATCATTCCTTCCTTAACAAAGTGTGTTACTTTGGTGGGTATGGGCGCTTGTTATTCCGTGATACCCCTGTACGTTTATGCTTATTTTATGGCGACACAGTCGGTGCCGATTGTTTTGATTATACTGGTATTTATCTCCGAAAGCAAAAAGCATTCTTTACGACCAAGTTCAGCCTTTTCATATATACCACCTATTTCCTCTATCGTAGCAGTCACGGTACTACGCGACGGAATGAAATTTGAAACTTGAAACTTGAAAATATGAAATCGGCTTGACATTCCCATTTTCGCAGATAAAGTTGAATAATAGATATAGAATACAATGCACACAAAGGATCTGCGAAACCCATCTATCTGTACAAAACATGCTGCAAACCAATAATGCATCACATCACATCACGTCACATCTTCGCCAAGCATTCGCGAAAATGTAAATTTCGTGCTTCCAGTCCGCTCATGACCGGGCCTCGACTTTCGGTGTGTCCTCGCTATCCTCGACCACCACGGCGCCCTCCTCCAACAGCTCTTCCGGTGTCTTGACGCGCACTTCCATCACGCGCATAATGGTGTAACGGTGCTTGCTCTTGGCCGTCTTGGTATGCCGTTGTCTCCGCTTGGTCTTTTCCTTAATGCGCAAGGGCTCGGACTCGGTACCGGTCACTCGGACGCGGCACTCGAACAACCGCTCGTCGACGTGCGGGGAGCCCTTCAGCGTGAAGTCACGGGATCCCACTGCAGACGCGCGGTTGAATCGCAGAACATCACCGGGCTTGACATTGGGCATCAGGAATGGCAGACGGAGGTGATCGCCCTCGGTGAGGAGGAAAGGGCGCGCGTGGAGCTCCGCGACAACGTAGTGTGGAGACTGTCCGACCAAGTGAGGGAGGGTTGACATAAGGGACTTTGTCACTTCGATGGGGCCGTCGAAGGATGGGGCGACGGGTTTCTTTGCGTTGGGGAAATCTGCGTCGGTTTGAGGAGTGGTGGTGTTGGGTGTAGAAGTCGGGGTGGAAGGCTGGGTATCTTGTACTCGGGGAATGGCTCCAAGAGGTGTGTCGGGGATCGTGGAGTGAGATTGAGTCTGAGTGGTGCGGAGCCAGGCGGTTTGGTGCAGACAAGCTCGTTGAGGAAGGGGAGCTGCTGAAATCGAGGACGGGGCTACGAATCGCAGGTCGGAGGCAAAGCTCCGGAGAACGGAACGGGAAAACATGGTGAGAGAACCTTTCCTAACGCTCAAGACGAATTGAGGGGAGGAAATAGGTTCGGTGGTTCGTTGGATGCAGAGGCGGCTCTCTGTTGCGGTCGAGAAAATCAACGCTGGCGCTGCTGGCCGCTTCGTCTGCCGTAGTGTCACGTGATGGAAGTTTCCAAACTCGATAGTTAGAGAGGGGATAACGTAGAATCTGTCGTGGACAGATTATTATATTTTAATTTTATACATATTATCTATTTTACACAGTCCAGCACCAACCTTGAAATGTTCACTTTTATAGCAGTAGAGTACGAGTATTGCTAAGTAAACACCCTTGGGCAGTGCTGACTACTTCTTTTCTGCTGCCGATAACAGTCACGTGCGCTTCTAATCTTTGCCGTCGAAACAACTTTTTCCGATTAGATCCTGTAGACCTCAACTTCGTCCCACAGGTTGTACTCATTCTACACTCATCATGGTATGTTCCTCGAATATCCCCTGCTATTCCTCCATGTATCCAGGTTTTCTAACGAATTTTCTCCCCAACAGCCTCAGAACGAGTTCGTCCCCAACCCCCACCGCAACGATGCTTCCCCCCCAATCCCAACTAACCCACCATCAGGTATATCGAGCGCTGGACAAAGCAGCATGGAAAGCGTCTCGATCACGATGAGCGAGTCCGCAAGCGCCAAGCGCGTGAATCCCACAAGCAATCACACAATGCCCAGAACCTCACTGGTCTGAGGGCCAAGCTGTACCAGCAGAAGCGTCACAAGGAGAAGATCCAGATGAAGAAGCGCATCAAGGAGCAGGAAGAGAAGAATGTCAAGTCCTCCGCTCCCGACGAGCCCTCCAAGACTCCTCTGCCCCAGTACCTGCTCGACCGATCCCAGGCTACCAACGCCAAGGCCCTGTCCAGTGCTATCAAGGATAAGCGAAATGAGAAGGCTGCCAAGTTCGCCGTTCCCTGCCCAAGGTCAAGGGTATCAGTGAGGAGGAGATGTTCAAGGTTGTCAACACCGGAAAGAAGACTCACCAGAAGTCCTGGAAGCGCATGATCACCAAGCCCACTTTCGTCGGTAGTGACTTCACTCGTCGCCCCGTCAAGTACGAGCGTTTCATCCGTCCCATGGGTCTGCGTTACAAGAAGGCCAATGTCACACAGTATGTTTCTTCCGACGATAAGCCAGTACATCAAATTTTGTACTAACCATTCATCCTCAGCCCCGAGCTTGGTGTCACTGTCCAACTGCCCATCTTGTCCGTCAAGAAGAATCCCCAGAACCCTCTGTACACTCAGCTGGGTGTTCTGACCAAGGGTACCATTATGGAGGTCAACGTCTCCGAGCTTGGTCTTGTTACCACCAGCGGTAAGGTTGTCTGGGGTAAATGGGCTCAGGTCACCAACGTGTAAGTTTTCTCAGGATCCTCAAGTTAATTTTTTCGCTGAAATACTTACCATTTCACAGGCCCGAGAATGACGGTTGCGTCAATGCGTAAGTCTCTTCATTCCACATTTGACATCGATCGCACAGCTAACAATAACCCTAGTGTTCTCCTCGTCTAGATTCATTTCCTGATGATTAGATTGCCCTCTACTTCCCTTCTGGCAGAGTCCCCTCTGTCTTCGATACCACCTCCCCCGGGCATTTCTATGCTTGATTTTGTTTCATGGTTCATATGATCTGGTTAATAAACCACGCTATTTCTTCGGTGTTCATGGCGCATTTTCCCAAGTCTTTGGTCTTTGGGCGAAAAGTATCCTGCATGCTTTTATTCCTCTGGAATGTAGTTAGACTAGCTTAGCTATCACATAAGTACCCGGTTTCTACCGGAATTCATCTTTTTTCACTCTGTTTCAATGGATCCTTCTGCTCGCAATGACTCTATGTCCGCCTGGGCACGTTCTCGCTCGCTCGTTCGAACTGGGCAAGTTATGAGCCAGTCAGTCCACCAATTTGCATTGTCGGGTTAAGCATTAAACACAGGGATTCTGATGATAACTTTAATCGAACTCAGTGCCCCAAATTGCAATCTTAAATCAAAACTTTAGTTCAAGTTCTTTATTCTCAGTCCTGACATGGAGATTGTCATTGGACGTCTAGCAGAGGTGTTTAATGAACTCCGATATTCAAAATATGTAAATTAACACCGAGTTTTCATGATACTCGTTTCCTGGCTGGTTTAGTTCACCTAAAAGAAGGTGACTTGAATTGTTCAAATCTACTTTCTGACTATCTATAACTGCGGGGGATATCCTGGAGAATTACCGGGGCTGCACGGCCTCGGACCCCGGCGGAATGCGGAGCTTTCGCAGTATGTTCTGCAAGAAAGTATTTCAATACCTGGATACTTGTAAATAATGGACTCAAATACTCCTAACTCTATATTGGCTATTGATCAGATTATTCATTATTGATTGAATTAGTAGTTGAATCGGTACTTGCAATGGTGGTTTATCAACCGGGGACCAGGGGCCTCGGGGATAGTCTCCACGAGCACGAAAGTGGACAGCCAGCCACAGTGGGTCTGCCGCTTCCTGCATGGTGAATGAATGCCATTGTGGCTCTTACTGACACAACTACATTGACCCCCCCTTATACGTATTAGACTCACCGCTAAAACCAATTGGTAGGCTAGCTCGCCGCACTCCGCAATCAGGCGATGCCATTAAACTTCACTATCTCTCCCCAGTCATTAAACCAACTCAAGCTGTATCCGGCTCAACGCCCGTGATCATCTCTTTGCCTCAGAGCCAACATCCATACGCTAGTTACAACATCATGGCCGAGCCAGTTCCACCCACCGAGCTGGGCCGTCTCCGCGTCCTCTGCTCCACGGCCGGAGTTCGCGTTTCCCCTTTAGTGCTGGGCGCCATGTCGGTTGGTGACGCATGGGCTGGGATGTTGGGATCAATGGACAAGGAATCGTCCTTCAAGCTCCTTGATGCCTTCTGCGAAGCCGGTGGGAACTTCATCGACACGGCTAATGCATACCAAAATCAACAATCTGAACAGTGGCTTGGCGAGTGGATGCAGCTCCGTCAGAACCGTGATACTCTTGTCTTAGCTACCAAATTTAGCCTGGACTATCGTGGTCATGCACTCGGGCTTGGTCCGCAAATCGCCAACTTCGCGGGTAATTCTCGACGGACTATTCATGTTGGGATCCGTGATTCATTGAAGAATCTGCAGACGGATTTTGTTGGTAAATACATTCTCTTCGTTGGATCTACGTAAAAGTCAGCTACTTATGAGGCCTTCATTCAGATATTTACTATGTCCACTATTGGGATTACACGACCTCGGTTAAAGAGGTCATGGATGCACTGCATATCCTCGTTGAACAGGGCAAAGTTTTGTATCTGGGGGCATCTGACATACCAGCCTGGATAGTGTCAGCAGCGAATACTTATGCTATCGATTACGGAAAGACGCCTTTTAGTATCTACCAGGGCCGGTGGAACTTACTGATTCGAGACTTGGAGCGTGAAATAATTCCCATGGCCCGCCAATTCAACATGGCACTTGCACCGTGAGTACTTCCTTCTGAAACTGCCCAAACAGAGCCAAAAAAAGCGAATGAGAGAGAAGATTCTGATCAAACATGCCAATAGATGGGATGTCCTCGGCGGAGGAAAATTCAAAACAAAAGCCGAGATCGAAAAACGCAAGGGCGAGGGAGATGCTCTTCGCAGCCGTCCCGGAGAAGCCGCCTCACAAACCGAAGACCAAATCAAAATGAGCGAGGCCCTTGCCAAAGTTGCCGCGGAGCAGGGTATCGAATCTATCACTGCTATTGCGCTGGCGTATGTAATGTCCAAAGCGGCCAATGTTTTCCCTATCATTGGAGGGAAGAAGGTCGAGCAATTGAAAGATAATATTCAAGCGCTGAGTATTAAGCTTACTCAAGAGCAAATTGAGTATTTGGAGAGCGTTAAGCCGTTTGATATTGGCTTTCCGCATGATTGGATTCCGGCTGATCCGAATATTACCGGCGAGTCGTTTTTAATTGCGAGGTCGAATGCGATGAAATTTCCGAATGCTCGCAGGCTTACGTCGCTCTGAAGATGAGTAATGCTGGAGGATTCTGGCAATATACAATAAGGATAATACTAGCATGTCATTGCTTTGCGATAATTTACACAATCCATCATAATTCGTCAATTTCTACCCAAAAAGGTCAAGTAAATGCCAACTGTATCTTGAACAAAACTGAAAAGAAGTCTGCGGTTCAAATTTGAACTGAAATGGCGCATAGGAGGTCAGTAATTGTCTGCTGTACTTTTATCAAGGGCCAAAATACTCACATTTCCTGAAATTGATACAGTCCTGCACGTGGCTAGATGAAGACTAGCACTGTAGTCGTTGATGAGGAATCACTCGACCTCATTCCAACGATCAGCCTTGGCCGCCATGGAGACTTTCTGAGATTGCCAGAATTCCGAAACGTGCTGCTTCAAAGACTTCCACTTAAGAGACATGTTGGATGTTCCGAAATGATATTTTTTTTTGGCTTGTGGGTAGATGAAGATAGAGAGTGAAGAATACTAGTAGATGTCGTTTGGAGTTCAGGGATATTGAATCATGCACTGAAGAGATACTCGTTCTCATCACTCGAGATATTTGACCTCTTATATATCCTCCATCCTGAACGAAGAATGTAAGCAATGATTCTCGATGGGGCTATCTCGATAATCTAGATTATCGCCACTCATAAACATAACTCAGCAACATTCGTAGAAACACGGTTCGGTTCGAGCCGGGGATTGGTTGACTGGTCTCTGAGTCTAGTAATGGTGTCTAAATCCGGCGAACGGGCCGAAGGGGTTGCTCAGCAATAAGTTTTCCGGTGGCGAATGGCATCTAGAATATGGTTGTTGGTCAGCGGGCAATCTTTGGTTCCAAGTCCCACTTGCCGAACTCCAGTATGGCGATACCCCATGCGAGGGAATATGGAGATGTATACAGGGATTTAATTGAATAGAGATCATGTGAACTAGGTGCATTGACTACTGGCTACTACATTTTTATGTACAGCTGGTTACTTCGCGTTCGAAAAGTTCCGAAAAGAGTAGGATCAATTAAAGGCCACCAATAAGGCGCTAAGAAACTCCCATAACCCCAATGCTTGATTCGACAGCCCTGTGCAAGCAGGAAAAGGAAACAAAAAAAGTCATATACAGAATGGATAGGTCACACGCTTTGCTAATTCACCAATGTGGGTTGCTGGTTCAACAAACAAAGCCCATAAGGGGGGATGCGGAAGGAAAAAAATAGAAGCAGATAATAAGTGGCAGTTCAGATATCAGTGAGATCGACCACCAATCAGCTCTAGACAGAAGAATCGAAAACCCCATCGAACACCGGTCATTAAGTCGTTCTGAGAAAAGAAAAGGAGAGAACAAGGTCTGGGAACATGAAGACAAAAGAAATGAGTAAGGACCGGTCAGGAATTTTCTTCTTCCAGGGCTGCTTTTATTTTTGCAAAGAACCCAGCGGGCCAGGCAGCCAACTCTTCTTCTTTGGGGATACCGCGTGCTCGGCAGTGGTTGACAACATTTGCAAGGATGCGACCGAGCATATCCTGCGTGACAGGCACAGCGCCCTCAAGCTGAGCGTCGGGGTGAAGGAAGGGATCACGGGGGCCGAGCATCTCTTCAATGGTTGGTCGAAGTGTCTGGTCACGCTGCAAGCAGCGCTTCAGGGTTCGGATGAGACCAGGAGGGACGGTGATACCGCCGACTCCGTGGGATGGAAAGTCGATTTGTACACGGGGGTTCGGAATTGCCATAATTCGCTCATAGTATTTGGCGATCTTTGCGAATGGTGGCTGGCCATACACCATTTTGTACAGAATGCAGCCCAAGCTCCAAACATCACTAGGCTTACCCAGCTTCATCACTTTGCCAACGCTTGCCGGCAGTCCGAGAGAGGCATTCGAGTCGACCAAAGCCTCCGGGGACATGTAGTTGGGTGTACCAACTTGTTGTTCTCGGTGAACGTTGACAGTGTTATCTTGGATCGCATTGGCGATACCGAAGTCGATGAGCTTAAGCCGACCCTGAACCATGAGGAAGTTGGCTGGCTTCAAGTCAGAGTGGACGATGTTGTATTCGTGCACGGCCTGTACACACTCAAGCATTTCTTTCCAATAATAACGGACAAAGTTGATATCAAATACAGCATCTTCAGCATTGAGGCGATGGGCGAGGATTTTCTCGAGGTCGGATTCACCAATTTCCATAAGCACACTCAACGAGTGCTTGTCAGAGTTGAGCTCCCAATCGAAAAGTCGAACCACACGGTCAACATTCTCCAACTTCTTCAAAAGGTCGATCTCACCCTTGTAACCAGCCAGGGTTAAAGGGTCGACATCTTCCAAGTTCACCCTCTTCAGTGCGAAGATCTTATAGTTCTCTGCCATGACACGATAGACACGCGAACTTCCTCCGCGGCCAATGCAGTCAAGACGAGTGAAATGCTTGTGATTGATAGACACCTGTGTCCGCTTCTTTCGAGACTGCGAGGTCGAAGCTCCGGCAGTAGCGGTTGCCGTCTCAAGCATCGACATTTTTGGAGGTGGAGGGGCTGGTCTATGTGGTGTGTTGCTGCTGCGTGTGGAAAGAATCTTGCGCGGCGAATCGCCGGCGGGGGTTTCCACGGAATCCTTTTTATCTGTATCATAAACAACCGAGAACTTCTCTGGTTTGTCTAACAGATTCAATCCTTGAGGCTTGGTGCGTTTGAACGTGGGTGGTGGCTCATTCTCCTGGTCTCTTACAGAAGGCAACGGCGGTAATGACGGAACCTTGAAGACAGGTTGTTCCTTCGCACTGGATGGCTTTGATGACATTTCTGAGGATGCGGGTGTCGACTTTGAGTGAGATCCATAAGACCTGGGAGAGGCCGATCTTGAAAAGAGACCATCGGTCGGACCACTGACGGGCTGTTCGGGGCGATGTGATTCCCGCTCTTGGGGTGGACTCGGATCTGCCCAAGATACTTTCGGTGACGATTGTCTGCGGGGTTGGTACTCGACATTGTTATCATGCTCCGGGTTCTCTCTGACATCTTCGTTCAACAAATAGTTTTCTTCGTTATTCTCTTCACTTTGGCGGCGCAATACGCCTCGGCGTGCTGGCCCATTCAAAAACGTGCCGGTGAGACGTCCAACTCTCTTCACCCGCAACGAGCTCTGAGGGCCAACATCTTCACCATTGCGACCGCGCAAAACTGATGATGATCCAATATGAGACACGGGATCTTCCTCGCTTTGAGCAAGACGGGATTTCCGATCGCTGTCTGATCGGTTGGCGCTCCCATACTCGTCCCCAGAATGGCGTTCTGTGGAGCGTTTAACGGAAGGTGAAATAGATGAGGGAGATCGCGTATGACTGCGTGATACATTAATTCGAACACTGCGCGGTCGAGGCGCGGGAGTAATAAAGTCATTTGGGCGGTCTTGAACTTCAGAATCGGCGCTCTGGCTGTTAGACAGAGGGGATCCTTCGCGCGAGTACCTGGAAGCGGGAGAAGCGCCAGCAATTCGGACTACCCTGGGAGCTGGGCTACCTGTTGATCGATCATGAGGCGAGGCATTCCGGGGCGATTGACTGTTTTGCCTCGATCCGACGGCAGCGCGACGCTCATATGCGGCATGTCCCTTTTGCAGATGTGGCGAAGATCCCAATCCATCTCCATCTAAAAGCGCCTTGACGGAGGCGCTGAACTTGGGCTCTGGAACCTCCTCATCAGAGCTGTCGCCTGAGTAATGCCGAGACGTTGTCCGGGGTAGGTCGCGGGCGTGGAGAGCGGGAGAGACCCGTCTGGAACCGGAGCGCGAAACCGCGGGTCGGGACATCGGATGAGATGATTGTGGTTGCTGGTATAGACCGGAGTGGTAGGCGGAAGATAACGAGTTTGGGGAGGCCATGGCGGGCAGTCACCTACATTGAAGTCGTAGATCAATGTGGTACCGCTGTGGCCCAGTCGAATGTTTGTTGTCGAAGGAAGAAGATGGCCTCGTCCAAGTTTGGAAGCTGCCGCCAACACGCGCGGGTATGAGGAGTCACGTGAAGTGTGTTGCCACGGTTACCCGCAGCCACAACAAAGAATGTTCATACTTCCAAGTTGCCAGTGTACAGTCATGGTTGGCACATTATCACATTCAAGTTACTTTTAAGTTGCTCTCATTTATATCTCCGTCCATTCAAGCCATACATGGCCAGAGCTTACCGCATCCATTGGTCATACTCCTGTTCCAAGTTAACCGCCACTGGCACTGGAACCGCAACTTTGCGCTCTACTACCTAGGTACTAGTACTACTTGCTAGGCGAATGGGGATCTTCAAAATGACTATCTAATAGGTAGACAATTTTGAACAATTTCCAACAGTTCCAGGACTATATATATATATAACTTGAAGCTCTTTCAAAAAGTCACTGTCTAGGGCCTACTTAAATGGCTACTAAAATCGTAGCGGGAATATCAAACGGGACTCGGAGGTATATCGGGCGAAGGTAGTACTAGGCACAACTTGAATACGCCATGTAATGCTGCCACTAGTAGGGGTAGGCAACCAAAATGACATGAGTAGGGGAATACTTGAGAAACACGCAAAGTGCTGCTTTTGTAGCCGTTTCCCACTTAGCCGACCTGGGATTATAAATTCCGGGCCATGACCTCGGTAATACTGTAGAGCATGTTCCCCTCCCCGCAGTACCTCCCAACTAGTATTTACCAACTTGAACTAGCCTGGATTATACTATCATTCACAATCATTCTTTCTGTCGCCGAGCTGAGCAATGGAGGAAAGACGCCACGTCCCAAAACGCGTGCGAACAGCCCGATTGGGAGCCTGCTCGCGCTGCGTCGCGCGAGGGGAACGTTGTTATATTGGTGTCAGAGGAATTCCATGCTCTGGATGTCGCCGGTTGAATCTCCGCTGCGAAAGCTCCGTAAACCCACGAGTAGTAAAGTTAGTAGTGCTTTCACCCTCCTCTCCAAATCGTGTTTGCTAACATATGAGTAGTTGTAGTAGACCACACGCCAAAAAGCAAACACCTCTGATATACTGTGATGGTAAGAATGCAATGCATGATCTCACATCAAACCACGGCTGAAAACACTTCGATGATAGAAAAATCTTTCAAATCTCAGATCCACCGAACCGTCCAGGAACATAAATTGCAGAAGAGCGCAGACCCTGCGGTCGCAGCAACTGACCCATTGGAAAATTACATCTCCATTGCCCGTCAATTACTCGGCCCCGATCCCCTCACCCCACCTATCTCCATTGACATGTTCGGCAATGTGCCTGAATTGTCGAGTGATTGGGATCCGGGCGACCATGAATGTTCGCAAGGCAAGGAGGTCGTCGATGTTCCGACTACACGGTTTCGAAATGCGCTGCTAAAGAGCTACTTGTTATGGGTCCATCCCCAGCTCCCTATCTTAGAAGCGGACAGCTCCTATGTGGAATTGCGATAAACAATGGCCATAATACATGTGGCCTACTATTATACCACGCAGTTTTGTTCGCAGCGTCGGCTTTTGTAGATATTTCCTATATCCACGACGAGGGTTACAAGTCGCGCAGAGCCGCTCGTAACGTGCTGCTCCAACGCTTCAAGGTCTGTATTCACATCAGTCAATTACTGTCGTTGGAAAATAGTGTGGAGATCTGAATGCTGACAGTTGTGACTAGACTCTGTTGGACACTTCATGTAAAGACGACAACCCCCTTGCAACGGTACAATCGCTCCTCTTCGTGACTTATTGGAATGATGGACTCCATTCCGAGGAGGAAATTCATTGTTGGATAGGTACCTGTTTATCAGTGGCAGTGCGCATCGGCCTCAATTACGAGCCCAACTCTTTCAAGCTTACATCGACCAAGCAGAAGACGTGGAAACGAACATGGTGGGCGTTGCACAACCATCTTCGCCTGGCAACTAAAGACTTATCATCTAAAATGCTCATCCAGGAAGGTTGCACAGACAAGATTTTGTTCGATATGCCCATGATTACCATTGACGACTTCCAATTCGGAGTCTTAGCACCTGAAGCACGAGCCCTCGTGGATGACTGCGATGTTGCTCACACGGTTGAATCACAGAAGATACAAGCCCATTTGTTCATCGAGAAGACCAAACTCTGTCAATTGTCACTCTTTTCACGTATCGCAGATAGAGTGACTATGCTGGCGCGTGGAACCAACGAACAAGAGCCAGCGTCCTGTCGGCAGAAAAATGGTATTAATGACGATACGACGGAGGAGCTGCGTAGATGGAGCATGGAGCTTCCGGCTGCAATTCGCTATCAATATCCATCGAGGCTGGTCCAGAATGAGTGGGATAGAAGCACGTACTTACATCGAGCGTGGCTGCGACTCCTAAATTTGGGTTCGTTGTACGCGGTCTTCTCTGATCAATTCCAAACAGCCAACGAGACTTTCTCCAGTCCATCGACATGGATTCAATCCGTCCAGGCGGATCGGTTGTTGTCAGATATCACGGATCTATTTGATGAGGTTGACAGTCTGGGGCTGTTGGAATTTCTACCATCCTCTGCCACGCCACTGTTAGTGTTGGCCCTAACTTACCACCAGCGACCCCTCAGCGCAACTTCGTCCTTTGACCAAAATAATAGAACCCGCTCCTTGCAAAAATGTTGGAATATGATCCACAGGCTGGAAGAAACATCTCGACTGGCGGGACATACATTAGCAGCGCTTAAAGACTCCGTATGGGAGGAAATGTGGGACCATTTTGCGTCTAGGCTACTACCCCACGACACATACTTGACCTCAGGGGGCACAAAGTAGCACTCATAGACATTTGAAGGCGCTCCAAAAATACATCGTGCCGAGGACATGGACAATGTCAAAAATATTAAACAGACTTGATGTGTCAACTATAATCCCGGCCACTTTTGGCCAAAACAGGAAGAATCATGATGGTTAGTGAGGCAGTAAAGGGTACGCAGGTGGTCTAGTAATAACTGGGCGATGGCCTCGGTCCAGAGCACCGAGGCTGGACAGTGCTGTCCACGATCTGGGTCACGGCTGGTCGCTTCTCAACTACAGCCCGACCCCACCGGCACACATGAACTTTTTTTCAAGTCCACATAGGGAAATAAAAAGGTAAGTATCGCCTTGGCTAAATTAATCAATTAACTGGACTCTATTTGCACAAAATTTGACAGACTCAAGCGAGTATGGCACTCATCACCACCCCAACCACCCAGCTCCTTCACATTGATCACCCTATCCTGCTTGCAGGAATGGGTCACACTGCCGGTTCTGACCTGGTGGCTGCCGTTTCTAACGCAGGAGGATTGGGAGTGCTTGGTGGATTGGGTTATACGCCAAAAATGCTCCGCGACGCCATACAGGAAGTGAAATCCAGGCTTCGAAAGCCGGATCTACCCTTCGGCGTAGATCTCCTTCTTCCACGGGTGGGAGGTTCAGCCCGCAAGACTAACAAGGACTACACTAAAGGCGCGCTAAATGAGTTAGTTGATGTGATCATCGAGGAGAAAGCGGCGCTCTTCGTTTCGGCCGTGGGCATTCCCCCGAAAGAAGTTATTGATCGGCTTCATGCAGCGGGCATCTTATACATGGTATGTAAGGCGATATAAACAATGTCCCCGACTTTGAAAGATTGAACTTAGGCTGATAGCCTGAAACACAGAACATGGTCGGCCATCCAAAAGTGTGCCTTTGAGACTATTTGATATTTTGAAAGAATCTCAAGCACAAGTTGCTGACTATTGACACAGCATGTCCACAAAGCCTGCCAGGCAGGTGCTGATCTCATCTGCGCGCAAGGAGGCGAAGCAGGCGGTCATACAGGTGAAATTCCGACCAGCGTGCTCATTCCTGCCTGTGCGGATGCTTGCCGACAATATAAGTCTCCTTTAACGGGAGAAACGGTTCAGCTTGTAGCAGCGGGTGGCATATTCGACGGCCGAGGCATTGCTGCAATGATGATGATGGGTGCTAGCGCAGTATGGATTGGAACACGTTTCGTCACAGCCCGTGAATCTGCCGCTCCCAAACTAGGCAAGAAAGCGTAAATATTGTTATTATTATCAAGTATAAAGCAATTACGGCCGGCTAACCTAATTGTGAGGGTAGTATCATCGACGCTGGATTTCATGACACCATGAAAAGCACTTTGTGGACGGGCCGACCGCTCAGAGCTCTCGCAACGCCTTATATACGAGACTGGGAGCTGAACCGTCGCAATGAAATCGAGAAGCTGCAGGGCCAAGGTTTGATTGTATTGGATTATGAGCTGGACAAGCTAGCAAAAGACGGTCAATTGACAGAAGAAATTGAAGACCTGACTACGCAGAGGTACGTTATGAATGTCAACTCCTTCAATTGGAGCCATGCTGAATCTCACACAGGCCTATGGGCTGTGGTGCCGCTATGGTGACCCAAGAAGATCAATCGGCAAAGGAAATCGTGCTGGAGATGGTGATTGAGGCTTTCGGGCTGCTGAGAGGAGCGCGACAATATGTGGGAGCAAAAATATGATTGACTTGGAGTAAATATTGCTGTCATCAGACATGCCCAGGTGATTGAAAATACTGGTACATAGTTGCATAAAATTCCATTTAGGCAAAAATCTTGAAAATTCAATACAGTGATATACAAAATAGTACTATTCTTTGAATTGGTGAAGTATAATATGTATTGTCCATTTCGCACAAGAAGACTCGCATGTATAATGTACAAATAAAGCAAGACCATCTGATGGCTATTAAGATTGGAATTCAACTTTGATAAAACTTACTGGGGAGCTTTGATTCTTAGTTTCTCTTCATTTCATTCAATTACAGCAAGATCAAAAGCAACTTAAAAGATTCCAACAGGCAACTGTAATGGTGTCGGCTCTTTTACTCGGCCCTCAAGTATACTAGGCTTCGGAGTACAGGTCGCAGATTACGTGAGGCCCTTGATAAACATTAAGTGAGACAAGTCTGAAGTTACCGGGGAATCTGTCCAAATAACGACTTGAATGGTCCGAGGTTCCGGCAAGTTGTCCAATTTCAAGACCCGGTTGAAATCGCGCTGTGCGGTGACGCCCTTACCGAGGTCTGCCTTGGCCACACCCAAGGGTAGAAAAGGACGACCGCAGAAGCAAGGAGCTCTGTTCAGGCCTCAATTCAACTACAAGGAGACCTTCTCAGCTCTTACTCAACGATGGGTCCCCCAAAGGTCCCTGTAATCATCGGAATCGGCGAAGTAAAGAACAGCTCTCGCCAAAAGGAGGATGCGATCGAGCCGTTGGATTTAATGCTAAATGCGATCAATATATCAGCTCACGATGCATCCAGCTCATTTCCGGAGAAACTTATTGCTTGTGTTGACAGCGTGGGCGTCGTGGCTAGTTCGACGTGGCGGTACAAGGACCTCCCGGGCCTGGTATCTGAAAAGTTAGGAATTCGACCATCCCATAGGGCTTATAGTGCCCTGGCTGGGAGCTCGTCCGTTGAACTAATTGATAATACTGCTCGACTCGTTGCGAAAGGCGAAGCAGAAGTTGGAATTATAGTGGGAGGAGAGGCGATGGCGTCATGTATGCAGTTACAACTCAATTACTGAGACCTCCTGTGTGCCAGTGATTAACTATTCACTTCACAGTGAAAACCTATATCAAAACCCACTCGTATCCTCCTCCATGGACAGCCCCAGACCCGGAGACGAATGAAATATATTATGCAAATGATACCGACGCGCTAACTGGTAACTATTCTCAAATAAATGTGTCAAAAATAAATGCTGAACTGTTCAGGAATTGGGAAGATCCACAAGGTCGGAGTACCCATGCATGTGTATCCCATGTATGAGAACGGACGGCGAGCCCATAAGGGGCAGAGACCAATTGAAAATTTTCGAGAGTCTGCGTCCTTATATGGAAGATACGCTAAAGTCGCATCGGAGCACCCGACATCATGGCACTTTGGGCGAGGGACAGAAACGGCAGAGACGATTGGGACAATCTCCAAGCGGAACAGAATGATATGTTTTCCATGTCCGTGCTACCAACTCGTTCCGTGAAGGGCAAGAGATATATTAACCCCGGAAACGCTAGATCCATTGTTGGTGAACGCCTTCAATGATGTGAATATTGCCGGAGCTTGCATTATAACTTCGACCGACTTCGCTGATAGAATGGGGATTTCCCGCCACAAATGGATTTTTCCGCTAGGGGGCGGGAGGGCACGGGATACCGAGGACTGTATCACTGACCTTCCCTTTCTCTTTCTTCTTCCTTTGTCTCTATTTGTTTGAAAATAACGAGCTGACGCTCTTCTAGTTTGGAACCGTTCCAACTTTTCCTCCAGTGCCGCAATTGCCTTTGCCTTGGACGAGTGTCTGAACTCGTCAGGTCTGTGCAAAGAGGATATTGATATGTTTGACTTTTATTCGTGAGTTATGTCCTATTAGGAGCAAGGCTTGAGCTTAAGGCGAATTGCACTAACATCTGCTGGTAGATGCTTCCCAGTTGTCCCTAAACTAGCGTGCGACCACCTAGGAATCCCTTGCGACAACCCCCGAAAGCCAATTACTCTTCTAGGAGGTCTCACATCATTTGGCGGCGCGGGCGCGAATTATTCCATGCATGTAAGAGCAGAATTTTTGGAATCTGTGACCAATATTGAAGCTGTTACTGATATTGAAATTCGGCTGCAGGCCGTAGTGGAGATGACGCGTCGACTACGGAAGCTGCAAAATTGCCACGAAGCTTCTAACGGGCTTGTTCTCGCTAACGGGGGGGGTACTAACTACGGAAAATGTAATATGCCTCTCTACACATCCTAGCAAGTCTTACAAAGCGTATCCATTGGAAGACAAGATCCTAGAGCTTGTAGCCGGACCACCATTAAAATCAGTGGTAAAGGATGAGGCGGCCATGGTTGAGGTTGGTATATCTGGTCTTTTTGAATGGCTTTCACCTCTTACTGATGATATCAAGACATATACCGTGGAATACGATCAGGAGAATCGACTACGGCTGGGCCACATAGTGTGCCGGCTAACAAGAAATGGAAACCGCGTCGTTGCGAACCACGCCGACTTAGCCACATTGAATCAGCTGGCTAGTTGGGAGGAGGAACCGATAGGACGAAGTGGAGTTATACAGCCGTCCTCTGATATAATAGGGCAGAACTTGTTCAGTTTTTGCAGGGATCATAAGGTGTAGTTTTATCACATAGCCACAATACTACATGAAGACCCTCCTGCGTATTTTGCAGTATTTATTGGCTTTTCAGATTTTTGGGTGGAGAAAGTTCTTCCTACTCGCAGTCTGAGGATTCGACGAAGGACACATATGAATGATAATACCCCATAATAATATAATTTCTATTCTAATTCTCCTTACGATGTGGCTCTTCATTCATCTACTGAAGATCTGCCTCTTCTATAAAATATACGATTAAAAGAATATTTTATTCCCTAATTACGGATGAGCATAATTATTTGTCTGGCAGTTCCCTAGTATGGTATTGATCTATCAAGATAAAAAATTCTTTTCTACCAGAACTTGTAGGATTTTGCAGCTTACTAGGGAGAGACACAAGGATGAGATAGAAGATGAAGATGGGAGATCTATGCTGTGGGAAATCCACCCTATATCTGCCAATCTAATGACAAACGGCGTGCAATGGGCGCAACGGCCGACAGGAACAATATGCAATGCAGGCCAGCATAATCCTAGTCCTGCATGCACTATACACGAAGTGTGAGCTGGCAATGCCACTAGTAATGAGGCTGTAGACCTCAGTACAGGTCAATATTTCCACCTCAAAACCTCAAAACATCAGAGTCTAACAGGTCGCTGTGGGATTACCCTCTCTGCTAACTTGCGCCTAAGAATCTTGCCTGAAGGATTGCGCGGGACCTGTTCAATGAAAACGACTCCTCCACGTAATTTCTTATGTGGAGCTAAATTGGAACTGACATGATTCTCAACCTCGCCTTCCGTAATCAGATCATGCCCTGGCTTGCGGACAACGAACGCACGAGGGATCTCATTACCCAGAATGGCAGGGTCGGCGACACCGATCACCGCTGCGTCGAGGATGCTGTCATGCCCAAGGAGAAGCGCTTCGATCTCAGCAGGGGCTACCTGTAGGCCCTTGTACTTAATCAATTCCTAAATACAGTTAGAATAGAAATAGCCGAGGGAAAGATTTACAAGAAACGCAAGCCACCAACTTTTTCCTGTCAACAATGTAGAACTTTCCATTCTTGCGCTCCCCTATATCACCCGTGCGAAACCATCCATCTGCCGTAAATGCGTTACTTGTTGCCTCGACGTTGCCCCAGTAGCCCATGGTCACATTCGGACCTTTCACCAAGATCTCACCGCGATGACCGTCGGGAACACCAATTTCATCATCATCGACGATTTTGATGCGTGTATTTGGCAGCAATGTACCAATGCTTCCAGTGCTGTCTTCACGGTCCCAGGGAAGCCAGGTGACCGCTCCAGTTGTCTCTGTCAGCCCCCACGCCTGGCTTAACTTGCACTTGAGCTTCGACTCAGATAACTTTTGTAGCTCTGGGCCCATGGGTGCAGCACCTGACTGGGCATGCTGAAGACTATGGAACTCGGATGTGACAGATGCGCTTTTAGCAATCCGCAGATACACAGATGGCACTGTAGTAATGAATGTTGGGCGATGCTCTTTTCGTCACGTAGACAAAGTCATCGAATATAAATTTTGCCATCCAGAATACGGTTCCACCCTCCATGGTTCCGTTAATGAAGTAGCCTTGCAGCCCGGAGATGTGGGCGACCGGGAGGTGTGCGATTGTGCGATATTCGAAGTCGACATTTAGCATTTGGTTTGTGCGACTGAGATAGGTCTCGATGGCTGCCTGTGTTAGAATGGCTTCTGCTACGAAATTCTTATGCGAAAAGCGTACACCTTTGGGCACACCAGTGGTACCACTTGAATAGAGCAAAGCAACCACTCTAGTCTCCAGGACTTGGCTGTCAGTGATTCTTTCCCAGGGAAGCTCCTTTGTCTCCATCAGATAGTTGCAACGCCTGTTTGTAGAAGGGCTTAAGCTTCGACCACTCCTCATATAATCAAGAACCAATACCCTACCCGGGGATATATGAGTCCTCTCTGCAGCCTCCAAAGCAACAGCGGCCATGTCATCGGTAGCAATAATAATATCGCTGTTGCTTGACTGGATTTGCCAGACTAGCTCTGCTACTGTCAACGCCGTAGATGCCGCAGAATAAACACCGCCAGCCCCGATAACAGCAAAGAACAAGGTTGGATTTAGGAGATTGTTGGAGCAGATACAAGTCACAACATCTTTGCCTGTGCCTTTTCTTCCAATTTGTAGATGAGTTCGGAGCACGTAGCCTAGTCGACGGACAAGTGTTGCAGATTGTGCCTTGGTGAGGAAATTCGCCTCGTTCCCAGCTTCGGCATGAATCACTGTATCATCATTTGCCCAGCAATAAGACGACTCTGTTAATATTAGCCAGTATAATCTGGCCGCAAAAATATGCCAACTTACCGAAAACAAGCGTTAAAAGGTCTACCAAGGGATGTCGCTGTCGAGTTCAGAATTGAAATGCATCCTGAAGAAAATACTTGTTTTCGCGACCGAATATTCTAGCAACTGGGACAATCTGGTGTTGTTCACTCAATTATTTATCCTCCACTGAAAGTCAATGAACGAGTAGCTCGATTTTTATCCCCTCGAGGGCACATTCGGAGCCCTGACAAACCTCGGGGCCGAGGTTTGCCCAGCAACAAGCCTACCCCACCTGGGCAGCCTTCTGGACAAAAGCCACCTCGGCGTACTCATCGCCTAAACCACTATTTAGGGTACCACGGAAGTTGGCAAAAAATGAACACCCAAGCACACCGAGAAGTACATAATCGTACTCAATCACGGTCGACTTGGCGTTAATTATCTTTGCCCTCTCTCAAAATGTCGGGATACGAATTCTCTTCACAAGCAGTATCCTGGCTGCAGCGGGACGTTCTATTGTTTGCCAACAGCATTGGTGCCACCGCTGATGAACTGCAATTTCTTTATGTAAGTGACTTTGCATCTCCATTCAGTATTACACATCTAATTAAGTTTTATATTTCCAGGAACTGGATCCCCGCTTCACGGTTTTTCCTACTTACCCTTTGATTTTACGTACGTTGTTTTCAAACATAAGATTTATAACCCTAAGCAAAACTAGATGAGTGACTATCACGCAGCGTTTAAGCTCACGGATCAGGAGGTTATTGAGTTCTATGGTCGCAATGCGAGAAAAGATATCCCAGGGCCCCGGTCCTAGACCTGCGCTATGCGGTTGACGGACAACGACAACTTAAAATACATCAACCTCTTCCTACATCAAGCGCTGGCAGACTATTTGAGTTGAGGAACAAAGTAATTGGAATTTATGACAAGGGCAATGTTGGGAGCTCCTTTGAGACAGAACAGCAGATTGTTGACGCCGGCACCGGAGAGGTGTATGCAACAACTCGAAGCATGAACTTCATTCCAGGCCAGGGGAACTGGGGAGGCCCAAGAGGTTATTAATTATCCCAAAAATGTCATAGACCCTGCTAGACCTGGACTCTGATGTAACAGTGAACCCTCAGGCCCTAAATCGCTTAACTACTTCCATCCTGATCGGAGACCTGATGCAACCCACGTGGTACATACAACAGACAACACGGTATTTCTTTACCGGTGAGTATTAGTCCGCAGCCTTAAGCAGCTCAAATATCTTACTAATGCTATACAGACTAAATGGGGACTACAACCCGCTCCATGCCGTTCCGGACGCAGGAGTGAAGATGGGACTGGGCGGTGTCATCATTCATGGCCTTTATACGTACAGCTCGACATGTCATGGACTGCTTCGACAAATGTGCAATGGAGATGCAAATCGACTTAAAGTCTACCAGGCAAGATTTGTGTCCCCAGTCAGACCAGGTGATAAATTGGTTACAGACATGTGGTCCACGGGGATAATGGATGGATTGGAGGAGGTGCGATTTACAACAAGGAAAGGAGATGGACAGATCGTGTTGGGAAATGGCAGAGCTTTGATTGTTCCAACTACTGTTATTTCCAGCTTATAAGGTCTCTAGCACCTTACAGATCTAGTAGTAACGATGTTTTAGGGCTTAGATTCTAGACCTATAATACTCCATAATCTGATGGTGAAAATAATTTCCCTGTTCTGTTAATTAATTACATTCCAATATAGCACTTTAAAATTATTCAATAACCGCCCGGGCGAGAGGTCTGTCCGGATAGGACTAAGAGGGTAGTAGCTACTAGTAAATTCTAGGTAGGATCTATATCTAGTCGCTGGAGATATTGATATAGGGAATTGTTACTAATTCTAGCCAAGTCTCTCCTCACGCCTAGGAATTCATGTTGATAAGAACTGTTTTGGGCTCTGTGTATGCGTGCAAAGCATATACGCCTAGCTCACGACCGATACCACTCTCCTTTGTTCCACCAAATGGACACGAGAAATGGATGACACTGACACAGTTGACCCCGACAACACCCGAATCCAGAAATTCACTTAGTCGAAGAGCCCGACTGATGTCTTGTGTGAAAACCCCAGCCATTAGGCCGTACCTAGAGTCATTAGAAAGCGCAACCACCTCTTCCTCGGTCTTGAACCGGTTGATAACAACAACTGGGCCAAATATCTCATCTCTTGTGATGGAGGCATCCACATCGGTATCCAAGAATATCGCAGGTTCGATGTAGAATCCCTAGAGAGTGTGAGCAATGGCTTCGGTCGCACCATGAAAGTAAACAAACCTTTGAATGCTTTTGGCCTGCGCCTTGCACAAGCGTACCCTGTTTTTCCCTTTTCGCGGTGTTGATTATTTCCAGTATGCGGTCATATTGAGCCTGATCCACGACCGGTCCGATTTCCGAAGTTGCCTTTTCAGGATCTCCCATTTTTCTCTCCCTTTGCAGCAAAAGCCTCTTTGTAGGCCGCCAAGAATTTCTCATAGATCCCATCTTGAACGTATACCCGGGATGCGGCAAAGCAGATCTGTCCGGAGTTGGTGGTCAAAGCATTTACACACCTATCTCATCACATCAGCCATGACCTATTCAGTTGGTCGAATGTGGCTTACCATTGGACGGCGTTTTCGAGATTCGCGTCATCAAATACCACGGCTGGACTTTTGCCGCCGAGTTCAAGAGTCACCCGCTTTAGATTGCTCTTTGCAGCCAAAATCTGTACATTCTTGCCTGTTGCAACGCTCCCGGTGAAGCTCACCTTGGAAACCTTCATATGACTAGCGAGAATAGCACCCGTACTACCATCTCCTGTCAAGACTTGAAAGACACCAGGAGGAAAGCCGGCCTCGATAGCCAAATTTCCAAGTGCAGCAGCTGCGAATGGAGTTTTCTCACTTGGCTTTAGAATGAAAACATTTCCAGTCGCCAACGCCGGTGCAGCTTTGAGGCCAATAGATGCCAATGGGCCATTCCAGGGAATGATACTGTGCTCTAGTTAGTGAATTGGAGAAGGTACGTTATAGAAGAAATGTGTGTTTAATTTTGGATTTATGGTTTCATACCCTGCAACAACACCCAGAGGTTCATGTCGAACGACCTTGTAAAAACCGTCATTGGCTGGGAAACTTTGGCCGGCAAATTTCCCCACCCATCCAGCGTAATCTGTTGAACGACAAGTGATTAGAGAGGAAGAAGAATCAAGAGATAGATGAAATCAGATACATACATCTGAAACAGCCTATGGCAGTGTCAACCTCGGATTTTCCAAACGGGTTGTACGGCGCCCCCAGGGTCACCCGAGTAAGGGAAGCCAGTTGTTCTCGGTTGGCCTCGATAAGGTCCGCGAATTTAAGCAACGCCTTTTGGCGATCGAAGTCGCTCATGACCCGCCATTCGGACTTGGGGCTAAATGCAGCCTGAGCTGCCTCAATGGCCCGATCGATATCATCCTCGCCAGCAATGGGTATCTGGTCACTAATCAGGGTTCCATCTGCTGGGTTATAGACTGACAACCTGATGGCATGCCCATTAAGAATGAGATAACAGAAACAAGAACGACGGATATCACATACCTTTTTGTGTTCAAAGAATCCACATACTATATGGACTGTCAACGCTAGTACTTTGACAATATTTAACTTTGAAAAAATGAATTGATACAACTTGCCTGATTGTTGATAAAGAGTTGAGTGAGGTGTGAATCGAGCTTCATAATTTGTATAATTCGCAACTTTGTTTTTAGTATTCATTATGCCTTGACTTGGTATTTTTTAGGCCTACTTATTGACAGCTTTACACACATTTACCCCGGCACTTGGCGGTGATTTCCTGACTAGCTCCACATGACACCGTCCAATGAAGCAAAACCTGCACGAAAGTGGGTCTACCCGATCGTCACTGAGTCATGCGAACATGACTCGGCTTTTTCCACGGAACTGCATCATTCCATGACCACTTTCCCCGCTGATTTACCAATACTTCTGGATGCTCGTACTGACTAGTACGCACCTTTCCCAAAGCCCCATGTCTGACACCGAGGCCCCTACGGCACAGCGAGCGGCCGGGAGACGCGTTGTTTCTAGCCTTTCAGCATCACAAATTCAACACAAAAGGGATCTCGATCGCAAGGCACAACGCGCTCTGCGGCAACGGACCAAGGTTCGCATTCAAGAATTGGAAAATGATCTTTCGCGTTTCAAGGAATCCGTTTCCGAGCGGGAGCAGACAATGATTGAAGAGATCCGGCAACTGAGGGACCAAAATCGACAACTTAGAGTCTCCTTACAGAGTATCGGACATTTTGCCCTAGGCCGGATTTCCGACATCGAGGGACCGAGCCCAACGCGACGCGAATCGCCTGGAGAGATCCAGCAGGGGCTCGATCTACCTGCAAGTGGTAGCCCAGAGCCCCATGTAGCCCATTCATACGCAGATCTACCCCCAAGCCTCGCCAGCACATACCCCGGGAGCGCAGCAGCGACCCCGGCGGCCCAAGGGCACGAATCACATCCTCCAGTTTTACCTCCAATATCAGGTACATTCATCAGCCCCATGCCCCCACTGCCACCAAACACTGTCCTGCCTCTTGGAAGTACCCAGACTGGTGTAGGTATTGTGAGTAATTTTTTATTTATTTGCAGATCATCGTCGGGAACCCAGATCAGATCATTCATCTTTTTCCCCAGCCCACAGCATCCAGAATACGATCATTAGTCATTCAATACCCCCAAAATCCACCCCTGACAATGCAGGATTGATGGCTTGTGCGCTGCCGAAGCACACGGCCGGCACTTGTCCATTGGATCACATCCTACTGGATTTCATTGCCTCCCGCCAGGACTTGGCTGCCAGAGGTACACCCATATCCGAGGTCCTTGGGCCAGACCAAGCTTGCCCCCTGGATGTTTTAAGTCCAGGTGGCACTTCTACCACGCATGCAATAAGCCGTGTTATGGGAGAGACCCTAGCAACCTTTCCTCACGTAAAACTACCAGAAAAGATGGCCTTTATGTACATTATGCATCGTACGACACGAGTAAGTTAACCCAAATATTGCGCAGTACGATTCAAACACTTGGACACTAACTTTCCAGTGGCAAATATGGCCGAATAGCGAGACCTACACTGGTATACCAGTATGGCTCAGACCGACCGCAATGCAGATCATTGTCCCGCACGCAGCTTGGATTGATAACATTCCTTGGTAGGTTCGAAACTCCCTCCTTCTTGACTTTCCTAACATATGTAAAGGCCTCGCGTCCGTGATATCCTAATAGAACAACCCGAGCGATATCCCTTCGTCCTCTTTTCCGAGTTTTACTCTCACCATGTCAGTGTGAATTGGTCCTACGACCCGGAGGATATCGTTCTCGAAACCGAAGAGGGGCTCGTATTAAATACTATTTTCGAAAAGCACATACAAAGATTAAGTAACTGGACTGTCTCTCGTCAGTTTCGGGAATACTTCTCTGAATGGACATCTGATGTTTATCTGGATGGTTAGATGGGAACCCATGGCGAATGCAACATGTTAACAAGCAGTTATTAATACTAGTAGTGCCACACCTTGTATCAAAATTTATATATGAGCTTTGGGGCTTTGAGATTGAGATTTCCGAGCAATTTCCGAGCGAGATTCACTGGATAAGTACCTCAAACGTGAGTCATGGTGCTCGAGTCAGTGATCCAAAGGGGGTATTCGGACAGCAGATTCATGACTCATGATATAGGGGATCTCGAACAGTAGATCTGATTCCATTGTCCGAGACCCCTGGCTTTGAAAGGAAAGTGGAAACAAATCCGGACCCGTGCGGGTTGAGTCATGGAATATTGTAGTGTAGCCGATGGAAATCCAACACTTTGGTAATAGTATCCGAGTCTGGGGTAGCTTTGGAACCCCAACCCAACTTGAACCCCATATAAACTTGAATTTAAAGTACTTAATCTACCAAATTCAATCCGACAATTGACCTTTGAATTTTGTCTGATTCATCTGACCCACGCAGAAGAGCATTCAATACCTCAACTCATCCGAAATGCAACTCACAATGAAAGCCGCTCAATTCAATACTGTATGTTGCCAACTCCTGTCTTGGGATGAAACCTTTGTCTTTCACGTCCCAAAACTCATGGCAGAATTGCTGTAAAATAATAACTAACCGTATATTGGAAGAATAGCTCGTTAACAAGGTTGAGGTTAATGAGATCCCGATTCCGGAACCGGGACCAAATGACATTCTCATCAAAAATGCCTGCGCCTCTCTGTGTCACTCTGATTTGGTATGAGCCTTGAAAATACTTCGTTTGTTTAGAATCCTGACCAATCTCGCAGATGCTATTCTGGGGCCATACTGCAGAGAAGCCTCCAATGGATAAAGTCACAATCGGGCATGAGAACACCGGCTTTGTTACGGCAATCGGAAGCAATGTGCAAGGTTTCAAAGTGGGAGATGTTGTCGGATGCCTTGGCTGCAGCTACGCTTGTTGTAAGTTGCAATCCTTGGGCTGCAGTGCATTTGGCCAGTGCAGCACGATTGATTTGCTGAACCATTTAGATGAATGTGAGGGGTGTCGCGTGCATAGTCTCCATTGCGCAAAGGGAACCGGCCGTATGCATGGGTTTACTACTCATGGTCATTTTGCTGAATACTCGCTCTCGGACTATCGCAATGCGATGGTGCTCCCGAAGGGCATGGATACTGTTTCGACGGCTCCTTTATTCTGTGCCGGTGTTACGGGTAAGGAAAATGGGAGCATTTACATCTTAGCTCAACAGTATTTACTAACCCCAATATTCTTTTCCAGCCTATCATGCAGTGAAGAAATGTGGACTCCAAGAAGGTGATTGGATATCAATTATCGGATGTGGAGGACTAGGACATTTGGGTGATCTCCAATTTCCCTGAGCATTCGGTCCTGGAACTAACTACTATGAGCCATCCAATATGCCAAAGCATTGAAATTGCGTGTAATTGGTATCGACATCTCCGACTCCCAGCTAAAAAACGCCAAGTCTCTGGGCGCAGAGCTTACCTATAACTCTGCTTCGTATGTGGGCTACGCTGAAGAGATTAAGCAAAAAACTTACGGTGGCGCACATGCCGCCGTGGTCTTGAGCGCATCAAATGCTGCGTACAGCACGGCTCCCAACATTCTGAGGTAACAATTGTCCACCCACAGTCCCCACAACAATTTCATAGAAATGTGCTAACAAATGCTCAGAGTCAATGGAATTTTGATGGTAATTGGAATACCAAAGGAAAACCTCTCAATTAATGCTCTCGATATTCTACTTGGAAAATATCGCATCATGGGCGCTAGCAGTGGAACACCACAGCAAATGCGTGAGCCCATTGAGTTTAGCCACAAGCATGGAATCAAGGCACACATGACAACAATTGACAAAATTGAGGATATTCAGAAGATTATCGACTTAATGGAGGCCGGAAAGACTGCTGGCCGATTTGGGATTGTATTTTAGTATACCTAATCTTCGACCGTTGGATGATAGCGTTGAGAGATATCGCACTATATAATTCCATTTATCTAACTCCCAAGGTTGAGAGGTGTACTAGTTACTAGTTAGTAGTGGTGGAGAAAAGTTGAATTGAATTAAAGATGATCTCGATGATGTCATCTTATCTCAATACCGTTGCGTTTTTATTTTCAATCCACGTCCGCTATGAACTAGCCTCCTTGAGTTCAATTGTCAATTTAAATAATACGACACTTACTCAGTCTTGTTTTTCTTCTTTCCCCCTCTTCACTGAGTAGGTAATATACGTGCGCAGAGTCCGGAGCTCGGGAGTTGTTTGATTGGAATGTATGTCATACTGCATGACGATTGAAATTCATCACATGAGTAAGTCGTCATGACTCATGAAACTCCCCACCACTGGTTAAACTGGTGGAGAAATGTCGCCGAATCTCCATACTGGATTCTGTTCAATTCCGGAAATGAATATGCCAAGGTTCAACCTTACCCTTGCCCCTCTCTATTACGCTGATTTCAAATTTTATTCATTTCGCACAGGATAAGTAAAGGCCAGTCCGAGTCATTCATCGACCTTGAGACACTACAAACCGCACAATTCACGAAAACACGAAGTCAACTCATCATGGATCCTTTGCCCGAAAATCATGAATTTAAGCACCCAGAGCTGGCCTATGATGTCGAACCGAATTATCAGCCTGCTATCAAGATTTCCGTTTACTTTCGCAAGCGTGATGGAATTTCATCTGAGCAATTCCACAAGCACTGGGAAACTGTCCATGCAGACCTAGCCGCTGCTACCCAGGCTTTTCAAAACCACATCTTGCGTTATGTTCAGGTATGGCGGAAGCAAATTGGTTACATACATAAGCTAATTGGCTCAATAGCATCATCAAACACCCGAAATGAAGGCACGTGCGGCGAGCCTAGGAGAAAATGTCCTCGAATACGATGGGTGTGCACAGCTATGGGTTCGATCATGGAGCGACTGGCAGGCTTTTTATAATAGCGCTGAATACGCGGCTGCTTTAAGCGATGATTGTAACCGATTTATGGCTTTGCCTATGACCTATATGATCGGGTATGAAAATCTAGTAGTGGGCGATGCATCTGGTGTGATTGGTGGCAAAGATGGACTAGCGACCAAGGCGATGAACAAGGCCACAGAAGGCTAAATTTAAAGAAAGCTTTGATATCTCTATCATACTAAGAAGAAGTCCCGTTCAAGGTATATAACCTCAATATCTCAAAATCGATCACTTGAATGAGAAAGCAGTAGTGCACTTTAGGAGGTCTAGGAACATGATTTCAAAGGTGGACGACTTTCAATCTTGCAATTCAATCTCGCACCATATCTAAATCAATTGTAGTAGTTTTTGCTTTTGATCAGCTCGTCGGCCGTAGAATAGTCATGACCGAAGATGAGCTTCGCCGAAAATGCTTTTTGTAGTCGCCGGATGAAGTTTCCACTGCTGAGCCAGCTTCGATAATCGCGCAGAAGCCATCCATGAGCCCAATTTAACTCGAAGTTCTCGCGCACATGATATTGATCTGTCGTCCAAATAAATGTTCCATCATTTGGAAGATTGACTTGCATGATGCATAGTCCTGGGTATGTCCCGGGCAGTGGTACAAAGTAATTCCTGTACACAAGTCTAACTGGGTATCGTTGAATGTCTGCCAGTTTAACGTGCCATCGAGCTTCAAGTAGTGGTCTCTGTTAGGTAAAGGGAGGGTGAGAAATAAAGCAAGACCTGAGCAATATATTTATGAAAGGAAATTCTCACAAATATAGCCCACTATCAGAATTGGTTGCCGCTGCCCAGCAGGCGTGCTTAAATTCCTCCTCATGAACATGTATCGGGACTCCCGTGTTTCGAAAATGGTCTAATCCACCGGCGTGGTCTAAATGCAAATGCCCCATAATCACGGCCTTCACATCTTTGATTTCATATCCGGCACTTTTGATTGCCGCGGGCAGGTGATGCTGCTCGCTGTAGGAAGTGCGGGGAAATAAATCTGTAGCCTCATTTCCCCATTCCTAGATTTAGTTTTCATCAGATTAACGTCTATTTAATACAACTTGAAAGTGAAAATCAGAATGGATGGTCTACCGTCTGTACATCTTCCGTAGCACCACACTCGAAAAGGATGAGACCTATCTCAGGGTGGTGAATCAATCCAGCAATTAACATTAGATCTCTTCTTTTGTTGACGGGATTGGGATTGCTCGCCGAGCCTCCATTGGAGCCATTGAGCAGCCTATATAACCAGAACAATCAATTATATACTGTCACAACAATCACACCGAGCTTTACCTACCACCCTTCATCGACATTCAAAGTACCCAAGTTCAGAATGTGCATTTTGGTGCCCTCTGGGCATGCGTACGCAGGAATCACGCCTGGAATGAGTTTCTGCATTGGAATGGCCATGATTCTAATGCGATTGAGATTTCAGGTTGCATTTTTCACAAATTCCGTGGCCCTATTATGTTGGGATCAAGATTTTATGCCTGGCCAGGTGGTGCCTCGGCTCATTGACATCCAATAAACACAAATTCCGGAGTGGCGAATTGTGAAGTGGGGGGTACATGCGTTCGGGATTTGTTAATTGCTGGACATCTGGATTATTCTATTCTTTTTTTGAAAGCATGCCCTAGAATATAGAAGAAATAGATCGATACATGCGTTTATACATGGCCCATCGACTAAAGGTGGAGCGGTCCCAAATCGGAATTTAATATTCCGTAGTATTTTCCCGACGACCCCCAAGCCACCACTTTTGGCAGAGGGAAATTTCGGGCACTGATTGTGGATTAATGGATTTGTATATTTGAAGATATTGATTATGCATTAAATGAGCGAATCGATTTTATACTAAAATTCCCGAGGTTGTCTGGTGAGTCGGAAACCTTGAAATAATGAATAGGCAGTATTTACTAGTATATCTTTACAGTGGCCCGACCCCACCCGCTTCCGATTTTAGAGGGAAGCCTCCAGGCCTTGGAAACCACCCGACGTCAATATTTCGTCCCCAAAATTCACCCACAATGGCCCAACCCCGATTCACCCGCGTCTGGTTTCTCACTGGCTGCAGCTCCGGCCTGGGAAAATTGTTTGTCTCAGCTATAGTAGCCCGTGGTGATAAAGTAATTGCTACGGCGCGCGATATCACTACCTTATCTGAATTTGAGCATAATGAAGATGTCCGCCTGTTGCGCCTGGACGTGACAGAGACGCAGGATATTCTAAACGAAATTGCGACCAAGGCCATTCAAGTCTTCGGTCATATCGATGTTCTGGTCAATAACGCGGGATATGTGCTTTCCCACGTGTGGGAGGAGACACGGTATGCCCTGTCGGTCTGGAGTTGTCGCTCGTACTAAATTAATCCATGTCCGCAGCCAATCGGACCTCCTACATCAATTCAACACCAATGTGTTTGGTCCTCTCAATCTTACTCGTGCCTTCTTACCGCATATGAGATCGCGTCGGTCAGGAACTGTCATCTTCATGAGCAGTATCGCTGCGTGGCTTGGAGTTGCTGTTGGCGGTCCATACAGCGCATCCAAGTTCGCCCTTGAAGGTATTTAAACCCTTTTTTTAATTTACTTGGCACCCTGGCTGACTGCTCATTTATCCCTTTAGGCTCCGTTGAAAGCTTGGAAAAGGAGGTTGCCCCATTTGGCGTGCATGTCCACCTTGCGGTACTTGGGCAGTTCCGTACCGCAATTCTTGAGAGTACCAGAAGGAAAACGGATCGAACTCTCGAGTCTATTTCCGATTACGATGGAGCTGTTGAGGCCTTTCAAACCAGACTCGAGCAAACCAATGGTAAGCAGCCCGGAGACCCAGTACAGGCGGTGGAGAGGGTCGTTGATGCTGTGTGTCGCACGGGCCATTTCGCGGGATACGAAAACATTCCACTACGTATTGTACTTGGTTCTGATGCCATCGAGATCATTCGGGATCAGTGTCAAGGAATGCTGCGGGACCTGGAGGGACAGCAAGAGCTAGCTAGAAGTACCGATTTCCTGGGGGAGGCGAAGTTGGGAGATATAAATAACTTCGTAGCCTACGTGTTCTATCATCCGCGATTCCAATTTTGCTCGAAATTGCAGGAAGTTGAGTGAAGGTGTACGAGTTACTACAGATGTATCCAAGCCAATAGAGTCCGCGTCGTTTCATCTAAATGCTGAGTCGAGTTGAACGATACGGCTAGTTCGCCTAGGCTATTTCTATAGCCCGTACGAGTGTTGAAATAAAATAAGAGCACTCAAGTAGAGTCAACGCACGCGCTAAATCGTTAATCCGGGATAGGAAAGGTGGTAATCTTTCTCCTGTGGAGTTCGATAGAAACTAGTCAGCATTCCATAACAAAGGTACCATCTTGGGCCATAAGTTTGAAGACACCGCCTAATCGGGTAATACTGCCATTTTACCCACCCTACATTCAAATATATATATTGCATGCAATATGCAATGTTATTGCACCAAATTTTGCTATAATATAGAATAATCAATTACAAAATATATAACAAAATTTCAATCGCTAAAACCGAGTATAGTAGCCACGTGCCTTACGAGTCTCGCTTACACGCTGAGGCATTGATCTAATTATACTATCAATTTTATTTTGATCTAGTACATCCCAGGCCTCCGATATACACTCTCTAAATAGCTTCCAATCTGCCTCAGATGTACCACAATGTAGTAGATTAGGATAGAGCTCATATAATTTACGTTTGAGCATACGCCACACAGGTTCAATAGGGTTAAGATCTGGCGAGCGTGGCGGCCATTCCATGACATGTATACCATGACGTTCAAACCATCGCTGAGCAACGTAGGAGCGGTGGATTTTAGCGTTATCTTGCTGAAATATATTTCCAGGTTCATAGTGTTCAATAAACCCTTTTTCAAGCGCTTTCAGGTAGGATTTCGTTGTATAACCACCTCCGCGACCTCGCTGTCCTTCTGAAAAGTCACGCTCCATAATCACAAGTTTTGTACGCCCTCCGAGCCATATTCCAGCCCAAACCATTTGACAAATATCTTTCACATGAACCTTTACTTGTACCATTCCCTGCCGGTAAGCTTCTCCTCTAAGCCGGGTAACGTATTGGCCGTTTAAATTAGGGATACGTTGAACGCTGCATTCGTCGGAAAAGATGAAGCTTTGTAGTTGGGAATTGTAGCGTTCAGCCCTCCAATTTCGGCAAAATCGGACTCTTTTGCGGGCGTTCTCCCTCGAAATTGGGATACAACGTCTTGCTCGATAGCGCTGGAGGAATTTTGAACGTAGGAATCGCTTGATTGTTGATCGAGATGGATGACTGGGTATACGGGCGCTCAGCTCACTAAGGCTTAGCCAAGGCTCACGGCGTGCAAGTAAACAAGTGTATTTGATAGTAGAGTACCTATAGACTTTAGGGGCACCTGAACGAGGCAGTGATTTGAGCGTTTGGTGCTCTCGGAATCGTTTGATTGTAGAGTATATTGTTGAGCGTGCGACGTTGAACTCAGCAGCCATTTTAGTAGGCGATACACCACATTCATGAGCGTATATAATAGCTGCGCGGGCCTCAGATGAAAGCTCACCCCCTGGCCTTCGATTGCCACTTATTTCAGTGCCAAACCGACGCATATTGGTGGTGTAGGGGGTAGTTGAAGAAGATGGGTGGGGGGTGACGCGAAATTCGCGCTAAAAAAATAGCGCGATGTCTTCAAACTTTTGGACCGCCTTTGTACTATGTAGGGGTTCTTGGGTATGCCATGGTTTACGCCGCACTGACTCAGTCTCATCGGCCCCACTGATGCCGTGGGTCTATCGAACCTCGGATTGATCAACGTTACTTCATCGTTTTGTAGATTCTGACCCTTTGCCCCATGCACGTGGATCAGAAGCCCATGTTTGATTTCTAATGCATTTGCCGAAGGCTCCGAGCCGCTTATATAGTATGCATAGGGTTTCGTTAATACCAACTCCACGAAACCCGACGACCCTCCACCAAAAGCTTGCATTATGGCTGCTCTCACCTCTCCGATCCGGATCGGCAACCTCGATCTCAAACACCGCGTCATCTTAGCGCCATTGACACGCTGTCGCGCCAACGACGATCATGTACCTCTTGACATGGTTCGCGAATATTATGCTCAACGTGCTTCGGTTCCTGGCACCCTCCTAGTCAGCGAGGGGACATTCATTTCTGCACGCGCAGGTGGAATGGAAGGTGTACCTGGAATTTGGAGCGAGGCACAAATCAAGCAATGGAAGACTATTACCGATGCGGTGCACAGTAAGGGCAGTTACATTTTCTGTCAACTGTGGGCGCTAGGACGCGCTGGATCTTCGGATATCCTCGCTAAAACCGGCAATGATGTTATTTCAAGTGGAAATATCCCCATGTCGGACGAAGGCTCCGTACCTCGGCCACTTAGCGAAGAGGAAATTCAAGCGTGGATTCAGGATTATGTGCGCGCCGCGAAGAACGCCATATCTGCCGGATTCGATGGCGTGGAGATCCACGGCGCGAACGGTTATCTCCCAGACCAGTTCACTCAGGACACAGCCAACAACCGCACCGACCGATATGGTGGTAGCGTCGAGAACCGATCCCGTTTTGGTCTGGAAGTTGCTAAAGCCGTGTCTGCTGGTATTGGCGCCCAAAGAACTGGATACCGTGTCAGCCCGTGGAGCACTTTCCAAGGCATGCGTATGAAGAACTTCTCGCAACAATTCAGCCACCTTATCAGTGGTCTTAGCCAGCTCCAGCTGGCTTATCTCCACGCCGTACAGCCCAGAATCTCAGGCGGTCGCGATATCGAAGATTCCATCGAGGCAGACGATTCATTCTTGTTCGAGGCATTTGGAACTACAGGAACTATCATCCTGGCAGGCGGCTTTACGGCGGAATCGGCTGAGAAGAGAATCAAAAAACAGCCCAACCATTCGGTGGCTATCGCTTTTGGACGCCACTTTCTGGCCAATCCTGATCTGCCCTTCCGGTTCTCCAAGGTCCTTGCTTTGAACAAGTACGAAAGAGCAACCTTTTACATCCGGAACTCGGCCACGGGATACGTGGACTACCCCTTCAGCCAAGAGTTTTTAGCCCATGCGTAGCTGAAGTTAGGATAGCACAGCAATTAACCAGAAATAAACTCCTTGCCTCTTGATTATGTTCCATAGTAGGTATCTTCTATGAATGCTTGATAAGCCCGGTATGTATTTGAAAGCTTAGGTAAAATCGGCAGCTTATAACTAAGTGTACTGCCTGTGGTCGCCTGAACACCATGGCTAGTGAATGAGTGACGGCTGCTGCTATTTTCAAAATTTTAGTTTTCCAAACTACGGCCTACCATCCCCATAAGCGACATTCTAGGAGATGTCGGGACTGACTAGTTAAAGTGCCACGTAAATCCTTAAGATTGCAAGGCTCACCCGACTTTCTCCTCTTTCCTCTAACTTTTTTCCCCTCGCGGAATCATTCCATGAAGTCAAAGTGGGCGGTCCACTACCAGGCCCACCGACTGATCCACCAGTGGGGAAAATGTCATGACGGGTTTACTCGTAGAAATCAGCCGGGCGCATGAGTCAGTCTCTGGATGTCATGCATATCATGATTTCTCCACCACCCAAACCCAAATCTCGACATGGTCCTTGTAAAAATACATGGAGAATCCGGGGGTTTAACCCGACCCGGGCAAATACACAATCCGGAATTCGCATCTTCAACGCGCAAAGCATCGAGATCATGTGTCCAATTTTCATCGGCCCTCGGAGCTGGTCAAATGCCAACCGAAATCCGACCGGTTCATTCGACTTGCGGGGTACACCCATTTAAGTAGGCCACATAATGTGTCAATCATTCCCCGATCATTATACTCAAGAATTTGTGGAAATTCTTATAAATCAACGATGACTATGCTCAATTCCAATACCCTACGCATCGCGTCTGCGTCCGGATCCGTGACAGACCGCCGTCATGGACTCGCGGAGCTGGCTCACAACGAAGATATTCAGTTCATCGTTGGTGATTGGATGTCCGAGTACAATATGACTACCCGTGGCGGAGCAAAGGTCAAGGGAAACATGGAATCGTCGGAGTTCGAAACTTCCTTCATGGAGTCTATTGAGCCCGCGCTCCAAGATCTCGCTGCACGGAAGATCAAGGTTGCTGTGAATGCAGGGGCCAGTGACACAAAGAAACTTCACGATGTCTTGCTTGCTGATATTCAGAAGAAAGGCTTGGATCTCAAGGTAGCCTGGATCGAAGGCGACGAGGTTTCTGATTTATTTCAAGAGGCCGTTCGGGCCGGGGATGAATTTGTCAATCTTACAACCGGTTAGACCCTGTTTCCATCTCCTACAAAATGGTATTTGAATGTCCGTTAACGTCATTTGCAACAGGTCAAAGGTTAAAGGATTGGGATTTTGACCCTATTTACGCGCAATGCTACCTCGGAGCTTGGGGCATCGTTGAAGCTCTCAAGCAGGGAGCCGATATTGTCCTTTGTGGAAGAGTCACCGACGCCTCTCCCACAATTGCTTGCGCTGCTTACCACTACGGGTGGGATCGACAGGACTTCAACCAGCTTGCCCATGCTTATGTAGCGGGTCACTTTATTGAATGCTCCACTTACGTCACGGGAGGGAACTTCTCGGGCTTTAAATCTCTCCCTGGGCTTGGAATTGATATTGGTTTTCCAATTGTCGAGATCAGTGCTGCCGGCGATTTTGTGGTGGGGCTACAAAAAGGCAAGGATGGAATGGTCACAGAGAATACATGCAAAGCTCAGCTCCTATACGAGATCCAGGGTCCGATGTACTACAACCCAGATGTTGTGGCCATCTTGGATGATATTGTCATTAAACAAATCGGCCCGAATCGAGTGTCAGTTTTCTTTCTCGTCACATTCTCCCATATTCAAATCGACTAACTTACAATCAAACCCTCAGGCACATCGGCAATGTAAAAAGCTTGCAGCCACCTCCAACCACTAAGATTGGAATCACAGCCCTTGGTGGTTTTCAGGCCGAGGTCCACTTTTTTCTCTGCGGACTAGACATTCAGGAGAAAGCCTCCCTCCTGGAAAGACAGGTCCGGAACCTCCTTGACGAGTCAAAATACCACACCCTCATATTCCGAACAAGCGGATCTTGTGAGACCGATCCTTCCAGTCAAGATGCAGCCACCGTGGACGTGCGTATTTTGCCCAATCTCGATCTGAAGATGCCCTGGCAGTCGCCAATTTCGTTCGCCCTTGCACAGACACGATTATGCAGAGCTATCCCGGGGCCACCTTTGCTGTTGATGCTCGTCAAGCTGCCCCGAAGCCGTACTATGAATACTTCGTGTCTATCTTCCCTCAAGACCGTATGAGGCACATTTGCCACACCCCTTTCAACGGAAATAGTATTTCAATCGACCCACCACGAGACACTGTGCCATTTGTCCTTGATCAAGCAACATATGACACGAAGGCCCCCTTTGATTTGGGAGTATTTGGCCCCACCACTCGTGCCCCTCTAGGGTATGTGGTGCATGCTCGATCCGGTGATAAGGGATCCGATGCCAATGTCGGCTTTTTCGTTCGGCACGAGGACGAATGGAATTGGCTGCGTTCTTTGTTAAGTACCGACAAAATTCGACTGTTACTTGGAAAGGACTATGTTGGCAACCAAATCTTCCGCTTTGAACTGCCAAATATATGGGGTAAGTTTGGCAATATTTACCTGGTCATTGAATCTCAAGATCCTAACTTGTTATTTTATAGCTGTTCACTTCCTATTGAAAGATCACTTGGACCGTGGAGTGGCGTCGAGCTCTACTTATGATGTCCTAGGTAAGAATGTAGCGGAGTATTTGCGATCTAAATGGGTGGATATCCCGACTCAGTTTCTGGCTCGTGGAAGGATTTAGAATGTACATTGAACGTTATGCATTCAGCTGTTGAACCTGAAAAATTAGTCTTCATCTGTTTTGACGAACGCCAAATTATATTCAAGAACTATGTAAATAGGAAATGGTAGGACCTTAGCAGATGCGAGTTCACACCTAGGAGAAAACTTGAATTTGATATAGTTTCAAGCTACATAAAGTTAGTTAACAGTGGTAAGGTGCGATGTCTCAGGCATACAGAGTACTGTGTCTTTGAAAAATGGTAGGTTTAATCAAACAGTCCATCCAAATCAAATCCGGGTATCTAATTTTACAGTCCAGGAATATGTGGAGATCATATGCCCATATTTCCCCTGTTAATTTGCAAAATTAAATGAACACTGTGCATTTCACAATCTTGATTTGTCTTCATATCTTAGTATACTTCAAATGTCAACGAATGGGAGGATGCTCAGATAGCCACGAAGATCAAGATACGATGTAGTGATATCGGGTAAAGAAAGTTAGTCGTGCTTTGATGAAAGTAAAAATTTGAGGAGAGTAAGAAGGAGAGACGAAAGCTAGATATAGGTAGGCAGTGGATGCCTAAATGCATGTCATCCGCGTTAGGTATCAACAATGGTAACAATCTAGTTTGTTACGAAGAAGAGTAAACTGATGCTGCTATCTACAACGAAAATTTGAAAAAGAAAATTAGGTTCTTTTACTTGGAAATTCGATTGAGAGTTCAAAACCTTCTAAGTTCTCTCGATCTGGGTAGCTTCACCTTCCAGTTTCTGTTGTGTATCAATTGATACCCCAGAGTTATCATGCATCTCATTGAAGTGACCCCTGTGTTTGAAAAAGAGATAATCAATCTCTTCAAGTGTCTTTCCGGCAGTCTATCAAGAGAGAATGGTCAGGAACGTGCTCTCGTGAACGTGGATACGAAGAATCTAGCGGTGGAAAGTTCAGGGCACCACGAACCTCTGGTATGAAGAAATACACGAATGGAATACTCAAAGCAATAAAAACACAGAACAAAATGTATATTTTCCATCCGGTGTTAGCGATAGCGGGAGGCGTCATTTGGGCGATCACCTGGAAATACAACTCATAAATACTGAATCACGAGTTATATGGGTGGAGGCACTTACAAACGTGAATAGCCATTCCGAGAAACATCCTACGGCGGCACCTTACATGTCGAAGGTTTAGCGGCGTGATTTCCGGGGCATATAACCAAGGCACCGAGTTCCAACTCATTCCAAAGGACACCTCATAGATGATGAGCGCACCAAGAGCTAGCCGGGAGGATGCGGTTGTTTTTACTGCAATGCCCACGGTGAACAAAGTCATGGCCAGCAAGAGCATTGTTGATCCAAGCATCAGCACTTTACGCCGACCGAGTCGGTCCATCAGAAATATGGGTGGAAATGTCCCGAACCAGAAGGAAATCTGAATGAAGCCAGCAACTAGGCTGCTCATCTCGCGAGTCAAGCCAACATTGCTTTCCAGGACGATGGTTACTATGAATGTCAGCTCTTGATAACTGTCAAGAAAATCTCTGGATCTCACCGTAGAAGGCTATGACGTTGATTCCGGTGAACTGCTGGAAGAATTGAAGTAGGAAACATAGCGCTAGGCGGCGGGGGTTTTTGATTTCGCTTTTTTCGAGGAAAATACCCCTGAATGTCGGGGCCTTGTGATTGTTGTGCTCTAAAGCAAGAGCCTCCTCCATTTCAGCCACAACAGTTTGGACATTCGGATGGTCTATTGGCAAGGCAAATAGTCTCGAAAGTTCATCAATGGCCTCTTTCTGACGACCGTGGGAGTAAAGCCATCTGTAATAATTAGCCAAAATCACATTGGCAAACGTGAATCATGATTTGACTCACCGCGGGGACTCCGGAAGGATAGGCATAGTGATAATAGTGAGCAAGGCAAAAAAATTCTGAAAAGCAAGCGGGAAACGCCAAACAACCTATTTAAATGGTTAAAAGCTCTGTATTCCGAGTCATAAGAGGAGCAACGATCATACCCCACCGGTTTGCGAACGAATCATTCCGTAGTCCAACCAATAAGCCACCACAGTTCCAAACTGTGCATGGTTAGTAACTGGAGAGAATATGTGAGATTTTCCAATGATCTTACAATCACAATTGACATCTGTATGGCAAGCGATCGTCCACGCTTAGTGCTTCTAGATGTTTCGGAAATGTAAACCGGGACTGTGGACGTATTCATGCCTTGTGTTGTCCATTGAAATTTTAGCCATTACAGCTAGCAAGCATGACCGAAAATTTATACATACCGTTTCCAATTCCAGAAATGATGCGACCCGCTATGAGCTGACCAGGGCCATATGTGCTCGCCTGAATAGTACCACCGATAACCATGACGGCACATCCCAGGATAATAGCATTCTTCCGACCGAGGCGATTTCCGAAGAAAGCCGAGATCACACATCCACAGAGACAGCCAATGTTGAAAAGGGCCACTATTGTGCCTAGGTATCCCGAGCTGGGGTTGCCAATCGCAGACAAAAATCCCGGGTACGAGACAAGACCGCCCAGAACACCCTGGTCATATCCAAAGAGCAGATAAGCGCTGCCAGCGCTCACTGCAATGGCTGTTTGTAATGATCGGCCTTCAAGTTTGAGCATAATGGCGAGGTATTGAACGACCTGCTCTACCATCACGCTGTTGGACTTTATATCCCATATTCATGTCGGGATATCACTCCCGGGAAATCCAATCATGGCTGTTGAATGCGGGGAAAGATGACCTAGGGAAATTTAATTTTTCCTGTGAGCCCCCGGATTCTCTGTAATTAGATCACCGATATGTCCACAAAACCGAGGTCGTCCATATTTCATGGTTTGGACAGGGGCTGAAACTGACACAAAGTACCTGACTCATGCAGGCGAAGCTTGAATAGCGCCAAACTTAAAATAATGGGGAATTATTATCCAGTAACCTTTCCCCACACAAATTTCCGGCCGGCAGAATAACTCGTGGATACCCATACAAATTACCCGAGAGAGTCGTAAGGTAAGACAAAAAAAACAATGCAGATCCTACGTAGCACTTGGGGCGTCGTTGTCTTCAGCTCGGAGATGCGGAGCTTCCAGGCTGTTGAGGAAAACCTACGGAGTACACATTGTGCTTCCGGATATGAATTAGACCAGTAACCTCTGATGTTGAAATTTTAACAGACCTCAGCATCTTTAGAGAGGTGATGCATGTGATGTATGACTAGATATCTAGGAGGAATGATACCGGCAAAATTCGGAATACTGGTAGGGATTTAGCGATAGAGAAGCGTACAAGAAACACCATAAATGATCCTAATAGTATTTTATAAGGGATTTTAGCAATGAATGATGGTTTTTGAGATATTAAACTGTAATTCATCGCCTGAATTACGTGTAGATACTGTGCGGCTGGCTTATAAAATGCGTTATTACTAGTCAACGAAAAGAGATGTTTTCAAAATCTGAGTAGTAGAAGAGCCTTGAAACTTTGACAAAGGGAAACATTATACTACCATGGTAGTATTTGTTTGATGTATTGTCAGTATATAGCTGATTGGAACCTAGTAGTCCTTCACGCACTGGAGTATACTATCCAATACTAGTACTACTAGTATCAATCTTGAATTTGAGCTGGATTCCTTCAAGCTTCACACATCGACGCTCTCTTGGTGGATGAAGTTTATCTCCTTCAATTTGTGCTGCTGATGTTGGTAATATGAATTGCTACCGAGAGCATCACCCCTCTTCTCAAAAAGCAGATCAATTTCTTCAAGCGTCTTTCCAGTCGTCTCAGGACACATGAACCAGACGAAAGGTATGGCCACGGCACAGGAAGCAAGACACCAAATCCATAATTTCCACCCAACGTTATTGAGCCCGATTCCTCCAGCAAACACGGTGATGAAACAAAAGAGCCATTCCCCAAACGCACCAGCCGCAGCCCCAACGTGGCGAAACTGGAGCGGGGCAATCTTGTAGATCATTAGCAGTGAGCATCCTATTGTCGTAAACAAATATTGTGAGAATACTTACCTCGGGGCCATACAGCCAACAAACACCAATCCACCCGTACCCAAAAATTAAGTTATAAACAACGATGGCTGCAACTGCTGTCCATTGCTTTGCCAATGTGGGATGTGGAGATCCGATCATGCCGATGAAAACCGCGAGGCAAATTCCGAGGCCACAAGCAGAGTATATCATTATCTTCCTTCGTCCAAACCTTTCAATTGTACTCGGAAGAAGGAACGATCTGATCGCGAAAATAGTGTTCATGACAGCAGCGAGAAGCTGGGAAATTGTCGAGGAAAGGCCAATTTGTGAAAAGATAGTCACACTGTAGTAAACGGCAATGTTGATTCCTATAACATTTCAGTAAAGGGTGAGCCATAGTTAACTAGCTGATGATGAGGTAGCTTACCCATCATCTGTTGGAGTGACAAGATCAAGAAGGAAATTCGAATACGACGCCCAACTCGCAAGTTCGATCGATCCCAAATTAAATCGAGAACATTTATGGACTTTGTCTCCTCTGCCTCGTGCTCAAGAGAGGAGAGAATTGACTGCCGCATTGCCTGGACCGCAGGACTAGAGACCGGTTGGTCATGAAGGCGGGCAAGAATTGCATCCGCTTCCTCAAGACGACCACGAGCATAGTACCACCGAGGGGTGTCTGGGAGCAAAAACATGGTCACTCCAGAGATAGCGGCAAGGAGGGCTTGAAAGCCGAGAGGGAAACGCTGTCGCGGTCAATAACTTTTGCACCCCACCTTAGCAGGATCATTTACTTACCCAAGATAGCTGATTATCGAGGCGAGTAAAGCCGAAGTCTACCCAGTAGGCAAATGCACAGCCGCTGACAAGGAACACGCATTGTAATGCCACCTCTGGGCCACGTTCCTTCTCGGTGAGACTCATTTCAGCCTGCAGGAAGGATTAGGACATCCTGGTAAAGGGAGACTTGAGGAATACTCTACCATGTATGTTGGTACTGCGCATGAGATAAACTGAAAACGTGCATTGTTAGCTCAAAAAACCCATCAGCTGAGCACGATACAAACCCCGATTCCAAATCCCTAATGCAACTGTCAGTGGCTTTGTTCCTTTTTGATCGGGAGTTAAATATACACAAAGAACTCTTCCTGCTATTATCTGGCCCACGGACCAAGACGACGCTTGGAGACTCCCACCAATGACTACCAGAATGTCACCTAGGACAACGCAACCCCGTCTACCCAAAGGCATACCGAGCCATGAGACAGCAAGAGCACACACGGCGGCGGCTAATGTATAGCTTGATGCCACCATTGGAATGATATAAGACCCCGTTGGGTTCTGTAAGCAGTAAGTTCACGACCGTTTAACAAGACGACACTAAGCTAAGGACATACCCCGAGAGCTTCACGGAAAGGGGCCGTGTCTTGAACCCCACCCAGAACGCCAGCATCGTATCTGCGTTTCTGAGCAATTTGAACCCAGTAAATGTGAGTCGTTTCATACATACCCGTACAACCCGAATGCCTGATTAATGATAAGCCTGGGTACGAGACTATGGGTCAATAGATCCACTTACCAAGCAACAGGAGAAGCGCATGACACGATACAGTGTCTGTCCTTTGATACTCTTCATCGTTGCGGTATTCTAGATAAGCTATTTTTGACCTTAGCTAGAGGTAACGTGAGGAGATCGAAAGCGAAGCTGAACTCGTAACCTCGGAATATATGTAGAAACCTTGGAAGCTTATAGAGACGAGTTTGCTCATCGCTAGATCCAGGCTGGAATCGATCCGGGGTAAGCGAGGGGTAGATCCCCCAGATTTACCATCAGGTAAAGCTAAATTGAAGGCTCAATCAGTTCCAGCAAATATTCCACTGATACGCGACTTGCATTGTGGGTTGAGAATTTCAGGATCCTCTGTCCAATGGAACTTCCCGCTCCGGATTTACAATCCCGTGGGATAGAACGGTCTCCTTTGCCGAACCCACACTCTCCTTCGTATCTCCCGGTCTGGAGAATTGAGAATTAGTATTCGGAAATGTGGTTTCCACTTTCTACTTTCCACTTTCCACGGGAACTTTCTCTTCTTCTCTGTCGGCTTTTTCTCTCGGCTCTCGGTCCAGGGAATCGGCTATGAAGGTAAATATTCAAATCCGGGTCGCCAACAAGTTCTTAATACTTCACAAAACCTGAAATTTTCGATCCAAAAGTCTCTGTTAACATCAGCATGGACAGCCCAGAAGTTATTGTCATAGGGGCCGGACCTTCAGGCATTGCCCTTGCGCATACCTTGAAACACAAACTAGGGTTCAGCGACTTCACAGTGAGTCAATAGCATATTTCTTTTTATAAGGAAAGTCCTCATGGGTTAATTTTTCATGAATACTAGTTTTACGACAAGCTCGATGGACCCGGAGGCACGTGGCGATTGAACACATACCCAGGAGTGTACGTTGAATGATGTTCAAGTTGAGTGGCTGAGCTGATGACAAATTCACAACAGGGGATGCGATGTACCCACGCTTCTCTACTCCTTCTCGTTCAACCAGAATCCAAACTGGTCAAAGGAATTATGCGAGGGGCCCGAAATACTGGACTGTGAGTGTTACTGACCTTAATTCTGTATATTCAATCCGCGTGCTGATAACAGTGTTCTGCACAGACATGGAAGCAACAGTGGACAAATTTGATCTTCGAAAGCACATGCAGTTTGGCGTTGAATGTGTTTCCGCATCCTGGAATGAAGAGGGGCATTGGGAAGTTAGACTTCGTGATACTGCGACCGATATCGAATTTACCAGGACCGCTGCCGTCTTCATATCTGCAGTTGGTGGAATATCCAAGCCAAGAGATGTTAAGTTCAACGGCATGGAGAAATTCACCGGCGAAGTATTCCATACCGCACGTTGGAACCATCAGTATGATTACCGCGGGAAACGTCTCGCGGTGATTGGAAACGGATGCAGTGCAGCACAGGTGGTTCCAGCCATCTCAAAAGATGCCGGCTTCGTGAAGCAGTACGCTCGAAGTGCGCAATGGTACCACGAGCGACCCAATCGAAACTTCACTGGTTTTGAAAAATGGTGCCTGGGCAACATCCCCCTTTGGGAGCGCTGGCTTCGCTTGCGACTCTTTCTGGCCAGCGATAGCCTCGTAGCCACCTACCTACCTGGTCCTGCAGCCGAGAAGCTTCGTGCAAAGACCGAGCGCGGCGCACGCAAGTACATCTATGACACTGCACCTAAGAAGTATCACAAAACTCTTGTCCCGGATTTTCCTTTGGGTAAGCTCCGTTATTACTATGCGTTTGACAAGGTTACATCGATGCTGACACTATAACTATAGGCTGTAAGCGACGCATCTTTGACCCTAATTACCTCGAAAGCCTCGGTCGCACCAACGTCGAGCTGGCTGCTGTGGGGATTGATCACATTGATGAAACAAGTGTCACTGGTACCGATGGTGTTAGAACTGAGTTCGATGCGATTGTTTTGGCAACTGGGTTCGATGTCCAGCAATTCATTGTTCCAATGGAAGTATACGGGAAAGGCGGCAAAAGCCTACAGAAACAATGGCTAGAGTCCCGCGGTGCGCAGGCATATATGGGGGTCTACGTGCACAACTTCCCAAACCTCGGTATACTGTACTGTATATCCTCATTCCTATACTCCTGCATTCCAACTCACAATTTTGTACAGTTTCGGCCCCAATACTTTCCCTGCACATAACTCGGTGCTTTTCGCTTCTGAAGTCCAGGTCGAATATCTGGCGCGGACCTTGATTGCACCGATCATTGATCGTCGAATCACCTCGCTGGAGGTTAAACCCACGGCCGAATACCAATGGGTCAACAAGCTGCAGTCTGAGCTCAAGGGAACTGTTTTTGAAGCCGGGTGTTCGAATTGGTATATGAACAAACATGGACGTAATTCAGCGTCGTGGCCGGGTTACGCGTCGACATATTGGAAGGAAGCCCTTATTCCTCACTTTGGCGTTTTCAAAGAGTCATATGGGTCGCGGTTGTGGTTCTTCAATACTATCTGGCGATGGATCCGAACTACCAATAAGGAGACCTATGGAGTTCTGCTCCTAGCCTTGGCTGGTGTAGTATCGCATCAGAATGTCGGCTTTTCTCGCGAATTACCACGCTTGTTTCATAATATTGTTTCGAAGATTGGTTGAAGCAACTTTGCTTACTTGAGAATGTCGACATGTTAGATTTAGATGTCTACACCTGCACTTCGTCTGCAATTTGCCTCACTGAGAGGTATGAATTTTAAATTTGAAACTTGAAACTGCATTCTCATATATGGAAAAGTTACGAAGGGTGGAGGTTGTAGATTAAATCAATCGAATACTTGACACAAAATTATTCTGTACCAGAAGGAATTCTCCCTCTCGCTGCCATATTCTCATTCTCCTCCGAGGGAGAAACTTGAATCAAAGATCGTCCATCCCAAGCTAAAGACTTCATAATTGATTGTGTAGGTATATGCCCTTTCTCATTTATCCAACACATGGCCAACTCGAATTTAGGATACTTGCACGGTTTTGCTTAAGGAATGGATTGTTTTGTCAATTCATCTGAGGCGACAAATAAATGAAGAATATGCAGGCTTACGCACTGCTTCAAAAATCTACTAGGCATAGAATCCGACCCGCCGAAGTCATAGGCGCGGAATTGGCGAAACCCGTGGAACTGTAAACCCGTAGTCGTCAACCGCAATCATGGTTCCACCTGAGCATACAATATGTTGACCAAAGATCCAAAAAGGTATACATGCTTACATGGATTCCGTGGAATTTCAGTTCAAAATTCCCCACTGGCAAATATGCGCCCCGGATTTCGTAATGGTTGAAACTGCGTTGTGGGGAAAGCAGAGGGATCCCTTAAGCTCCAGTTGAAGCTTGAGAAGGGTGCACCCAGAAATTAGCGACAGATTTCCAAGGTTGCTGGCCTTCACATCTCATCGACTCATCACTAAATTTTGCAAACAATGAACAAAATGATGACCCTTCATCTTGCGTTGAAACCATCGAGGGTCATATCTCCTTCGCGTATATGGCTAGGTGCCACACGTTTCAACGTTCAAGGCTGCAAAGGCTTTGGGACAACCCACATACAGAGGTCCGGCAAGATTCCATTCCAGCATACAGAGCTGTCGACCAAAGCTCGGAAGTTAGTAGAGTCCAAAATTTCACTAGATGGGAAAGTCACCGTTATCACAGGTATGTAACGCCCCATGCCCTTTAAAGTAACGCCCCTGCTAATTATTGCAAGGCGGTTCAAGAGGAATCGGATTGGAATTAGCCAAAACAGCGGCAGCGCTGGGTAGTGATATCGCCATCCTTGATGTTCGGGAACCAGACGAAAGTATCGCGCAATTGCAGGAAGCCTATGGCTCACGATTTGTCTTTCACCAGTAAGCAGATTGTATCGATGGTATTGGCACCGAATCTGATTATCTCAAATTTAGGATGGATGTCACCTCGATGGATGGCATGGAAGCTGCTTTTGATAAAGTCGTCCAAAAGTTAGGAAAGATAAATAATTGGTGAGCCTAGCATAGGAAATCGAGATTGGCTTCCGGTATCCAGAATACTGATACGTCCGCTCACATTAGCGTTACATGTGCCGGTATTGCCCTTGATAAGCCGTTTCTAGAGCATACCTGGGATGAATCACGCCGCATTCTTGACATCAATGTACGTCTACTTTAAAACGTTGATGAGATTACTATCTATCTGCTGACATCTGAACCAGATTCTTGGGTCATTCTTCTCAGCCCAATTAGCCGCCAGACAAATGATCAAACAAGGTGACGGGGGGTCCATAGTAATGATCGCTTCTATTGCTGCTCACTGTGCCATTCCTGCCCAGCGAGTATCAATTTACGGTGCCTCGAAAGGTGCAATCAAGCTTCTAGGAAAAACACTTGCAGTTGAAATGGCCCCATTTAACGTGCGTGTCAATACTATATCCCCGGGATTTATTGAGACCAAAATGTCGGCCCAATTTGAAGACATTCAGGAAGTGTTCCGGAGTGTACCTCCTATGAGACGCATTGGCCAAGCCGAGGATTTGGCGCTTGCAACAGCTTATCTTCTGGGTAACGGAGCGTCTTATACGACCGGGGCAGATATTGCAGTGACTGGTGGACTGCACAATGGCCGCATTGAACTTTAAATTTCCTTTAAACTTCCAAAACTTCAAGTTTCAAGGTTTGAAAGTTTCATGTTGTTTTTTTTTCAATGCAAACCTGCCCAGGTGTCTGCTTTGGACCGTGAAAATTCCCATGTTTAGGATTTTCAGACATAGAGCACAGTCACAATTCAATCCAACTGAACTCGAGTCTCTATTAACATGGTGCAATCTATCTTAGAAACGTAAGTTATGCAGGCGTTCTCTCCATCTGAAAGAAGGGCTTGCCAAACGCCATGGTCAGTGTTAATAAAACACGCGTAAGACGCGTGTAAAGCGCGTCAAAGCGCGTCGCAAAAAAGTAAAACAAACCATGCAAAGCCAAGAAAGCTCCAATAAACCACGCACCGCTCAGCCTTGCAACCAAATCCCCCCTCCGGTTCAACCCCTTCGGAAGCGACGGTCGCGAAGCCACCCATCATAGGGGACAGGTTTGTAACTTTTACATATGGTTTAACCTTGGATCCCCCGAGGATTTATTGAGAAAGAACCTTGGAATATATTAGAATTCAACCAGAAATTAATTAGAGTATCTATCTAATATGGCCGAAGATCTAAAGACCATACCAATGGTCGATAATATCTAGTCGGGGGCGAAATGAAACCCAGACTGGATATTGACGCAGACAAGGTACGCGTACACTAAATGACTATTTGCAATGCACCCTCGTTGATTCACATTATACAGGGCAGATCAAATCAGTTTCGCCATTTTCAAGTTTTTCTCTTTGGTTGTTTCTCAATTACCAATCCATGAATCTTTAGCAACTCCAGGCCTAATGCAGTTAGTTGAGGACACGCCTTATACTAGTAAGCATTTTGTTTCGACATTTATGTATTGATTAATGGTGGGTCAGGCCAAGATGTAAAAAAACCAGAGATAATAGTAGCAAAGTGGGCAACCTAATTCCGAGCGGATTCATAGGCACTCAACTGGATTGAAGAAATTCATGTTTGTCGCGATGTCTATACCTAAGCGTGCTCAAGGATTAAGCCTAGCTATGTCCGCCAGCTTCAACTTCAAAGATAATCTTTTGACTCCGCATTTGGCAGAAATCGTCGTATCTGTCTGAATGTCAGAATATCATTTTGACTTAGCGACGATCTCACTTACGCTTGAACCGCGCCCGAAAGAGGACGAATATCCTGAGTCATGAAGCTAAACCCCTGTCAGTTTTCTAATCCTAAAATCACAGATAAGTAACACATACTCCAAAGAATCCTGTTTTCTTGCAAAGGTATCCATAGCTTCACCGAAAATGCCTAAATTTCGTCAGTGAGAGCCACAGTGGTGAGATGAAATAAGGGTAGAAATACTTCTGACAGGGCATCTTCCCATTTGTAAGCTCAAGTTCTTTCCATAGGCCTCGTTTCCAGTCCATGGTATTTCCTGATTGTGAACCCCGACACTTGAGATACGACCCCAAGGTCGCAGTAGATCAAAGCCCATTCGCAAGGCGCTGCTATGCCCGACAACTTCGATGACAATGTCTGCACCTCGACCATTTGTAAGTTCCATTACTCTCTGGTGTAGTCCCCTTTCATTCAGTTCAAAATTAAACGGCTCCGCCCCCAATTTCTCTGCAGCTGATAACCGTGATGGCACACTATCAATCGCAATTAGGTTCTTTGGTTGGTATTCAATAGCACTCAAAATTGCGCACAGCCCAACAGGGCCACATCCGAAGACTAGTACTGTGCTTTTGCGAATGTCTTCCTGACTGAGGTCGTTGAAAGCATTCCCAGCAGCGAAATAGCCAGTAGGAAAAATGTCTGCCATCAAGACCAACTTTTTTTCGTCAATAGAAGCAGGTGCTCGAAACAAAGTTGAGTCAGCTAGTGGAATACGGACGTATTCAGCTTGCCCGCCGTCGAGTACCGTAGTACCATATAGTTTGCATTCGGCGCATCTGGAGGAGAAGCCGTGCTCGCAGTAGAAGCACGATCCACAACTGACAGTGAATGGGGATACCACCCGATCGCCCTGGTTGAATTGCTTCACCTGAGATCCAACTTTGACAACTTCGCCGGTGAACTCATGGCCCATGATAAATTCTGTTCCGGAAGGCTGGGACCCGCGAAAGACATGTAGCTCACTTTGATATTGTTAGCGATATTCCCACCCCTTACAAATTCTTGAAATCAATATTTTACCTGCCACATAGAGCCGTATATCGCACTTTCACGATCACATCCGTTGGAAATTGGATCTGGGCAGTGGCCTAGTCTCCAACGCGACCACCATTGGGCCTTTGAACACTACAGCCTGCATCATGAGATTGTATCACGTATGTCGTTTTGTTGAACTTGAAGAAATCGGACTTTTTTTTGGTGGAATAAATGTTCTCAAGGAGCTCATTAAAAAATAGTAAAGTATGATTCTTAAATTCGATCATCTGTTAAACTCAGTAGTCATTGCAAGTGTGGCGATTAGCAGAACCCGTGGCCGTTCATTCACGGGAATGGCTGCAGTTTCGTCGGGGCGCGGAAAAAGCCTCTGGCCCTCGCATAACCAAGTAGCAGGTTCCGCATATTATTTTGAGTTTCCATTCAACCTCCACATTGAGCCGGTGTAAATCCGACAAGGCGACTCGGAATTCGCCATCTTTGTGGTTGAACCTCGGCCGGAGTGAGTTAATCCCGGTTACCCGATTCGGATACAGGTTCAGGCTTTAGCGAATGATCCAGATTAAACGCATATCTAATGCTATAACAAATTCATTTTCAGGCCTATTTGTGCTAACTGTATGATGAAATATCTCAATCACCACAATGGATACCTCATCGCTTCCCGTTGCATTGGAAACCCCATCTCTCTTTGACAACCGAGGATTTATCGCAGGAAAATGGAGACACGCGTCCTCCAACAAGACATTTCCAGTCCTCGAACCTTCCACTGGCCGGACTCTAGCCCAGTGTGCGGACTTTTCCACACAAGACTTTGTTGAGGCTATTGAGACCGCCGATGCAGAATTCAAACAATTCTTTTCCACGACGACGGCAAAGCAGAGAGGAACATTTCTTCGCAAATGGAACGACCTCATTCTAGAGAACTCTCAAGACAGTTAGTAAATATCCTGCTGCCGTATGTCTTCAATACTAAAAATAAATAGTCGCAAAGATTCTCTCTTTGGAAAATGGTAAGACATTGGCGGAAGCAAAGGGAGAGGTCATATATGCCGCATCCTTCGTATCCTGGTTCGCCGAAGAGGCAACGCGATCATATGGCGATGTCATCCCATCTTCATATCCCAATAACACCGTCATGACATTCAAAGAGCCAGTCGGCGTTTGCGGTATCATCACACCTTGGAATTTTCCAGCTGCAATGATAACCCGCAAGATTGCACCGGCCTTTGCAGCAGGCTGCTCGGTGGTGATCAAACCACCAAGTGAGACCCCTTTTACTGCGATTGCTTTGGTCAAGCTTGCCCTTCTGGGCGGGGTTCCACCCGGGGTTGTAAACATTGTTCCGACTAAGGACAGACAAGCATCTTTGCAACTAGCTACGCATCCAAGGGTTAGAAAGCTTAGCTTCACTGGCTCGACGAACGTTGGGAAGATGCTCACCAAGCTTGCTGCCGATACAATGAAGAGAATCAGCATGGAGCTGGGTGGAAATGCCCCGTTCATTGTGTTTCAGGATGCAGACCTCGATAAAGCGGTGGAAGGAGCCCTGATTTGCAAGTTTCGCTCATCTGGACAGACTTGCGTCTGTGCGAATCGACTGTTCGTGCACGAGAGTGTACTGGAGGAATTCACGGATAGAATGATCAAACGAGTCAAGTCGTTCCAATTGGGACGTGGGATTGATGAAGGTGTCACCCACGGCCCCCTTGTCAACGCTGCTGCTGTGGAGAAGGTTAAAAGCCATGTCCAAGATGCTCTCGACAAGGGAGGCCGTCTTCGATATGGCGGCGCCGTTCCAGTTGATCGCTCTTCCGGGTACTTCTTTGAACCAACCATTATCACTGGAGCCCATAAAGACATGCATGTTGCAAATGATGAAACATTTGGTCCTCTCGCTGCCATATTCTCATTCTCCTCCGAAGACGAGGTTGTCTCCCTGGCAAACGACACCGAATTCGGGCTTGCTGGTTACTTCTTTAGTAACGACATCAACCGCATTTTTCGCGTTTCCCGGCGAATTGAGTGCGGGATGATTGGCGTCAACACTGGACTGATAAGTGCAGCCGAGGCTCCATTCGGAGGTGTTAAAGAGAGTGGTGTTGGGCGAGAAGGCAGCAAGTATGGACTCGCTGAGTATCAGAACATCAAGTCTGTGACCATAGGAGGTGTTTAGAATTTAGCAGTAGTCAGGGAGTCTTGAAGCTTCCACAGATCCCAGTTGAGGCAATGATAAATTCAATTGTTTAATTATACATGAAGGGCTGAACAACTTTGTCTCAAGAGATGTTTTCACGGCTGTAAGCCTCGGCAACTGAGTGCTCTGTGAATGGGGTCCATAGGCCATGACCAGAAAGTGACACTTGGTTCACTTCAGAGGGAAATGTCTCTGTACCAAGACCCTGGGTGATATCAAAGCCATTCAAAAATTCGTCGTTCAGAGAAGAATTTGCCCAAGATTTAGACCCGCCCGGGTTTCCACTGAATATGCCAGATGAGATCTGACCCAGTGCAATCATGGAGTTCAGTGGATTAGGCTGGCTAATAATCTGAAGCCCGCTGGCAGTTGCCTCCCTTTCTCGTCGTAGCAGTTCTGATTTGATAGATGTAATAACTTCCAGAGCCCTCAGTGCGTTCTTGTATGCTTGTCCAATCTCCCCGAGTGCTTGAGAACATATTTCAAGTCTTCTGCGCGCTGTATCTCTGGTCTGAGGGTCTGATAAGAGAAACGCGGAGTGTACCTGAACGAGCATTGCTGTAAATATCAGATGCACTACTTGTATATTGACCCGCCGAAGAGAAAAGTGCCGACGAGTTGCTTGAATGATCTTTGTAATTGACCCTGCTGCATCATTACATGTTTCGCGGCTTGTCTGTATATCCTGGGCTGTGAGGCCATCGACACCAGGAGACAGGAACGCAAAGGGCTGGTCAACAATGATTCTTACTGCATGAAATTGCATGCTGTTTATATATTAATCAACATGCATCTCTGTCTGGATTTGAAATACGTACTGTAGTTGTGAGACATGAGGAAGATGTTTGCATTTTGGGTCGTTCGTATCAATGGCAAGGACCTCTGGAAGTTCCGAAAACCAGATAGCGAGCTCATTTCGGGCTTTTACTGCGAAGGCGTAAAGCTTGTTGATATCGGGAGAGTTCACTCTAGGGGTACTGTATCTGAATGGCTTGCTGTCAGTTGATCAATTTGACTTAGGGGCCTGACTTCAACTTACAAAACCTTTCGGATCGAGGCCATCTTCGTGCAAATAGACACCGTTGCCTGAGCTACTTCATTTAACAATGCTCGCGACTCCCAAAGTGACGTTTGTTGATCTTCGTCGATGTATGGACACCATGTCTTGTTCATATCCGAACCGGAGTCTCCTGCCGAGGGTAATTGGACCGTGATATCTAGGTGATCAATCGACTCGGGCCGACCGACGTATAGGCTCCACATTCTGTTTCGCATCTCAATACTTGCGATGCGGAATTGATAGGTCAACGAGGCTTACCTTTCGTGCGTGTAAGTGCCCCAGAATGTGGAACTTCGAAGCCGGGCTTCTCCGAGGTCCATTAATCCCCTCTCCGCAAAAGGGGCAGCATCTATATGAAGCCCTAGGTCTGTGGCAAGTCGCATAGCCATTCCTTAGAGGTTGGAACGATCAGTCACGTCCAAGAGGTCAGAATAATTTATCTTATCCTACTTACCACTGTAAAGCCAACCACGAGCATCCCGGGTAAGAAGCGCCTCGACACCACTCAGTATCCCAAGGGACTGCACAGTACTCAAGGTAGGCGAATCCATCTCAACTTCTAGAAGAGCTTTGGACCTTGTTGCAAAGAAATCAACAAGGGCTTCCGGAAGGTCGGGACAATATCGGGAAGTCAAAGCAGCGCCGACAGCACATCTGTATTTTGTTAATAGCTGGTGATTTTTGTATTATGCGTGGAGGAAGAGTATAATTCTCACATTGCGTTGTTCAGAACCTCTGAGTATCGGTGACTAGCTTGATTAAGCTTCCGATATCGAGCCTTCGCTTCATAGTAAGACTCTTCATCCACTAAAGGGATATTTGGGTTCTCCCAAGTAAAGTATAACTTCGTAAGGTGGTCCTCCAGTTCTTCGTCGACCTCATGAGCAACACCGGCAGCGGTCAAAATCAAGTTCTCATTGTAGTAAACGGACCGAATGTTTGAGTTAAATAGTGGGAAAGGCCCCACGTGCGAAATGTGAAGATTCGAGGTCGGTCCGAAGAAGCGTAACTGGCCATCTTCTGCTATTTGCAATGAGCCCATTCGATCTGCCATCGAATTCGTACCAGGTAACGAATCTTCATTCATAGACAGGAGGTCCGATGGAACCTCGTCAGACGCAGTGCAGATCCCACTGCCGACTGAAGGTGCTGTATGATTGCTGGCTCTCCGGGTTGTGGCGCGTATCATCACTTCATCGTCAATAGACATAGGTGGAGGTGTGGGTACCGAGGGTAGGATGTCATTAGGACGGCCAACCGGGAGCTCAAAGTCGTGCTGTAGTAATAGAGATTCCAGTGCTTGAATGTAAGATATCATCGTGGAAATCTTGCCCTTTGAGGCCAGGCGCCGCTTGTCGATCTCTTGCGAAAATGTGCAAGTTTGCCTATAAAGTGCACAATTCGCACATTGCGGCTTGGCTCCGTCGCATTTGGTCTTGCGCTTCTGGCAGCCAATGCAGGCTCGAGTGACGTGTTTCATTTCCGCGCTCTTTGAACAGGATGTACTGGTGGAACTGAAATTCCTAGCCTTGATTCCGGGGATTAGGCGTAGACAGCGTTGTTGAGACCTGGATGAGAGGGGTAAAGTGGCAAGGGTTCCGGAGCTCCTGTATGCGGGGACGCGGGGCCCCGCTTACATTGGATTCCGGCTCTGTCCAAGTTAAGAGTGGGGAATGAAACGGACAAGATAACATTATTGCATCTTCCATAGAGTTATTGATTAGGTCTACGCAAAGTTGATGGTTTAGTTTGACGGTTAGAAAAATTGAGTAAGTAGGTGCAGGAAAAAAACCCTACATATTTCACAATTGAAGATTCAAAATGTTGGATATTGAAGACATTGCAGCCTAAGAACCCAAAATTCATTCATGATCAACCCGTTACTGCTTTTTATCTGTACATCGTCTAACATACCGTAGGTCAGTCGTAGTAAGCTTTCAAATGTTGGACAGATATTGTTGTTGGACGTGTCACGTGACGTCTACAGCGTCAATTGGAGCAACATTCTCTTTCTTTCCTCCATCTATCTGTCTTGCTCTCCCAATATTTTCTATTCTGCATAGCTTTTCTCCTTTCGTTCATTCCTGTGCATCTTCTATGACTGCCTTTCCTGGTTGGCTGATATGAACAGCGATCCTCTTTTAGCGGGTACTGTTGTATACTAGGCAACCTTGTGAAAATCCCGCGGATTTACAATCCCGGGATTAAGCTGTAAGCAAAAGCTACCGGCGACCCATACCCTTTTTGGTGCACTGTGACCATCACAGGATGATCTTGTCCAGACTGGAATTCTTTTTCTGTTCGCAGCAATGATTCGGTGACAGTTGCATCACTCAATTACTCATTCTCCAGCCTCATCCCGATACATCCCATCTCCATCAATGAACAGGTCCAAAGTCCAGTCCTCTTTGAAACGGGTGAACAAGAAGCGATCTCCACGAGCGTGCGCGAGCTGTCACTGCCGAAAGGTGAGATGTGACGTGACCAGCACGGGCTGCCCTTGTACCTCATGCAGCTTTTACGATATCCCTTGCTCTATCCCAATCGACCGACGGGGCAAGTCGGCCAAACCCAAAAATGATGATCCCAGGGAAGCTGAAAGGCTTCTCGATTCTGTGACTGCAAGCCACGGTCCTAATTTTCATGACTCGGCGGAAGATTCTGGTGAGCGCTGCGACTCAAATCTGGCCAACGACCAAGATCGACTTGATGTTACAGATTGGAAGGCACAGCATTGGATGAAGAAAGAAAAAAAGTCTTTGAAAGCTTGCGATGACGCAATTTCATCTTCAAAACGCCCAGTAAACTGGTATATGTTGTTGCCAGGTTATGCGAGTCCACTATCTCCGTCAATCACCAGAAAAGACTCCCAGATATTGAAAAAGGGGGGGCGCTTTCGATGTCCCGAATGCAAAAGTACGAGATGAGTTGTTGAGGAGCTATGTTCAGTATTTGCATCCCGCACTACCGGTACTAAGCTTGGAGGACTTTTTGATGGTCATTGATGACAGCTATACTGGGAGCAATGGTGTCAGCTTCCTTCTCTTTCAAGCTGTAGCCTTCGCAGCCACGGCATTTGAAAGTCCTGAATCACTAGCAATTGACGGGTTCAGAAATCGACGAGAAGCTCGTAAGACTCGATTTGAACGAGCTAAGATGCTTTACATATTTGGTTGCGAGGAGGATCGTGTGACAATCCTACAGACGATTCTGTTGTTGACATACTGGGATGATACTAGTGCTGATGGAACCCATGATGCATGGCATTTTGTCAGGGAGGCTAAGGCAATTCTAAGATCTATCCAACTGAAGCCGACAGATTCTGAAATCGAGCTCTTTCAACAACGACCAGGACTGTGGAGGCGAATTTACTGGTCACTCTACATGAGAGATCGACTGGTTGCGATCGCCATGCGCCGTCCAGTTCAACTCGGCGAAAACGAGTTTGAAGTTGATATGTTGAAACCATCCGATCTTTACATAGGCCCATTGTCGACCAAGTGCTGTCTCGGAAGTGATGGTGGCCACCCTGCAATTAGAGATCCATCGGTGCGCTCGCTGTTATCTCAGATCACTATTCTTCTCGTCCATTGCTGCAGATGTATTGGACGTGTTTTGTCCTGTCGATATACCAGCTCTCGGATACAAAATGGTTTAAACTCCTCAAGTCTTGAGTCGCTTGTTCCCAGATCTCCTCCTCCAACCGGTGCAGAAGTATTACTGCGGGACAGCGAGCTCGAAGAATGGCACCGATCCTTACCTGAGGCTCTATGCTGGTCCTCTTCCAGTCCACTTCACCATATAAGCAAGCACGGGCACGTGATTCTTCTTTTTAGAGCAATGCTGAATGGTCTGTACGGTCTTACAAGCATTGCCCTTCACAGGCCACATATATCCCGACCCGTATCGTGGCATTCTAAAATGGCCGAGCTATCAAAACGTCGTGTTCATGATTCCGCCACCACTATCGCACGTATATACGATTTCTGTATACTCAAAGACTCAGCTCCCTTGTTTTCAGATAGCCAGGTTGCAATTCTTGAAAGTTCCATTGTCACACATCTCGGTGATCTCCAATCTTCTCGCTCCTCTACTCAGCAGTCGGCGATTGATCACTTTCAGACCTGCGCCCGGGCTTTGCAGCATCTCAGCAATACCTACCCATCTGCTGATGTGACCCTTACATTTGTCGACGCGGCTGTTCGAAACACGGAAACTGGAAGTTTGAGGGCTACTACTTCTATTGAAATGGATTCCTGTAACGATAAACCCGATAAGATGCACGGAAAGTTCATAGAAACTACAAGCGGCGATGAGACACTCGACCGGGGTTCGGAGCCAACGATATCGCAACAACTCGACAGTCTGCAATTATCGCAAACGAGCGAGCTTCTTTGCTCCCATTTTATGATGACGTCTTTCGAAAAAGATTTGTTACAAGATTTACTATCGTCAGGAGAAGAATCATATGCTACTATGGACGATTCCGATTCAAGTGCTTGGCAGGATTCACAGAGCCCCCTAGAGATCCCATCTACTCAGGTGTCCACACTGCCAGCCAGCTTGAGTTTGGGGTCCCCACCAGCACACAATGTGGAGGAAACTGAAGACCCTCTCAGCTGGGACTTCGAGGTCGATGAATTGGTATCACAGCCGCTCTTGGTTGGCGGTGGATTTGAATCCCAGTTCAAAGACAAAAACCAGCCTTTTGACGACTCGTCTTTCTTCCAAATGATGTCTCAATATTGTATGGAGTGACCGCTTTTCTAGATACTTTATGCGATTCTAGACCCTTGTCGCTTCAACGCACCAAACACACACCTATTGGTTGTTTGAATCTTTATCAACAGTTATAGCCATTGTGATATCAGTCAAAATAAGACATCAAATCGGACCTATTGTCAATAAGAAGAATTCTAAATCTGAAGAAGAAAAGCAAACTTAAAGGGAGGAAAGGGTACACATTGTACACCGCAAAGGCGGTATGGTATTTAACTATGGGTTGCCATGCTAACATCGTATCCCAAGGCTAGCGTGACACCACATCTGTTATGATCCATTTTGATCTACTTTAATCAGTTTGATTGGCGCTTTTACAGCTTTGGAATTGTGGTGGTTGGTAGTAATAGGTACCTACTAACTAGAGTAGTACCGTGACACACTCAAGTTCCAATTTCCTACTAGAAGGTGGCATCTGGCATCCTACGAGTAGTACTATCACTTGCCATGCTCCCACCTGGGCAATATATATCATCCCCTCCAGGGCTGATGTACTAGTACTAACTAGTATTAGTACTACTAGGTACTGCTAGTACTACTGCCCATTGGGGACCACGACTAGTAGTAGACTTGAAATTGAACTCGAGAATGGGGAGCTGCCTACCTAGCAGTACCAACAGTCAATGGTAGTTTCTAAATAGTGGAACCTCCTTGAACCACTCCAGGGCGGCAGTCACCTGGGCAATCGTGGAAGGCAACATCAAAAATCAAATTCAATTAGTTCCTACATACTATGGTACTATTTTGGCGATAGCTTGAAATTACTAGTATCCAATTTCCTCCGGCCAAAGAATTACTTGCAACTAATTCAATCTCCGACCGGTGGCAAGATGCATACGTGAAAAAAAAATTAAAAAAAATATTAGCAAATCTCCTTCAAACTTCTTGCATGCAAGGTATACTGTAATTTAGACTGAGCAATCCAAACCGTGGCGTCACGAAATCCTAGTAATTGGGCAATCTCATCAAGGGTATCGGCTACGAGCACCGTAAATGAAGAGGCTCACATGCTTTCCCTCCTACTCTCCCCCCCCTTCAACAGCTCCACCGTCCTCGACCCCGCCGAGAAAAATCTTCGACTCAGGTACCATGGCGATACCTGTGCAGAGTCTGCAGATTTTGCAGAAACCTGAACACATAATAGCGGAACTCCACCATGGATGTTGATGGAGAGTGTCCGGCCGAGTATTGACTTGTTTTTTCCAGAAAATCTTCAAAAATAATCCAAGAAAAGTCAAAGTATGGTTCTTGCCATGTGATGCCATCTACATAGATCCGCTTATGGATCGATCCAGAACTCTCGGTGCAATGGCCCAAAAGAGGAGTGGATGAAAAAGTGTTCCTGGATCCATTGATCTGTGCTAAGTCCCTTATCAGATTCGAGGTACGAAATACATTCAGGGACGGTTCAATTGTTCTTGCTGTCGGCAAAGCGGTCGCGACGCGAATCAAGAGAGGAAAGATATTTTCCGATGTGCATATCTGCAACAGGGACGATGACAGGAATGACGTTCGATGCATTGCCCCCAAGGGATGATGTCCAAGATCATCCAATGGCAATGAAAGATGATCTATCATCCCGCGTCCATAGACGTCCAGATCCGAAGGAGCCGGCGGACAACAAGGCAGTGTTATGCCGAACCTAATTAGATTAATCTCCATCCGAGGGGGTGTGCCTGATCCCTCGGCAACTAATGCATAGACCAACTTCTCAGTACTCGAGGCAATCCAACTGTCCCACAAGGTTGTGTTGCAAATCGGACGCATCGCAAATTACCTTGGGAAATTCCACAAGCATGCATTCCAGACAGCTGTAACCTCAGGGTCTCGAATTCGGCAATCTAACGCGACGAGGGGTTCTTTTTTTAGCACAATCGCAAACCCTTCTTTTTATATCGATCGAACTGGTACTATATCTCACACTTGAGGCGTCGTGCTTTGTCTCCATGCCCTGGCGAGAGCCAACCTGGGGGAGCGATGGGAGATAGTGAAACAGCGATCGCCTCGAGATCCTCGGGACGCCCCTCTAGGGTCAAACGAACCGGTTCTCTACCTGATGGCTTGAAGGGAAAGAGGCTGGCCGCTAGTTTCATGTTGGTGCAGTAGTCTGCGGAGTCTGGCGGACAGAGAAGCTTAAAGGCAAACAGACTTGTATAGGTCGATTGGACAAACAGATGGTGAGCGGAGTCAAAAGTCAGCCACTGCCCCTGGCGCTGTGCCTGTTTCGCGTTGCATGCCCTGACTCCACACAAGCCCTCTCCTTGTGGAGTCAACACCCCTGGGTCTAGGGGGGGGCTTTTGGGTGGCCAATTTTGGGGCAGCTATGAGCTCAATGGGTCTTTGCAACTTCTGCGACGCCGGTCACCTTTTCTGTCCCTTTGTTTACTCCATATAGTGGGGTCCCAGTCCCTGCAAAGCGAACTGCAGTCTGCACGCTATCGTTGCCATTCGGGCGGTGGCTTGCATAGTGCAGCTTCCGAACTTTGCCAACTTTGCCAATCCAGACTCTCGACTCCCGGGGCTTTTGGTGAGGAAAATCCTGAATTTGCGATCGCATCCTGCTGCGATTCATACCCCCCGTGGAGCTCTTCCCGCCAGCTGCATGCAGGCTGCATCATCCTCCCGAAATATTGCCGGAATCTGCACTAACTCGCACATGGGCAGAAAAATAAATAACAACAATAACAAAAAAAACTAAAAAAAAAACTTGAACTTCCAAGGTCTAGAGATACCATGCACCATCCGCGGTACGCATGTGGAGGAGAATGGCAGCTAACGTTTTCGGGTGACCCTCCCTGACCCTCCTCATCCAGGAGCAATAAGCGTTAAGAACCAAAATATGAGTCGGTTAGCCACCGAAGTCAAGACCTTGAACCTTGGGTCCATTTGTTTCGACATGTCTCTTCCTCTCCTCAGGGATTTTGAAAGCAGAGCAAGATGCGTTGATACTAAGCTCGAAAGCGTCTAGGCTGTGCATCACGTTCCTGGACTAAACCCCTGGAGGATATGGGGCCACTTCGCAATCGACCACTCGGAATGATTCTCAATTCTTTCCCAGCCCAGCAGCCAGAGACAGAGGTTCGTTGGGTGAAGTTGACGGCGCTCTTCCATTTATTGGATTTAATTTTAACCAAAGAACCAAGCAATAAAGCACCCACCCCCTTTTAATTGCAAGGTAGACCTGACCTGACTGGGATTCTCTTCTTTTTAAGGAGCAAGACCAAAATAGCCCAGTCCAATATCCTTTCGGGTCCTGGCCCGTCGACCGTTGGTGGGTCATGACGATCGTTTCCCTTGAGATACTTGGACAGGTGGGCGATGATAACATTTCTCCTGATGATCCTCGCTCGAGTTACCGGGTTAGTCATTGTACTCGCATGTCTCCTCTCGGGAGCACTCGTGCCATTACACCAAAATTTGACCGCAAACTTGAATCCCCAAGTCGTATACTACGGTATGCCAACTGCCGCTTCTTGCCCTAATTCCCAGGGTCTCGCATCTTCCTGACCGGGCACTATCGCCAAGGTAGGGTCAATAGTCAGAATGAAAATCCCAATATGTATTTCAATGGGCCTTACCGGGAACCTGACACCATCTGTGACGGCCTCGCCACGAATGGACGGCACAAGCGGGCACCGTTTCCACCCATGATGTTGTACCCAGGCACATCCGATGGATTCTTACTGGTAGCCTTGCTCCACTGGATGGGCCCTCAGCGATCCAACGCTACCCCCCGATATCCGCGAGGCTAAGGGGGATGTGGATTAGAGTGGATAGCTCTAAATGTGGACTGATGGCGTTGAGGTGTCGAGACCGGGGTAGTGCACCTCCTGGTCCGTCCGGTGCTACTGGGATATGCTGGACCCAAGTGGAGATTCAACTTCCAGTAGGCGGCGATGTTCCTGGATGATCAGGGGGGCTGTATAAATATTGAGGATCTTCGCCCTCTCGTCACTACTTCACATCTTTATTCCTCCAGTCTATCGTTAATACTGTTTCTGGACGGCCATTGTGGTTTGTCTGCCTTTCTTTTTTTTCTTTGACGGTTTGATTTTCTGTCAAAACCGTTCTTTTTTTCTCTACTGTCATTCACTTTTGGCTCGTTGACGCCTATACATTCGCTATAACACACTCGTGACGCCGACAATGCGTTCTTCTCTCGTCCTGCTCGCCGCTCTGGCGGGCTCCTCTCTGGCCTACCCTGCCCGCGACATCACCCACGACCGCCGCACCTTCGGTCTCCTCGCTGATATCCTCGGAGATGTCACCGTCGACGTTGGTGACATTCTCCACCTCATCCTGGGTGGTGGCTCCTCTAGCTCCGTTTCCATCCTCTCTGGTCTGAGTGCTCACGGTGCTGCTGCTCTTCAGGGTGGTGCTATCGGATGCAGTGCTGGCACCATCCACGCCGATGCTCGTGCTGAGCTCAAGAAGTGGCTGCACACCCAGGCCCACATCAAGGGCTCCCTCAAGACTCACCTTCTGACTTGGTGTGATGCTTCTGCCGATGTCACCTTGGCTGCTGATGTCCTGGCTTCTCTGTCCGCATTCATCCCCGCTTGCGCTGAGATTGCTGCCAAGGACTCCATCTATGTGACCATTGATGGTGTCTTCTCCGCTGTGGACCTGGCGTCCACTCTTGTCCTTGAGCTCTCTGCTCAGGCTTCTCTTTCTGCTTTCCTCGAGGCCCACTTGAGCCTTGGTGCTGATATCCGTGCTGGTCTCGGTGTCTGTGCTAACGGTGGTGTCGTTGGCAGCTTGACTGCTGATATCAAGGCTTCCCTGCTTGCTTGGCTCAACCTTGATGGCTGCCCTCTCAGCGCTGACCTGAAGGTCTCCCTTCTTGCCTGGATCCACGGCAAGCACGGTGCTGGTCTCGTCGCCATTGGTTCTCTCTCCGAGAGTGCTCTGTCTGCTATCTCCGTCGGTGCTTCCGTTGGTCTCTCCGTTGAGGAGCATGGTGCTCTTTCTGTCCACGCTCAGGGTTCCATCGCTGCTTTCCTCGAGGCTGACATTGCCGCCAACCTCGATGCCAACATTCTCCTCGCCCTCCAGGGTTGCGCCAAGGGTCACCTCGCCTCCTCCCTGTCCGTTGAGGTCCGCACCGCTCTCGCTATCTGGCTCTCTGGCTCCAGCTGCTCCCTGGGTGTCGAGCTGAAGTCTGTTGTCCTGCTGTGGCTGTCTCTGGGTGCCACTGTTGACACCTCCGTCGACCTCGTTACTGGCCTTGTTGGTGATATCACCGGCTTCCTGAGCGTCACCGTCCTTGAGACCCTGAGCGTCAACCTTCGTGGTGCCCTTGGTCTTCTCATCTCTGGCGAGAGCCTCGCTTCTCTCTCCTGGGAGGCTCGTGCTGAGCTTGCTGCCTTCCTTGGTGGCTGCACCAGCATCGACATCGGCGTTAGCATCGAGCTGATCATTATCGAGTGGTTCACTGGCTGCAGCATCCCCGGTGCTCCCAAGCCTTCTTCCTCCGTCCCCAGCCTGCCCTCGTCCACCCCTGCTGTTCCCTCCGGCTCCGTCTCTGTCTCCATCCCTGGTGGTCCCCACGGTGGTTCTACTCCCACTGGTGGTTCTCCTTCCCAGACTCCTGGTGTCCCCTCCGGTGGTGTCCCCTCTGGCCCTGCTCCCTCCGGCTCTGTCTCTGTCTCTATCCCCGGTGGCCCTCACGGTGGCTCTACCCCCACTGGTGCCTCTCCTGGCGAGACCCCTGCCCCCAGCGGCCCCTCTGGTGCGACTACCACTCCTTGTGACACTGAGACCAGCGCCATTGTTGGCTCTACTGTGATCCCCGGTGGCCCTGCTCCTTCGGGCTCCGTTCCCTCTGGACCTGCTCCCTCTGGACCTGTCCCCAGTGGCCCTGAGGCCTCTTCCACCCCCTGTGATACCGAGACCAGCGCCATTGTCTCCTCTACTGTCGTCCCCGGTGGTCCCAACGGTGGCTCTACCCCCACTGGCGTCTCTCCTGGCGAGACTCCTGCCCCCAGCGGTCCCTCCGGTGCTACTACCACTCCTTGTGAAACCGAGACCAGCGCCATTGTTGGCTCTACTGTGATCCCCAGTGGCCCTGCTCCTTCGGGCTCTGTTCCTTCTGGACCTTCTCCCTCCGGTGCCTCTCCTTCTGAGTCCGGCGGTGTGCCTGGCGGCCCTGCTCCCTCCGGAGCTGCTACTACCCCCTGTGATACTGAGACCAGCGCCATCGTCACCTCGACGGTGATTCCCGGAGGCCCTGCTCCTTCAGGCGCATCTCCCTCTGAGTCTGGCGGTGTTCCTGGCGGCCCTGCTCCCTCTGGCGCTGCTAGCACCCCCTGTGATACCGAGACCAGTGCTATTGTCACCTCCACCGTCATCCCCGGTGGCCCTGCCCCCTCTGGTGCATCTCCCACCGAATCTGGCAACGTCCCTGGTGGCCCTGGTGCTAGCGCCAGCACTCCTTGCGAGACCGACGTCACCCCCGTCGTCTCCTCCACCGTTGTCCCCGGCGGTGGTGCCAACCAGCCCCCTGCTCCTACCACTGCTCCCTCGGGCCCCAGCGGCGGTGCTGACGAGACTGACAGCACCGCGACTGTCACCGTCACCTCCACCGTCTGCAACTGCTCGAAATAAGCGGCTTCAAAACCGCAGTCCATGAAGAACATCTATACAGTGATGTCTTCTCCCACATTTGTTTTATTTTTTTCTTATGACAAGATGACCCTCGAACCCCCATGGCATGGCGAGTGTCCTGCAGAGCACGTTCTATCGTGATCTCAGCGGCTCACCCCCTCGCCTCTGTCCTGTCTGTAGATATTTAATTTTAATTCTAATCTGCTCTGGGAACTACTGGCCTCACCATGTAACTGTATATTTATATGGGCGAACGGCTTTGGGCGGTTTGTGATTTTTAGACCTTTGGCGTCGAATCAAGCTCACCTTGTTACATATACACGCTTTGTCGATTTGCGCCTTACTGATTCCCCCCTTCAATGGAGTACATTCCTTATACCATTCAACCTGCCATTGATAGACTATTTTCTGTTTGATTAAATTTTTTCTTATTGAGCACTGTACTCTACGGTAGATTTATCTGATTCAAAGCTTTCTTATTACATGTCCGACCTCAGGAATCTTGAAGTAAACGAATTTCAATGGAACTTGCATGCCAGGTCTGATTTTAGCTTCGTGATCATCAAGTGCATGGCCACTAGCACCTATTTTCTTGAAGCGTAGCTGTTGTTTCACTCCATTTATGATATGTTCTAAAGACTGTTGTTGGTTTGTTGTCTACCGGTGATGGTAGTTATGGAGTAACTTAGCAAGTAGTACTAGTACTAGTTAGTTGCCATTGGACGCCCAGTTAAGAATGTATGACAACTGGCAGATATTTCCCACAGAGCAATCTGATCATTTTATAAGGTCAGGTAGGACTATGGTTGGTTTCCAAGGCTTGCATCGCGTTTAAAATGCTTAGATTTCATGTAGATAGTCGAGAACAAAAAAATCCGTCCCCCCATAAAAATAACAAGAGAAAAAACGTGAACAAAAACTTGAATGTGACCAGGATATTCAACGCCAATAGAAATGCGGACCGCATGCGCATGAAGCTTTAGCTATATCTCCGAGGTTCAAAGTAACCAACCTCATTCGGCATCATCTGGTTGTCCCTTCGTTTGCACAGAATATTTCCCACTTGGTGATCCGGAGCGAGGCGAGAGGCCCTCGCCTTCATCAACCATCTTTCGTCGCTTCTGATCGGGTGCGGATGCAGATGATGTGTTACGCCTTCTCCGACTGGAAGGGTTGTATCTCTCCATGGAACGGCGACGACCTCTTTCCTTTCTAGGACCGTGGCTTCGGCTGCGGCTGCGGCTGCGGCTCCGATCTCCAGGGCTACGGCGCCGGTGGTTATGTGAGTGGTGATCATCATCGCGACTGCGACTGCGGCTTAGGCGGCCAGCGTCGCGATCTTTAACTTTCCTACGACCACCTCGCTCACGCGATCGCGATCGCGATCTGGACTGGTGTTTGGCGTTTCCGTGTCGGTTGTGGTGTCGCGGGGGTGTTACGCTGCGGGAGACAGAGCGGCGTCTGCCTCGGTCTCGCCTGGGACTTGGTGAGCGGGAGGAATCATTTCGGGATATGGATCTGTCTCGATCACCGTAGTCCGGGCTTCGTCGCCTCTGCCTATTCTCCTTGCGATCTCGGCGATCCGGCGATTTCGATCTGCTGAAGCTGCGGCGGCGCTGTCGACGGGGTGGTGAGCGGGAGCGAGAAGGGGAGCGCGAATTGGGGGTGTGGTCTGGTCGACGGCCTCTGTGATTGCTAGATGGGACATAAGAATCGAAATCACGGCGAGATGGGGGTTCACGGTATCGTTCCCGGCTTCGGTATCGGGGCGGAGATCGTGAGTTTCGTCGACCAAAGTCACGACCGCCGCCTCGTCTACCTCTTCCGCCTCGATCGCCTCGATCACCACGCTCTCGGCGTCTTAGGTCGTCCATCTCACGATCACGGTTTTGCTCTTGTTCTCGTTGTCGACGGGCTGCTTCCGCAGCCTTCTCGGCCTCGGCCTGTAGTTCAAACGGTCAAATGGGTGCTAAAAGATAGCATTGGGATGTGCAGTACCTTTTCTTGCATCAATTCTAGCTTCTTCGCTTCCAAAAGTTCCTTTGGAACACCTTGGGGATTTTCTTGACCGCTGAGGCATAGCGACCATAGTTCTTGACAAAACTTGGCTGTATCTCGATCGAGGAACCCGGTCAGTTGGATCTGGAGCGATTTGATATCGGGCTAGTTGGAGAAAGGTGAAGCGTTAGTCAATGCACGTATATTAAGTTGTCGAATGTGAGTAAGAGAAAGTCAAGGGAACATACGAAGCGCGTCCCTTCTAGGAGATTGAAACACAGCTCGATCACCACATCATCTTCATTGCCAAGGATCTTGATCGACAATCAGTTCCAATTCTTCCGCATGGCCCGATAACCCATATCCTAGGGCGTTGCCCTGTAGAATACTATCTGCACAATTTGTTCGATGAGGGTACTCACCTCGGAGATTCGACTGGCAATCCATCTGCAACGAATGTTAATTTCGCGATTGCGGCATTTTGGGAAATCCGGGGAAAGGCGCACTTCTTCATGACTTCAATGTTGACTTTCTTCATGTCCACCTTCCGGCTGAATTCCGGAGGAAACTTGGTCTTCTTCAGCAGCTTGGCATCCACGGGGGCCGCCATGTTGGAGTGAAGCTGCGCGAGCGAGGTATGGAAGCAAGGTGTGGGTGAAGCTCTTCGGCGTGGAATAATGACCAGCGGGCGGTGTGATACTGCCGCTTACACCTTTCTGCCTTGTGGCCTTAGAGCCTTACGGACTGGCTATCTTACCCTCAGTCGCACCTCCTACAACACTTCATTACAATCATAAGAATGATCATTGAGAATACAAAAACTGGTATTTCGGAGCTATATGCGAGCATATCCATCTCACCGGGTCTATTCTTCGAGCTCAACTAATCTTCCACGAATCCAAGCCGCAAAAGGCGCAAAAATGTGTTCGTTCTTCCTATGAGGTTTCTCACAAAATTGGAGAAGGGCGTTGTATCGTCGAATAGCGGTTGTCGAAGTGGCATGGAGAACTTTGACCAGGTCGACCGGACAAAGATAAGGTGGTTGAGAAGCATCTTCGCCCACCGATGCCGTGCCCTGCATGGAACAAGCATAGTACATGCAGTGGTCAATACCGAAACAGTGACCCAGTTCATGGCTAGCTGTTCGGCAAACTCGCCCAAGCCAAAGCGCAGCGAGCGAGGTCCCCGTCAAACCTTCTATGGGAAGAGTGCGATGGATGGATATCGCAGCTTCCATGGGCCATACCCTGGACGTGGAGGAACCGACGTTCCCTTTGTTTTGTTTTGTTTTCGTGCGTGATTTGGATGTCTTCTTGGGCTTGGAATCCTCGTCAGCCGCATCACAGAAGGCAGATGTATAACTTTCGCAATGTGATGCTGGCCAAGCATGAAGACGTTCGACCGATTCAACTTCATCCAAGTTTGGATTATATCTCGCGCTCGAGACAACGGCAACCCGGCTCCCTCCATAAGCACGACCACAAGCAAAATCATCATTTTCATCTTCGTAAATATCATGATTGACCAAGAACAGAAGTGCATATGCATCCTTGGGCAACATGCTAATCGCAGCGTCAAGAAGGTCATTTAGATTGAGTTGACCATCAAAGACGCCATCCTTCGAGCGACGAATACGAATTCGAACACATTGCCGAGATACTTGCAGACCCACAAACCTCGGCCTCTGCGCTTTGGCTTTGGAGGTCGAGTTGGCGGCCGTTGCTCCGGAATTCCATCGGACGAGGCGTAGGGTCGATCGAGGCATCAGCTTGACTGGAAGCCCGTGATAAAACGCACTCAGATATTCATGTACCTCCTCAGTCAAAGGTGGCTCCACTCGGTCTTCCTGCCGATTATCTTTTGGCTGACTCCACGGCTCAAGGAAATCGACAGCATTAGTTATTTGTGGCGGAGGAACCACATAGACAGTCCTCCGACTTGGTGTAACTGAGTTGCGATCTTCCTCGTCAAACCATTCCTGCAAAGATTGAGGTGGATATTCAGGATCTTCGGCAATCTCATCCCCTGGCAATACCAATGGCCCAGGAAAGGTTTCCGGATTACCTTTTACCAGAGCGGGGCTAGGCAGAAGCTTATCGTTTTCCAGCTTTGTTGCCGCAAGGCGTTCTTGCATATTGGGTCTTTTGAACCCTGCTTGGGCAGCATGGCGCGAGCATTCAAATTGCACAGAACGGTGGCTGCATTCAGAGGCCGAGGCAGATGCCATGTTAGGGGTGCGTGAATGGAAGGGAATGAACTAGAATGGCGTCTAGGTGGAAGAGCGGAAGGGGGCGAGGGCGCCATTCAGGATGGACGATTTATATAACAAGGGAAACTTGAACGATCACTGTTAGGCTGCGGCTCTTGAGGATTGAAAGCGGGGGACAGCTACCCGAACTGATTAGGTTCCCCACCACCTGGGCAGGTTTCAGGACCAGAATAGGCCGCTAGTCGTCATTTCGTAATCGTACTGCAGTTCTATGGAAGTCTGTTTTATTTAATGATAGGGGCAAAAAAGCTATTTAACAGAGATTACTGCTTTAATAAGCAGGCTAATTACTAATTACTTGGTAATTAGCAATGTATCCGACTAGTAACGGTGACTTTGTCGGGACACCAGGAGGAAGCTTTGCCCACCCGGGCAGTTATAGCTCTCCATAGTTAAGTGCAGGGTGGCCAGTAGTTGGATACAGAGGTATTTTACAGTGGTGTTGCAAAACCTGAAGCTTGCAAGCTCCTATTGCCCTCCATTTTCGACCGCCTTCTAATGGCAGACCAGCAGCTACCTAAGATAGAATAGAGTAGCTAATCTATTCTATTTTGGGTAGCTACCAGTTCACCTTCGGGAGGCGGAGACCAGGCCGGTCAAAACGGGCTTGGAAACCTTTCCAAGCGAACAGTAAAATACCTCTTTATTCAACTACTGACCACCCTCCGCTTATGGAGCGCCGTACCAATCCAAGTCACATTATCCAAGCACACTCGACCTTGGCTAAACACCCATTCTACCCTATCACGAATTGTAATGATATGTACCTAGTGTTAATTGGCGATATTGGCAAATTCTACCTTTTCAAACAATCGGTAGACACATTGTTCGCTGTCGAAGGCCCAATTGTGGCTTGCGGTGCATTGCACGAAGCATTTCTTTTCATTTGAAAGCCCGGATACCTCAATCTCAAATCTCAACCTCGAACACGTACATAAGAATAACGCCGCTGCAAACACATGATGTTGCCATGGGCATCATGCCAAATAATCGACAGAAGCTAAAAGGAACCATATAGATCTCCTTACTAGTCGACTGGATCATCGGGGTCAAATACCAGGTGGAAGATACAGCCAGCCAACCCATGACCCAACAGAATCCAAGAGCTCGTAGCCAGCCGGGGGGGCTTAGACTTTTGGGAAGTCCAATTTAAGGCTCTAGGCGGAGAGCACTGTTTCCGCAGCCATTGCACGCAGTCTTCGATCATTATCGCGGGAATAAAAGCCATAAAGAAAGGAATAGAGCCAGAATTTGGATTGGGACACTTTGTAAAAGATCGACAATTACATGATATAGACTCGAGCAAAGGAAAACCAAGGTCAAATTGGTATATCGCTCCACAAGAGACGGCCTCGTAAGTCCCATAATATCGCGGGTAATGAAATTGCTGGGGTATGTAAATGGCCGACGCATAAACTGGTGCCAAAACTTGCTGTTTATGATATTAGACACATCCCCGACTACATGAAAGCTCACTTACCCCCAAAAGTTGCGTAAAGTATACGAGTCTGACATGCGCCCAAATGCAGGAGGCCAATCTGAGGGGCTGTCTAAACCGACACCAACAAAGACGATCGACAGTAAGCGATATACAGAGTCTCCAATCAATCGGTTGACGATGAACCAGATGGCTAGATGGGTGGTTCCTCATTCCACCATTTGATAAAGTAAGATATTCCATCTAGGCTTCAATAGGGGGGGATTCTGCGACGACAAATTTTGAATAGTTATTGTTTGAATGATGTCAAGGACCAAGTATTGCCAGAAGAAAATCGCAGATTGGCGAAGTAAGAAGAGTGGCCGTGCAGGGCTCTGCATTTCATTTCGACCATAATATCGCTCATGAGGAGGTATGTTTTTCGCCTGCCAGGGTGTTTTCACACCTCGTGTTTATTCTAGAGTCGTCGCCGCGGCGAGAACGAGAGATGCTAAGCTATGGATTCTTGGCAACTTGAAAAATATCATCTCGATCCAAAGGATGGATTAATAGAAAATTCATCGATTGGATGGCCACTAGCACGAGTACGCAGATGGCTTGACACCAAGTAGGGCATCCTGCTGGTGCAAAGGGCCGCATAAATCGACAGGCAACCCAGACCACACAGGTAATGCTCAAATATCGAAGCGGTGATCCCTTTGGCGTGGTTACTAGGATAACAACAGGTATAGCATTCTGAATGAGGAAAGAGAGGACAAAGTCTAGAATATTGGCCCGCGTGGACTCGTGTAGACCATACATTATAGACTGCAGGGCCGAGATGATCACTCGCCGGTGCTCATGTAAAAGCTGAAAACCCGCTTTCATGGGAGCGGTCACAAAATGATCAATGGGGCGGGCCCACACGCCCAACAGCCAACCACAGAATAGGCCACAAATTTATGATCTATGCAGAATCCAATCACGATGGGTAAATCGTCCATTTTGTTTGATCTGATCGTGGAAATTCTTCGCCCAGCGTAGGTGATATGAGTCCCCAAGGTCGGTAAACAATTCCACCGACCTCTGTTGGTCCTTAAGGTTTTCAGAATGATTGAGCGGGGAGTACATATATCGCCTTTGAATGACTGGGAGCGTCTTGTCCCAACCCTTATCAATTGTATAATGAGCGATTGAAATTGCCTGCGAGTCGGTAGCGTACGCCTGTGGAGTATCACGAAAGATGTTGCGCGGGACTTGATCGAGTAAGAGAACTAGGGCCAACGCGCCCTCGCCCTCGCCCGCATCCTTCCACGAGTCGAGTTTTCCATCTTTGGCATTTTGATATAATCCACCGAGATGTTTTCTCATGTACGCATCGTCCGAAGGGCTACCGTACCAAAAGGATTTCTCTATTAGATAGTCGCGCGAGGATCTTGCCCCGAACCAGAAATCGAGGACATATTGGTAGGTTTGGATGGCCATGGCTGGCTTCAAGAGGAGTGACTAGTGGCGAAGTCAAGATTTAGACGTTTGAAGGAGTACAGTAGACGGCAGTGAAAGATCTGACTTCAAGTTGTACTTGTACAATAAAATAACCCCTGACGTCACCAAGCACTTCCGACGCTAAAGGCCGCTCATAGTTCTTAACTCCGTCTCCAACGTCTTCATTGTAACAGCAGCGCCTGGGATTACGTACCTATTCCAGTAGACTCATAAGACCCTGTGGTATGGAAGATCTCGCTTCGATATTCCTAGGCACCGTGAAGGGCACGCCGTCAACTGGCAAATTCCCTTACAGTCCACATTCACTAACCTTAGCTTTTCATTCAAGGCTGCCGTCAACACTACTCCTGTTCTTAAAGAACCAAATCTTCTCATCTTCTCATTTCAACTACTCTGACAAAGCGCGCCGCCAACCTCTCACGCGTGGACTGCTTGGGAGGGCTTTACCATCAGGTATTGAATGCTCCTCTGCACTCCTGGTTTGCCTACCGACTCGGAGGCTGCCGCCAACACTGCTTCTATTCCTGAATATAACCAAATCAAATCTCTTCTCTTTATGTATGTCTATACTGTGTTTGTGTTCAGCTTCGGAGATCAAGCCTTAATTCCCCAGGACTTTCCACACGTTGTCTACTCAGGCCGTTCTTGCCGATTGTTCATCATAGCCTGAGAGGTTGGCATCATGGGCATCATCAGCGTCATGAGCATCATGGATTCAAGCGGGTTGCACTTTCCCCGGTCTACGGAACATATGTACGGCAATCCTCTTTTCCTCCCTCGGATCAAAATGTTCCGTTTCGAGCGGATGGAAAACAAGGAGACCACTGCACAGGCCCTTCAAGATTCCTACCCCAACCTGTTCAGCGACAACCAGCTCTACGCTTTACTGAGGTATGCCCCACAACGCTCACGTCTGAACATCATTTCTCTTCATGCCGGTTCTCACGGAGAGTAATCATGCTAATCAATTTGGGCCGGGGATGTATACATCAACCTCATTCGAAACTGCAGTGGATTATGCTTGGCCCGGAGGAGCTATCTTTATCTTCAAGCGGCCTGATTTTAACTCACACAGTTTCCAAGTCTGGAATCCCGACGATGGTAAGGTCATGCGTATGGTGCAACCTTGGGAGAAGGACAGTCTGCTTATGCGAGAAACTCGCACCGCTTCCCATGGGTGTCCAGACAGGTTTCCAGACATATTTCAGAGCCCTATAGTAGTTGACGGAGATATTGATCATCAGCGCGTGCAGGTAGTTTTCAAAACTCCTAGAACATTCCAAGTGCTATTGGACCTGTTGGACACAGTCATCTATCTCAACTGAACACGTTTCCGGCATTCGCTCGTTTTTCTCTCTAGATGCCTTGTTTTCTACCTGGCCCTCTGTGTTTCTGTTACTTTTCACTTTTGACCCGGCCTTGCTCTATTTTTACCTTCCTGTTACCCGCTTTGGCTTTCCCGGCACTTCTCGCTTGTTCCTGGCTCGATTATTATTACTAGCTTGAGCCAAATCCAATGATGATCAATCACACAAACCCGTCCAACCAATTTTTAATTTCTGTAGACAATAGAAGAGAATCCCAATTCCATCTCGACACAACAACGACTTATATGGGTTTCTACTCTCTAAAACCGAGAATTGAAATTTTCGAGCGAGAACTGAATGACCTTGCCCGCCACACCTCCTGCGCACCATATCTACTAAGACCCTCCACCATCACCATCACTCATTACCGTACTAGGAATTAAGGATATTTTGGTAAGTTTCGAAGGCCATGATTCATTTCAAGAGGAGTAACTAGCACTTACAAGAGTATCTGGAGGTGAATTCGAATTTAGATATTTGAAGCAACGTGGGGTAGTGGAAGGGTTCTATTCTAGTTGTATATGACCCATGATATAACGAGGTACCTCTCTACAGTTAAACGCCGCTGATAATTTCTATGTCTATATCAAATCTATTTTCATTGACCTTTCGCACTTATGTATGCTTCGATTGATGTGTCTAGCCCTCAGAGATCTTGGCGCCTTATTTGTGTTACGAGAACGCCGCTGCAAAGACATGATATTGCCATGGGTACCTTACCACCTGATTGATAGCAGCTGAAATGAACCATGTAAATTTCGAACTAGTTGACTGCCCATGTGGATGATCGGATAAAATGCCAGGTGGAAGTTGCAGCTAGCCAACGCATGACCCAACACAGTACTTTTCCCGGCCGCTCCAACCCTCTGACTAGCTGCAGAGCTGACGTTCACCCTGAAAATGGCAAAGGCACTCCCCGCAAACTGCTACTTTGAGGCTTAGATGGCCTGGACGTTGACCCAAAAACGAGTATCGTCACTTTGGTATTTTTCATTGCTCTCGATCTGCTCTTGAATCCACAGAACAGCGTCTTTGTACCCTATTTATCGAGTCAGCCGAGTTATAAATGACGGTTCTCATATTCACTGACCTTGTATATCCGAAGTATCAGGATTTTCAACACCTGACGCTCCGTTGCGATGGCCGGCGAACCAAACGTCAAAGCCATGTTTATCCTCACCATCGTGACGGGCCTGGATGTCCTTATCCAAGTCGGAGCTTAAAGGATTAATACATTAGCATAAATATTCTCTTAGCGCCATAATATAGATTGGACACGCACTTCAAAACAACTCCATCATCAACCTGCTCCTCGGTCTGGCCTAAGAACGCAGATGCGGAATGACGGAGCATGTACCAGTTTTGCTTGAAAATGCCAAAGTTCGTAGCATCACCAGACTTGCCATCCCCTGTGCATTCATCGGTTAATATACACACTGAGCAGAATCTGGATTTTTAAGAAGTACCGTAGATATAATCACTTGTCATGGTCTTAGTCTCCAGCATCGCAATGGCCAAGTCACGAGTGTTGCCACCAGCGCCGATCACTGTTTGCTTTCGGACTCCGAGTCCAGAAACGATTTCATTGCCTCGATCGTTATCACGAGTACCAAGCTTGAATCCTGTTGCGGGAGAGGAGATGACAGTGGGAATGAGTGCGAGGACACCGAAGAAGGACAGAGAATGCATTTTTGATATCTTGGATAACAAAGATTCTCCAATCGTGATGTTTTTTTGGGTACTGGCTGTTGTTAGAGTGTTGAATGCTGGGACGAAAAAAAGAAAAACCGCGTCTTATATAGATATTTATGTGGTGGGAAGGGAGAGCGATTGTGAAACCTTTTTCACCCCTGTAAACATTCGACGAGTCAAGCCTTCCTAAGCTCCAATCCGTCCGTGTAGAAAATAGGAAAGATCATCTAACATTCGATGCTACTACTTGGCCTGCCGGCGGGTGCAAATGCTCCCTGGATGAATCGGGAGACTTGGCAAGGGTGCTCCGTATTCCGTCGTTCATGTCTGCGCGAAACCCTTCATTGTACCCTATCCAAGCATAAGTTATAGAAAGAAACACCGTATTGAGAATAATGCCACTTCTTGATGTTATTTTGAATCAGGCGGGGGGGGGGCGTTCTTTTGAGACAAAAGGTACTTTAGTTGTAACGGATCAGAAGACAGCCCACCCCTTGACGGTCAGTAGATGCGTTTGAGAAATACAAATAAATCATATGATTAGTATATTTTACACGCAGGCTCCTATTTAACTTCAGCTTTATAGGTGGTTTGTAATCACATAATGGATAAGGATGCTGTCGTCTCTGTAAACGTAGGGTCGCATCGTGTGCTTCTTGCGAGGTAGCTGGTGGGGCCCTATGCTGGACCCTTAATTTCCTCACACTAAATTCGAGTCACTCGCCAGTTACGGAGTCAAGACTGGTCTCAACCCAAACAGTCTTCGCAATTTAGTAATCAATTGATTCAACCGGCGTCGGAGTGCGCCAAGAACATTCATTATGAATATAATGCACTGTGTATGAAGAAGTAAAGGGCTGACCGTTTGCGCAGGTGCTTTTTGAAATAACATGTTTATCATGAAAGGCGTCGCCTGAATAATAAAAGAGAGTATAATGAGAAAGCCAGAGCCAAAAGCAAGAGCCCCAAATTCTTCAGCGAAGGGGCTCCTGGATGACTTGGTAAGCAGTGTTGGGACATCTTGATATTCAAGATCTACACTTGGCGTTTTTTGGGTTTCGACCATTCATGCGCTCCGCCTGCCAGTATCCGAAAGAGGCACTGAGTGGGTGGAGGCCGAAAGTTCCGTTACCTTTTCGGCAGCGCGGTAACCACCTTTGATAGAATTCAGGTCTCAGAGCTGGTTAATAATTTGGAGTATTATGAATAATATAAATACCGTGAGGCATGATATCCAAAGGTCGTGCTAGGGGTAAGTTAAAGCAATTTTGTGTGTTTGCCATTGCTTTCAAGTATACTCGTCGCCTGACTTTCTGCAAAATATGGGGTTTTTTGAACTACCGTTGTCTAATGGCTGGACATTTAAAGACCGAGACGATCATGATCCAGACGCATGGATGTCTGTACCGGCAGTTCCCTCTACTGTGCAGCAGGATCTGATTGCAAACAAAAGGTTCTCTTCACGAGTCGCATACTTCGCGGTTCCTTGGCTAACCCGAAAAATATAGACTCGAAGATCCTTACATCGGTTTCAACGAACTAAAGGCTCAATGGGTCAACGAAAAATCATGGATATATCGAACAGATTTAAAAAGACCTGATGTTCCGACCGGCGCCAAAGTGGTCATTGTATTCGATGGTCTGGACACATTTGCATCTGTTACTCTCAATGGCCAGAATATCCTGACAAGCAGTAACATGTTTATCGGTCATCGAGTAGACGTCACAAAACTGCTGCTAGAATCTGATGGCCCACATGTGCTTGAGATTGAGTTTGATTGCGCTCAGCTCAAAGCGCAGGAGCTACGAAGTAAGTACCCAGGCCACAGATGGGAAGGCTTCAATGGCGATATGGCACGCTTGGCTGTGCGTAAAGCTCAGTACCATTGGGGCTGGGATTGGGGCCCAGTCATTATGGCTGCCGGCATCTGGAGAGATGTACGCCTAGAGGCATACTCTGTACGAGTGGCAGGGCTATGGCCGCAGACACAGCTGGAGCACAATCGCAAGACAGCAACCATCACAGCTACTGCTGAAATCGATGCTGTCGTCTCCGGTTACTATACAGTTAGCTTTTGTTTGTGTCTGAGAGGAAAGCAGATTGCCTGTCAGAGCTTGTTAGTGGAAGTAAATTCCTCCAAGAGCATCGAAGCAAAGTTGCAGATCAATAATCCAGAGTTATGGTGGCCTCATGGGTACGGCTCTCAACCTTTGTACGATATGTCGGTTTCGATTTCGGGAGGCCCTGGAAATGAGCTGCATAAAATGTCCAAGCGTATTGGCATTCGATCTGCAGAAGTTATTCAACAACCTGACAAGCACGGTAAATCATTCTTTTTCCGAATCAACGGGCAGGATATTTTCTGTGGTGGTTCTTGTTGGATTCCAGCGGATAGCCTGCTTCCTAGTATCCGCCAAGATCGATACAAAAGTTGGATTGACCTCATGGTAAAGGGTGGTCAGACCATGGTCAGGTAAGCACAACGATAACAAAAGGAGTCAATCAAGTCTCTATCTCATTGCTGACCTCTGATTAGAGTCTGGGGCGGGGGAATTTACGAGGATAAAGCATTCTATGAGACTTGCGATGAGATGGGACTACTTGTCTGGCAAGACTTTATGTTTGCCTGTGGTAATTACCCGGTTTGGCCTGAGCTACTGGAATCGATTCAGCGAGAGGTCACCTACAATATCTGCCGCTTGCGACACCACCCCTCCATTGTTATATATGTGGGAAACAATGAAGACTATCAAGTCCAGGAGCAGGCATATATGACCTACAATTACGAGGACAAGGATCCACAGTCTTGGCTTAAGACGAATTTCCCCGCACGCTATATCTACGAGAAGCTACTACCGGACGCGGTGGCAGAGCTCTCCCCAAGTACATTTTACCACCCAGGGAGCCCTTGGGGTGATGGAAAACTCACGTCAGACCCAACTGTTGGAGATATGCATCAGTGGAATGGTAGGTCTACCTGAATTGCGTTATAGATCGAAGTCTCACTAATATATCTGTACTAGTTTGGCATGGAACACAGGAAAAGTAACAAATTTTTGATACCCTCGGTGGCCGCTTCAATAGCGAGTTTGGTATGGAAGCGTTTCCACATATGTCGACTATTGATTATTTTATCGAAAATGAATCCGACAAGTTCCCGCAATCACAGGTTATGGACTTTCATAATAAAGCGGATGGTCATGAGCGACGACTAGCGACCTATCTCGTGGAAAATTTGCGCACGGCCACAGACCTTGAGGTAAGTTTAACTTAATACTAAGCCATTCATGTGTATTTTAACCATAATCTGGCTATGTTGAAGAGCGATACTCAAAATTATATTTAGACATATATCCACCTTACCCAAGTGGTGCAGGCAGAGACGATGATGTTCGGTTACCGAGGATGGCGTCGCCAATGGGGCAATGACCGTCAGTGTGGTGGAGCATTGTTATGGCAAATCAACGATTGCTGGCCGACGATCTCATGGGCGATCGTTGACTACTTCCAACGGCCTAAGCCTGCGTACTACACAGTGAAACGTGTGATGGAGTCCCTGGCGGTTGGCGTTCGTCGTGAACACCATGATTGGAGTGTTGTTCACGCGAGACCCCCAACCAAGTCAAAGTATGAGATATGGGTTGCGAGTAGCCGTCGCGAGGGTATTAATGCTACTGTTGAGCTTCGGTTCTTGTCGGTGATGAATGGCGACAATCTACGGCCCCCAATTGTTTACGATGTTACCGTTACTCCTAATGGGACAACCGATATTGTTTCAGATGGAGTCATTGATCATATTGCGCAACATCAGCCTCATGTTCTTGCCGTACGACTCTGGGTGAACGGTCGCGTTGTTTCGCGTGATGCTGATTGGCCGCAGCCTTTGAAATACCTTGACTTCTCTGACCGTGGGCTGGTAGTAAAGGTTCAGAATGGCAATATCCCCGGACAGCAGAGACTCGCCATCAGTGTACTCAGACCTGTCAAATGTCTCGTATTTGAGGAACGGGATAACATAAAGCTCAGCGATAGCGCGTTGGACATCATGCCAGGGGATGAGCAGGTCGTGACAGTTTCAGGCCTCAGTGGGAGCGACTTGCCACTGAAGTATCGCTTTCTGGGCCAATAAAGAACCTTTTTCATTCCTATGGCTTGGATTATCATAAAATAGACAAATCATTTCAAAGTCTCCTGGACTTAAGATAATGAGATGTCGAATCTGACTAAAGGACGTACTAGCTATCGAGGTAACTCGGAAATTGTCAACTTTCCATTTTGAGAAGCAGCCGGGGTGTGGTAGGATGCCTTGGTGCTACTTTTCACTATGAGACATCCTATCCAAGTCCGGAAATGTACATTCTTCAGGGTTCTGGCGAGCCATTCCAGCACTTTTTGGTTGTGGGCTCTTACAATACGTATCGTAGGGCCCAACGGTACCATCCTTTCTTTGTCAATAGATCCTACTCAGCCCAACACATATCCAAACCGCAAAATAAATGAGGCCATTGTCTTGATATTGGATATACTACATTTTCCCCTGGATTTATGGGATCAAAAACAACACATTATTCATTTGCAAGGCTGAGCCCGTCGCAATAGCTTTTTTCTAGACAGTCAATATTCAAGGCGCTTTTTCGGTCTCATGTGAGCCAAAGTGTGCCAGATGGACTGGCTACAGGGCCCATTTGTGTTACCAACAATGGTATCTCTTGCTAGATATTCACCAGAAAGGAAAAGAGAGTGCTGAGGTACCCTGTAAGTATCAGATCTGTAAATGGCGAAGAAGCTTTCAAAGATAGCTAAAGTCTTACTAAAAATAGAAATAAATATAGCATTTAATCTAATTGCAACTCTTTCAGCGTAAAATCATCATTAGAAATTTGCCCCTTCTCAATTTCATGGCACCAAAATCGTACTTTTTCAAAATCCGAGGTCACTCTAGTCGTACCGCAGTGTTGGGTCGGCCGCCTTGGGATTACGAAGGGAGGCGGAATTTGACCTATTCAGGACAGGAGGAGGCGGAGATCGCAAGGCTTCGCTTCAGTGTAGATCGGTTACTAGGCGTATGTGATCACTCCACAAATTTCCCCGTCGCCTCCGATTGTAGTGTCTGGGGTAGCAATTGAGATATATCGAAGTGTAGCATGCAAAGGGAATTTCCGCCACTCTGCATCTCTTTTTGCCAAGGAGATCCCCAGGCAGTATCCGCTTGGTTGTTCATGGATTTGATACCTTGATACTGTCAATACTCGTATCTAAGGAGTGAAACACACATCTTCCGCATTACCAGAGAAGGAAATGATCTGCCACGCCAAAGCATTTAACTCTCTCGATACATCCTCATATGATCTTGGTGAGTTTAAATTTCCGAGCAGATCCCAAATTCCTAGGATTTTTCACAATCATGACAGCGGAATCATTGCACTCTCAGACAACTGAGAATAAGGGGTCCAGCGAAATGAGTCACTTGGAGATGGCGGATGGTGTTAGGGTCGAGGTTCTCCAAGGCTCAATGGCACTGGACCTGGCCAAACGAACTGATCCTCCCAACCCGTGGAGTCGGTCAATGCTAAGGCTATACGGATTCCTGGCCGTGGGCTATCTGTGCTCAGCCTTAAACGGTATGAGCGAGAAATGAAAGATTCTCCGGTCGATTTCAGCTAATAGATTGAATCTAGGATTCGACGGTTCACTCATGGGCTCTCTTCTCCCTATCGCCCAATTTAGAGATACTTTTGGTGCCGGGTTGGTTGGCTCTCAAGCATCTTTAATCCAGGGAATGTACACAATTGGAGGTGTTTGTGCGCTTTTTTTCGTTGGCTTCCTGCTCGACAACTTCGGTCGACGCTTTGGTATGTTTGTGGGATCACTCGTGGTAATTATTGGCACGATTCTAGGTGGCACCGCCGGTCACATCGATCAACTCCTGGCCAGTCGGTTCTTCCTTGGTAGGCAACCCCTTTTACGATTCCAAAAATGTTGACTGTCAAAACCGGAATGCTAATGAAAGGCAATGCAGGATTTGGGTACTCGATCGCTGCTTCGGCTGCTCCAGCCTACGTTGTCGAGATGAGTCACCCCGCTTACCGTGACCTGCTGACTGGTTTGTATAATTGTCAATACTATGTTGGTGCCATCGCCGCCGCAGGAGCCTGTAGAGGATGCTTGATATATCCTGACTCCCGTGCATGGCGTATCCCGATTTGGTGCCAATTAATTTCTTCCTGCTTCGTTGTGATGTTTGTTTGGTCCATACCTGAATCCCCTCGATGGCTTTATAGTCATGGACGCAGTGAGAAAGCCTGGGACATCATCACCGAGTACCACGGCGAAGGTAACCGACAAAACGCCTATGTTTCACTCCAGATTCGCGAATACCAGGACGCAATAAATTTGGAAGGTTCGGACAAACGGGCATGGGACTTTCGAGAGCTCGTGAACACCAAAGCTGCGAGATGGCGGCTTGTTTGTGTGGGAATTGCATCTTTCCTTAGCCAGTGGTCAACGGGTGGGATTACAACTTATTATATGGGTGGACTTTTGGAAAGCGCTGGTGTGACTGATACGACTCGTGTTCTGGACGTTAACCTCGGATACACTGTTCTCTCTGCCGGGGGCGCATATATTGGTGGCGTATTGACTCCCAAATTGCGCCGGCGACCAATGCTAATGGGCTCATCTATCTCTGCGGCTGTAAGTACTTCAGATTTGGTAGACACCTTTTGCGTTCTAAATTTGGTGACATCGTTCATTTAGATGCTTTTTGCTGGATTGTCGGTGGCTACTGGTATTTACGCAAAATCAGAGCAACCCCCGGCAGCTACAGCAGCAATCGTGATCATTTTCCTAACTGGATTTACTTATAGCTTTGGTTGGACGCCATTGCAGGCCATGTATTCTGTTGAATGCCTGGCGTATGAAACCCGGGCGAAGGGCATGGCTATTTACTCCGTCTTTACCAACATCGCTTTGCTTGTGAACCAGTTTGGAATTGGGAATGCCATGGGAGCTATCTCATGGCATACCTACATCATTCTGGCTGGGTGGAATGTTGTTCAATGCGTTTTCATCTACTTTTTCGCTGTTGAAACATGCAAGCGAACTCTCGAGGAGCTCTCAGATATCTTCTCTGCTCCCAACCCGAGAAAGAAGAGCACACAGCCTCACCAAATCGTAGTTTCTACAGAGACCGATGAGGTGTTGCAGACAAAAGAAGCTTAGCCTTTAATGCTTTCTGTGATGTATTCTCAGTTCTAGCTGACTCATGAATTGTGTTTCGGGGTGTATTAACCGATCACGTTTTCAGAATGCTGCAATTTAATATGAATTGTAAGGTTGGCAATAGCTTTTATAACATATGATTAGGCGGCCTTTCGTATAAGTAGAGGGTGCTTTCAATAGACTTGCAGATATAATAGTTGACAAGACGTGAGTGAGGTAACCGCTTAATAAGGATGTTCAATGATCTTTTTGAATCGTCTGCTTCGATGCTAAAAAAGCCTTCCCAGGGCCTGGCATCTCTCAAGGATGATTTGAAATGGGAAGCAAGATTGAAATACAAATATAATCGCAGTTACGGAAGGACGGGTTAGGTTGATCTTGAGAAAGTATTGCACGTAAATCCGAGGCAAGGAAATCACGGGGTATTCCAGGACTTTCCAGGAACCAATTGCATTATAATGAATGATAATTTTCATTCATCCTTGACGAACTGGCGTTTGAAAAAATAGAAAAGTCTTGATTTTCGAATTCAAGACTAGGAACCTCTGGCCACAGATCTTCAACACCCCAACTTAAAAACTCCCACATCGATTGTGGAGGAAGGCTTTCGAAAGACATCATTGTCCAGTCCAAAACTCGTTCTTGTGTCGCGGGCGGGTCAGGATCAACACCGTTCAGTTGAGAGATATTTTGGAAGCCGGAACACGACGCTGTCGTATCTGGAGGTTTTTCAGCTGCACCAGTCCCTACGAGGCAAGCTTCGAAAATGCTCGAAATGACTTCCAAGGAACGTTGTGCAGTATGTCCGTAGGGCTTCATACGTTTGAGTGTCACCATTGCTGTCTCAACCTGTGTCTTGCAGGCTGCAGATAGAGCGTCTGGATCATCATCTCTCAGCTGAGTAGATAGACAAACCAATGGTACCATAATTGCCTGAAAGAGGAACCACACTCCGTTCCAGCCGATCATTTGATTTAATCTCGTCGCCATGGAAATTTTTTGAATTGCAGTTTCCGCAATTTCGCGGCACTTAAGAATGGCATTGCGCTCCTCCAGCCTGAGAGTGATGAAAGGAACTCGTCGCATCGCGTAGCTCAGAAGTTTTGGACGATATAAAAGCATTCGTTGAATATGGAATCTCCAGTGCATCACTGTTCTCGCCGTGTATAATGACTCGGGACAAGGCTCGTGATCTTTAAGGGCCGGGGGTAAGTTTTCCCACCACTGGAGAAGCTTTGAATCCAGCTCGAGGGTTTCCGCAAATGTGATCATTGGCATGGACGCTAATGCTTCCTGTATCTTTGAGGAAACTTTGATGAATTCGACATTTTCGATTAATGGAAGGACCTCTAGATAGTTTCCCTAAAAGACATGGGTCACACATTAGATTTTACTGGTCAACATAGAGAGAAAATGGGACATATTTAATCGCACCTCGTCAAGCAAGCGAGGTTTGGCGACCGTGATGGCCGGAGCAAAGAAATCCATGGACGCCCGACCCAGAGTTTCATGGCCCCATGTTTCTAGGCAGCAGAGAGACCACCATATACGGCGTTTATATTCCCGATAGGCCGCCCGCGCCGGGTCTAGCACCAAATGGCTATCGTAAGGCTCGCGCTGTAGTCCGAGCGAGACTGCCATGCGTACAGCAGCACCTATTAAGGAGTACCCAAGGTTTGGCTGGCTGATATAATGACAATACCACCCTCCGATGAGACCAAGTGTTTGAACTGTCTCAATAGTGGGCGTTCCGAGGGTCGCCAAGTTCAAGAGATTCATTGAACGGTCAAAGTATGCCCTGTGGGTGTGGTTATCCGGGCCCGAGGCCGCAATACTACCCAGCGCGAGCACTATGTTCAACAGCGCTAGCCACCGACTATCTTTCCTGGTCCCAACCAAGTGGGTGGC